CTAGCTTTAGTTTAGCCGGTATCCAAGTTCTAACCTTACCCTTTCGATTTCCAAGTCAAAATAGACAAAAATATAAGAGGTAATAACTTTTCAATCCTTGAAATGCACTTCATACCCAAATTCAAATATCTATCTTTTTATTCCCTGTAAAAATAAAAACGGAAAAGGAAAGGTAAGAAAAGGAGTGTATACAAAGCTTGCCCATAAACAACCAATATCTCTTAAGCATATTCAATAGAATCCAATTTTTAACTATCTCTAAAAAAGAATAGAAGAGAAAATTTTTAATGTTAATTCCCAAAGCTTAAAAAATTAATATGTACGGCAACTGTCAAGAGATATCTTTAATATATACAAAAATTATTATCTTTAAAATAGTCATTTTTAGTCGAGCCAGTGAGACGACCTTCTACCTAGAACGTATTGAACCCATTTAAAACTTGATTAGAAGTAAAGATAAAATGATAACATATATTTATATTTTATCTAAATGCATTCTCTCGTATATTTTAAGTCAACTTTTCCAAGTATTATCCTTAGTTGGGAAAGTAAAAAAGATTATATTATTTTACTTACACTTCAGATTTTGACTCACAGAATCATCCAGCAGTTTTAAAATATTTACTATTGAAGATTAATGTCAAAAAAGTTTCTTCACTTTTGACCAGAATAGAATATTATGACTATTACTAACCCACCATTGTGTTAATTCTTATGTTTGGTCTAGGCATTTATTCTCGATGAACTTTGGAGCCCATCCATTCCCGGGTATTTTCGGACTTTTGACCATTGTCCTCCCTCCCAACTTTTTAATGTATGAAATAGTTGGAAGAAACGTTTCCACTGAAATGAATGAAATTCTTGACATATACAACAACTAAAACAATGTTTTAAAACAATAAAACGAAAACTATGATTGCCATAAACAATTAAAAATCATATAATATAAAGTTATTTCTGTAGTTTTCCAAAAAATTTCTCAGCATTCTCTATGGATATGGTCTATGGGCGGTTCAAAGATATGTCACTTTATTATTAAACCATGTAGTCAAATCTAAAAGCAGTCAATAAATCTATCAGCTTTTACTTTCTTTTGTACATAATTAATCCATGCTCTTAATTTAAAGGAAACACGCTTAAGCTATGGTAAACTAAAGGAAAATATTATTATAATTTTTCTTGTTGAAATTTATTGTGTTATAACTTTGGAATGCAATAATTTCACTTACTTGTAATTTTGTTAACGAGGAGGACAAGTCTTTTTAACATAGATATTAATTTTAGATGTGATTTTTAAAAATAATTAAATAACAAAATCTAATATTAAAAATAAGTAATTTTTTATTTTTAAGATTAACTTGTATCTAATTTATTTATTCCACATCTCATATGCAACCCTAATTTGTTATTACCCAAAACATTCAGAAAAAACACAGCTTACTATATATTTATATAATGCAAGAATATTTAATTATTTGGTTTATACATTTTGGATGTTTTAATATAACGATTATATTATACAAGGTCTAGTTGCATAAATGTGGGTATTTGAATATAGTGTGTTTTTAGTTTAGCTTTTTTTAAGTAGCTTCTTATATATATATATAAGAATCATTAGTATAATAATAATAATTATTATAATTATATATATAGTCATTAAGCTAACACTAATGAATTTACTCTCTTAAATGTACACATTTAATATTGAAAATTCATTTAATAAAACCAAATTTAAAAAATCGTGCCAGTACTATATAATTAAAATTATTTGTATGATACACTAATTTTATACCGGAGTAATGAATGATATACACCATTTTGGGTAAACAATATATATCGAAAGTAAGCAATATACACATCTAAATAATCAATATAGATAACTAATTGATAAAAATAAATAACAAGTAAATTATATCCATGTCTAGCAAATTTATTAATACTACACCTGTTTAAGAGAACTTATACATAGAAAATTTTATATAAAAATAATAACTTATGATTTTATGTTATATTTAATTTATTTGAATAAGTTTTTTATAATTTATTTAAAAAGTTATTTTTAATTTGTTTTAAAAAATTATATCGTTAAAATTATAATATAAATGATCATTTAAAAAATATCAAATAAATATTTAAATAAGTGTATGTAAATTGACCCTAAGTCAGTACTCAGTCGTCCCTCTCAACTGGGCTTTGCAATTACAACTTCAATCTTATGTCGACATTCTGCACTCTGCATCACTTGTTTTTGAAGTTACCTTTTAAGTAGAGGTTAAATTTAATTTTTTTTCATAATGATAATGATGATGTATTTTTATACTAAATATTTACGTATTTTTATTTAATAATCTTTTTATTTTAAAAAATGATTTTTTTTAAGCTTGTACAAAGCAATATTATAAGACTATTTCACTAATTTAGTCCACCTCTTAGTATTTCTACAGTTATGTTGGAAAAAAATAGTAAACTAGTTGAAAAGATAATTAAAACTAAATATTAATTTTTAATTGAAAGTTGGTAAATCAAAGTATCAAATTTAAAATATTTAGAAAAATCAATTAATAAATATAATTAACATAAAATGATATATTTGTATAATTTTTATGTAATTGTTTATTAAAAAAACTCATAAAATATTTATTTATTAAACACCTCGATTTTATTTAAACAAATTTATTAATTAGTTCAATAAACTATAAGTACGTTCATTATATATGTGTGTGTATATATATATATATATAAAATAATTGACTGTTAATCAAATATCTCAAGGTTTAAAACAGGGATGTGTGGCCTATGGGTGGTAATTAATACTCGTAAAATATGCTTATAACAATTAAGGTAAGTATTTATTTAATGAATTTATATTTAGGTGTAAGATTTTTTTTTCAATTTATGCGTACGAATATTTGTATTATAATATTTGTTTTTTTTATTACACTATCTCAAAAAAAATTATTTAATACATCTTTTATGTATGTAAAAATTTAGTTTTGACACGCTGTTAGTATAAAAAAAAAAGTTATATTATCAACTAACTACAAATCATTATAAATATGACTTTTAAAAAATTTATTAAAAATTAACAAGTTTTAATAACACATTAATTCACGATTTTATGACAGTGTGAATTACACTGTTGGTATGTTTTAATTAAACTATACATATATAAGATATTTAAATTATATTTTATAATTTTATTATGCAACTAATATTTATATAAATAAATATTTTTGAATTTTTATTTTTTTACACAGATTTATTTTATAAATAATATATGTATATATAATCACGTTTAATTATATTTAAGTTCATGAAATAATTACACTGTCTGTGAAATATTGTATTCTGGTGAGAGATGTTGTTCCACTCCACTTTTTGGTACAACGACACATTTGAAACAAAGTATTTCATCAAAACACGACACGTTACAGTTAAATTGATTTTTTGTTTGAATTTTTTCAATAAAATGAGACCAAGTCACTCAATGTCTTGTAGAAATGACTCCTTTATTTATGTCAACACGTTAGTGATATAAATTATCTTAACTTGATAATTACATTTTTCGATATATTTTTAATAACTTGTTTTTTTTTTTAATATTTATTTACGGAAAGTGCCGATTATATGGTCCATCAAGTTCATTTTCGTTTGAATTAACTTTCCGCACTTGCTTTGCGACACGTGCAATAAGTCACTTTTTTCCATTGCCAGCGCCTTAATATCAATAGTGTCATTTTCAATGATATAGCAGAAAGTGAGGATGAAAATAAAAAAGAACAGGAGCGATATTAGGTTGGAAGAGAAGAAATATATTGCTTCTCTCAAAAGTTTTCTATTTCACTTCCATCTTCTATTCTTAAAGATTAAGTTATTTTTTCGTTCAACCATAATTCTACATTTTAAGAATCGAGACTCAAAGGTGCAATTGCATTTATCAAGTAGATAATTATAATACACATCAAATATGGTTAACAATTATATGATAATTTAATAAAATGATCATGATAAAAAAAATTAAATTTGTGTAATTAAAACTTGGGAGACTAAAATTGAATAAAATTGTAAATATAAAAAAATAAAGAGCAATTAAATTATTAAATTTTAAATTTAGTATAAAATTTCTTTTCACCTTTACTTTCTTAAATGTAAGATGAAAGTTAAAATTAATTTATTTAAAACTCATTAATTAAATATATTGAAACAATAATTAAAATATGTTTATATTTACTTAACATTATTCTAGAGATCCAGACATGTTTTTAAACATACATTTAATAAATTTTTATCTTTGTATTTACTAAAATTTTAATGAGTTAAAGAGTCGTCTTACGTCTAAAAGTCATTGGACAACACACTTGCATTTAAGAACATTGAATCTGAGATACTAATTCTTTATTTTTTTTTTATTTGAGAATTTATAGAATACTTAACGATTAAAAAATTTACTATAAGGAGTGTCTAGAGGGAAGAGAAGAAGATAGTGAGAGAGAATATTCTTAATTCATTTTTGCATACCTCGATACATATTATAAGAGTGCCTTATATACATTATAACAAAAAAAAGCAATAATGTAAAAGAAGATTCTGGATCATTAAACTTCATACAAAATAATAGAATTGGTCTTATTGTTAGAGGTGGCCCTACACGTAGCTAATAGCAAATGTAATCCTTCAAACGAGTAAAAGTTTGAATATTTCTTCTAGATTTCTCTTCAATGATGTCAACTATTGTGCTTAAGCCAGGACTAATGGGCCTTTGAGTACCTTATTCTGAGGTAGTGGGTGTGGTACTAGGGGTAGTTATACTATCATTTCTCGCTTGATTAAGAAGCACCTTGTCCTCAAGGTGAAATTAGAACTGTAACTGAGGCCATGGTTCCCAACTTTCTTCTTCGAGGGGTAATCCCTTCCATTGGACAAGAGCCCAAGTGCCTGAGTCATTTGTTTTCCAGTCGACTATGGCGATTGGCTCAAGGACTGGTTCGTTGTCCACAACCTCAGGAGGTAGGGGAAAAGGTTGAGCTGGGGACGGTCCGAGATGAGGTTTTAAGAGGCAATACGTTGTGTATTTTTGCAGCAGGAGGTAAGTCCAATTTATAAGCAACTTCCTTGATCTTTTGTGTGATTTTGAATGGACTGAAGTAACGCTTGTAGAGCTTGCTAAAGCGTCCCCCGGTAGGTGATATTTGTCTTCTAGGATGAAGTAGAACATAGACCCAATCGTCCACTGCGAATTGTAGGTCACGATGGTTGGAATCAGCCCAGCGTTTCATTGCCAATTCAGCTTTATGCAGGTTTGTGTGATGTTTGCGTAGAATTTCCTCCCTGTTGGACAGCTCGAATTGAACAGTAGCATTAGATGTGTCATTGAGCAACAATTGAGGGATGGAGGGTGGTGGACGTCCAAACATTACTTCAAAAGGTGTGAAAGTTGTAGAAGTATTTGGTGTTGTATTAAAGCACCATTCAGCCCATGCTAGATACTTGCCCCATAACGAAGGACGGTGATGGACAAAGCACTGTAAGTACTATTGTAGTATTTTGTTTGTAACCTTGGTTTGCCCATCAGTTTGAGGGTGATAGGCAGTAGACATACGTAATTTTGTGCCACTCAATCGAAATAGGTCTCGCAAAAAATGACTGATGAAAATTGGGTCTTTATTAAAAATGAGACTAGACGGTAGGCCATGTAGTTTGCAAATCATGTTGACAAAAAAGTGAGTTACTGTGAGGACTAAAAAAGTGTCCTCTGATGGTAAGCGAGAGAGGGCATCTGCTGCGTTATTAGATTTTCTAGGCCTATACTGTATTTCAAAATCAAAACCTAAGAGCTTGGATAGATGAGTTTGTTGATCCGGTGTCAAAATTGTTTGAGTCATCAGCTCTCGGATTGATTATTGATTTGTTTGTATGACGAAATAGCAGCCCAATAAATATATGTCTCCATTTATAGACAGCAGAGGTGATGACACATAATTCTCGTATGTATGTGATGACACAAAATTGTTTGCTAAAGTAAGCTATTGGGCGACCCAGCTGTGAAAATACTGCTCTCATGTTGGAACCTGATGCATCAGTTTGGACGGTGAAAACATGGTCGAATTGAGGAATTGCAAAGACCGGTGCATTTCTGAAAGCAGTTTTTAGTGCCTGAAAGGACATGGATGCTTTTCTGACCACAAGAAATTGTCCTTTTTTAGGAGGTTTGTAAGAGGGGATGTAATAAATGCATATCCTTTCACAAAGAGACACTAAAACCCAGTTAATCCAAGGAATCCGCTGAGGGATTTGACTAAAGCGGGCAAAGGCTAATCCAATATAGCTTGTATTTTTTAAGGGTCGAGTTGTACGCCCGAACTCAAGACAATGTGCCCAAGATAATAAATGGATTGTTGCCCTATTGAACACTTCGAGCCTTTCAGCCGGAAACAGTTATCCATCAACAATTGAAATGTTGTTTCTAAGTGGGATATGTGAGCATCAAGGGTCAAGCTGTAGACGAGTATATCGTCGAAAAAGACAATGATAAACCGTCACAAGTGAGGGCGAAAGAGGTCGTTCATCGTGGCTTGAGAGGTTGAGGGGGAGTTGCAAAGCCCAAAGGACATAACCTTGAATTCAAAATGCTCGTTATGTGTTCTAAATGTTGTTTTCACGAATCCAACAGACAAATAAGTATTTGATGGAACCCAGAAAGGAGATCCAGCTTTGAAAACCAGGCTGCCTGACCCAACTTGTCTAGTAACATTTACAGTGGGTATTGAAAATTTGTCCTTAATAATGACGGTGTTTAGTGCGCGATAATCTACGAAAAAACGTCAAGTGTTGTCCTTTTTCTTCATAAGGAGCACTGGGGATGAGAAGGGACTGGTGTTGAGTTTTATGAAACCAAAATCAAGCATTTTTTGGACCTGTTGTTCGATTTCTTGTTTTGGGAAGTGGGGGTATGTGTATAGGCGAATGGATATTAGAGGTGTGTTAGGTAATAGGGTGATTGGGTGGCCTATTGGTCGAGAAGGTAGGAGTGAAGTTGGTGGTTCAAAAATGGAGGAGTATTTGGTAAGAAGATCTTGTAACTCAGGAATGGAGGAAGAGGGTATGTTTGAATGTGTGGTGCGGTTTTGTAAGGTTAATGTGTTTAGGGTAGTGGGAGTATCAAGGTGTACTGCGTTTGGCGCTAGGATCAGTTGGAATAGGGCCTCAACTTAGTGAGTGTTATGTAGTCTCTTTAGTTTTTGGACTGAAATGGGTGTGGGATTTGGGCTTGTTTCTCCTCTTAGTTTGACCAAATGGTTGTCCCACATAAATTTCATAAATGGGCCTATGTAGTCCATTACAAACGGGCTGATTCGGGTTAATCATTTCACTTCCAAAATAATATCAGTACTCGAGAGTTTCAAAGGATAGAGATCCACCAGAAATTTTAGAGAAAATAATGTTATGGTGGTATTTGAGCAAATGGTGGAGCATGGAAGGAAATCTCTGTTGCCAACCATAATACGAAGAGGTGAGTGAGTGTGCTATTGAAGCAAGTGAAGGAACTGAGCAACTATTTGCTGGATGAAATTGTGAGTTGCCCCAATGTCCACGAGGATCTGAATTGCATAGCCTTTAATAGATCTAGTGAGACAGAATGCACGTGGGGTCCATTGGCCCGAGAATGCGTATAGGCTTATGAGCCCAGCCTCTAGGTTTGAGTTGTCTGGTGGACCCGGATCTGTGTCATCACTTGGGTCAGGTGTACCGGGAGGTTCTTGCGAGATGAGCAGGAGAAATTGGATCTTACACCGATGACCGCGGTGGTAACGTTCATCACTGTTGTAACAAATGTTTTTTTCTCGACGAGGTTGCATTACTGCTTCTGTGAGCTTCTTTATGGGTATTTTGGATGTGAGGGTGGGCAAGAGAGGAGAAAGTGATTTTAATGGTTGTGTAGGAGTTGGTGGTGGTGGGGTTGACGGCCTTGGAAAGCAGGTGAAGGGAGAGGGAATGTGTTTGTGTTTATCCTCATGTATCTTAGCAAAGGCAATCACCTGGGTAAAGTCAGTGGGTTGTGAAGCTAACACGTCATGATGTAGATTAGATTTGAGGCCAGAGGTGAAATAGCTCATGTAAAAATTGGTAGGATAACCAGATATGTGGTTGGAAATTATTTCAAACTTAGAGAGGTATTCATCCAAGGATTGAGTTTGAGACAACTTACACAGAGCGGCTATCAGGTCATCAAACTTGGAAGGGGCAAATCAGAGTTCAAGTGCTCTAAGGAAGGACTCCCACAATGTGAGGAGACCGTTGTTGAACATCCATTGATACCAAGTTAGAACTGGTCCCTCCAAATAGAACAAAGCTATCCCGGTGTGTTGCTCTGGTAGAGTTTGATGATAATAAAAAAACTGGGTGATTTTGAAAATCCAACCCAAGGCATTAGATCCGTCGAAGTTAGGGAGGTCAAAACAAAAGGGTTTTGTGAGAGATGGGGTGTTGGTGATGGGGGTGATGGTTTCTTTGTTTTCAAGGTGGGAGGTGCGTTGGGCTAATTCATGAAGTGTATTGGAGAAATTTGCGTAGGAAAGGAGGAGTTGCTTGAGTTGGCATTCGATGTTGAGAAGAGCTACAGAATGGTCAGCCATGGGAGGGGAGAAAGGAGCTCAATGAAAGCACCAATGAAAGGGGTGTACAGAGGGAAGAGAAGAAGATAGTGAGAGAGAATATTCTTAATTCATTTTTGCATACCTCGATAGATACTATAAGAGTGTTTTATATGCACTATAACAAAAAAAGCAATAACGTAAAAGAAAGTTCTTGATTATTAAACTTCATACAAAATAACAGAATTGGTCCTATTGTCAGAGGTGGCCCTACACGTGGCTAATATCGAATGTAATCCTTCAAACAGATAGGAACTTGAATATTTCTTCTAAATTTCTATTAACTGATGTCAACTATTGTACTTAGGTCCAGACTAATGAGTCTTTGAGTACCTTCTTCTGAGGTAGTGGGTGTGCTACTACGAGTAGTTATACTATTATTTACAATCAGATTAGATTTATTTCATAACTTTATATGATTTATTTAAAATTTAATTATATAAATGATTAAGAGAATATTAAAATATGTATTTTATATAATTTTTAAAACTATTTTTCATAATTAAGAGAATGCATACAAAATTAATTTAATAAAAGTATTATTATTTTATTCAACAATAAAAAAATATTTTTGGGAAAATATTATTTCTATTTCTCTAATATTTTTAGAATATTAGAATCTTATAATCTGATTGTCATTGGGGAATGCATAAAATATACTTCGAAGAGAGAGAACAAAAAGAAAGAGAGAAATATAAAATATATAGGGTGAATACGAAAAAATGACGGGTAAAATTGATAACTGTTATGTTAGCACCAGTATCTAACTAGTGGCTACTATATATAGAGTACACGCTCGAGCAACAAAATCAAAATCCACACTAGTTTCTTTCTTCATGTTCTTCGTTCACACATCGTACTGTCTCGTCCTTATATATCTCTCTCAAAATAAAACACGCACTTCCACTCTCACATGGTAAACATGTAAAAGAGTGTGTATAATTAACAAGAGGAACATGGATTATGCTAAGGTGAAGAAAGGAGGGTCCATAGAACAGGTGCAGCAGAGTGGAGAGGACGAGACAAGCATCAGAAAAGGTCCATGGAGCATTGAAGAGGACACCATTCTCACAAACTATGTCGCTACCCACGGTGACGGTCGCTGGAATTCCGTCGCTCGCTCTTCAGGCACTTATTTTTACTGTTATTCTAATGCTACAAAACACTTCGTTCTGTCACAGTCCTCTTTTCCTTTTTTTTTTTAATTATAATAATGTAAAATTAAATATATACGCAGGCCTAAAGAGATCGGGGAAAAGTTGCAGGTTAAGATGGCTAAACTACTTGCGTCCTGATGTTCGTCGTGGGAACATAACACTCCAAGAACAAATCACCATTCTTGACCTCCATTCTCGGTGGGGTAATAGGTAATTTAATAGTAAAGAATATACAAAAAAAGAAGTGGCAAATCCGCATAAGCACATTATTTAATTATAATTAAAAAATATATTTTATAGGTGGTCGAAAATTGCCCAGCACTTGCCGGGTAGAACAGACAACGAAATAAAGAATTATTGGAGAACACGAGTGATTAAGCAAGCAAAGCAACTAAAGTGTGACGTCGACAGTAAACAGTTCAAAGATGCTTTGCGTTACGTATGGTTACCCCGTTTGATTGAGCGGATTCAGCCACCCTCTCAAACACACCCAAGCCCAAGAGTACACGGGTCAGAAAGTTCTGGTTCGGGAACAGAGTGGGTGAAGCAGAGTTCATCGGGTGTGGAAGTGGATCACAACACAAGTTTGAATGCGTTTGGTGGCGGTGGCGGTGGCGAAATAATGGAGAATTTGTGGGAGGATGAGAATATATGGCTTATGGGACTGCTCTGTGATGATCTACAAATTAAAGACAATTTCCTTGCGTGACGCGTCGTGGGTTGGCGGAGGACAAAGATAAAGAAGGCAGAGTGAGCGTGTGATGTACAACTGCATAAGGGACAAGTCCATGTGTGTTCATAGAGCTATTGCTGCAAAGTACAAATGCTTCAAATTTACAATGTGCTTTGTCTTTTCCTTTAACCAATAAAAGTAAGGTAAGCTTCTTCTCTTAGTGGCCGTGAAAAGAGTTCCCCATATTTTTACTTTTTTCTTTCTTTGGCAAACAGTGAGTCTCTCTCTATAACACAATTACGGAACAGGGTACGAATTATTTGTTTATTATGTGGCAGATTTAAATATTAAATCCAAACGCTTCCATAGCCACAAATTATTACGGTGATAAAGTTTAGCAACCATATATATATATATTCATTCTTCTTGTACGTTGAACTTAATTTGCATTCAAATTCTAATATCACAAGTTTTAAAAAATAAAATAAAAAAACCTAACATAGAAGTTTATTTTTAAAGATGCAAGTGATGATTAATCTAAAGATAATTAGACTCGAATGTAAGTATTAAAATAATAAGGTCTTACGGTTAAAAAAACACAAAGGATATATAAGAGAACCATAAATTTAAATTGCTAAATCCACTTTTCTCTCATTTTATATTGAGTACAAGTTCAAAAATTCTAATGCAATCAAAGGTGCATGTGGATTATTTAGACCACAACCCTCCTCAGTTGCTTCTACGTTTGTTAAAGCTCTGCATTTTTGCATGGAAAAGAAGAGTTTTTGTGAAGGAAGCAAGGATTATGTGTTCCATTAGTAAGATCTTACACAGTGCCTTCCAATACCAAAAGCATCAACGCTTATACGTTCTATTTGAAAAGTTGGTTTGTTTTTTCTGCTTTTGAACGTTGTCTTCTTGCTTAGATCGATTTTTGGCACGAGTAACAGTGTTTGTGAATGGCCTCCACATTTCACGCTTTTGAGTGATGCGTATTAGAAATTAAAGTTGCTTTAGTGAACTTAAAAAAGAAAAAACCCATGGAGAATACATTCAAATCATAATTCATAACTCTTATATTTAAGCTTACTAATTGAGAAAAAAAATTATAATACCACAATATTAGATAGTGTATACAGAAATGAAACAGTAACATTATTTTTCAACTTTTTTAAATATGAGAGATTCTTTTGCGTTTTGAGAGCAAAAGGCTTTTGTTGTTTTTCTTTTAAAGAAACTGAGAATCAAGTTTCACGATTTTATTAAGAAATAACAAAGTCTAAATCAGCAGCTAGAGCAATATCAGGTGAAAATTTGTTCCACCCCATAAAATCATTATGTATGTAAATTATGTTAAAATATAAAAAATATTAGTAACGCACTTTTCTTTAATAATTGGTAGTTTTATAAGAGTTAAATTATATTTTAAAAAATATTAAGTTATAAGTAAATCCTTTAATTTTTTAAATAATTAATTATAAAAACATGTTAAAAATCATGAATTATCAAATTTTCCTTTAAAAACATCGTGCTTTAAATATTTTTTAAAAAAATTTAACTATAAATTTCATTCCATTCGACTCAAATAAAATCACTATAAATAACATAACTTTAAGATTAAGTACACAATTTTACTAGTCGATCAACGTGTTCAATATTATTGATAAATATTGAAATTTTATTTTAATATAATTATAAATTATTAAAATAAAAATTTAATTTTAATTAATGTTTACCTATTTATTAAATCAAAATAAATATCTAGTCAATGTATTTGTTAAAGATGATCTCAACTACAACAAAAAAAATAAACTAAAATATAAAATAAAATCAGTAAATTGTTTTTTTAAAAATAAACCATAAAAAAATTATATAAGTATTCATTTTAATATAAATATTTAAAATCATCACGTTTAGTTAATTGTCACGTAATTAATTTTTAAAAACATTATATTATAATTTTTTCTATTCGTACAAATGTAACATACATGGGACAAACTGTTTTAAATGCCACTTAATTTATTTTAAATAATTAATTTAGTTTCATGTGTATAGTTTATATATCTCAATTTTTAAATGAAAGTATTTTTAATATTAATTTTAAATTAAAATGTTTTTACTATTTTTTTTATTATGTCACGTGATTTTTTTATTTAATCTAAATATAATTTTAGTTTTATTTTATTATTATTTTTAATATAAAACAATATTCGTATTCTTAATTTTTAAATTTATTAAAATTTAAAATATTTATATAATATATCTTTTTAATTAAAAATTTGTTTTAATTTTATATTATACAATTAGAAATAAAAATAAGTCAAGCTAAGTTATACTATATATAAATAGGCTTGAACTATTTAATAATTTTGAAGCCTATTAATCTATCACATGTTATTTATTAAATTTAATTATGATTAATAATTTGCAACAAGAGTAAATAAAATTATTTTATTATTCTTAATTTAAAAAATTATTAATTTAAAAATAATAAAAAAAAAATTACATATAATATAAATAAATATATAAAAAGACAAAATAAATTATATTAAAAAATATGTAATATAATTACTCTCTAACTTAAGCAAAAAATATTAAAGTTTATAATTTAAAATTTTAGTATAAATTATTTAATAAATTATTATAAAATTATTTTTAAATAAATTTTAAACATTTTTTAGCTCAAATTTAATTTAATTGATAATTGAGTTTTTTAAAAATTTTAAATTAAATTTATTACTTAAATAAATTAAATCAAATTAAACTTGAAAAATATGTTCTATTTTTTTTTTAACAATTAAATGTATTTTAGCGTTTTTTTTTTTTTTTTTTGTGTGTATATAGGTATCTCAATTGACAGTTGAAATTTAATTTTTTCCTATAAGAAAGGAGTGAACTTTGTTTAGTCAATTAAAAAAAACTGATTGGACAACAAAAAGCCGAGTCTTAAGCGAGGAGTTATTCGTCTAAAACGACGCCGTTTATTGCTTTGTTCTCAGAAACCCTAATATGCTTTCTATAAATTCAGAACGCGAGGCCCGCCTCTTTGAGCCACAAGCTTGCTTCTGCACAAGCAGCGTCGATGCAGCCTCACCTAATTAGTCGTTCTTCTGACGGTGTTTTGTAATCCAATCCTTTTACGATTCTGATGTTTATGCCTTTGTTTGTGCTTTGTTTCTTTTTCTGAGTGTAGTTATGTATCTTGTGATTGAGATCACGGTGATGGCTCCATAAAATTCAAGCTCAACAGACCGGAATGCAGTGCTTTCTCTCTTTCGGGAGATTGCTTTGCGTGTCGACCACCCCGCTGAACTGAGTGATCTCTTTTTTTTTTTATTATTATTATTAATATGATTTGTTTCAATGATTTTAATTATTGATAAATGGTACGTGCTTGTGTGGGGAAAGAGTTTTCACGATGAGGATATAAAAGCTCCCTCTTCTGAAGTTGAGTTGAGGAACTTCGCTGGCAGAATCGAACCATAAAAATTTAGCCATCACTGAGTGATCTCTTTCCCCTGTAAATACTAAATATCAAATCTTTTACTACGCTTGTCTTCTACTAACAAATTATTTGTGTTTATTGTTTGGAATCGCATCCTAGTTTGATATGGGTGAGGTCTGTGATGTGTTTAAATTGCCTACATTGGCTGATTATGTTTTAAACTGATGTGTTCCAACAGTCTGAGACCTCTGAATGTGTTATATTCTAATTCGAAAACTTTACAATCTGAATGTGTTTATTCTAATTCGAAAACTTCACCAAATTATGCTTTGTAGTCATAAAATTTTTGCAGTTTTGTAGCATTTTTAGTGTTAAAATAATTTATTTTTCTGGATGTGGAGGATTATTTATATGATTTTCTTCTTCAAACGAAGAGATACGTTATTTTCTTTAAGCAAATTATTTGTTCTGTAAATGATATAGCAATTGTTAATCTTTTTGCTCTACTATTTGTGATATTCATTAAATTTTTAATCTATCAATATCGGATCTGGTTTTTGGTTAGAAACATACCAAATTCAAATATATATTGAGCTCTCAGTGAAGAGCTGAGAGAGAACAGAACAAATTCCTCTTTATAAGAGGATAGCATGTCAGCCACGATTTAAGACAATAAGACTCGAGAACAGAGAGAGGAGCAGACTCGAGAACAGAGTTGCAGTACAAATTCCAGGACAAAGCTTTTTAAATCATTTTGCACGTTAATTTTTAAACAACTCGACATTTTTCGATATATAATTTTATCATTGATATTTTAAAAAGTATATTGTATATTAAACTATAACTTTTCTGATTGATGAAATATTAATTTAAAAAGAACATAAAAAGATTAGAAAAGTATAATCTATTTATGAATGAAAAATAGACAAATAGTATTTGATATTACATTAAAACGTTAATTTTGTTATATAAAAAGATTAGGAAAAATGAAAAAGTAGATATTATAAATTAGGAAAAATAAAGAAACAATTAAGTTGTTAGTTTAGGGTTTAAGGATTATCGTAACTCCACTGGATCAACTACCATGTCATTTTGCGTTTTTTAAATATCTTTTCAGTTGGAGAGATTAATATTTCTAGATTTAGTTAGATACAAAACTGAATTTCTTTGTCAGTATTTAAGTAGACGATGATACTGGCCTTAAACGACACACCGGTTAACCCCTAAACACTCTAATAGGGAATGGTCAGTTTTGACATTTCTTTGCGGTCTTTATACAGTAAGGAATTCTACAAATTCATTGTCCAAGACGTTTAGACCCCTAAATTTTATTTTTCACTTTTTAGTAAGATGACTTTAAATACTTGACACACTATATGCGTAATATGTAAATTGAGACATTTTTAGAATTTAATCAATGTAAATACAATTTATGCACAATATGTAAAAGGTAGTTGTGAAATGACACCAATTTCAGCACATAATCATACAAATAGAGTGCATGTGCAATATATAAAAGGTGATTGTATAACAACATCATTTTTACTACACAACTGATGCAAATGTCTTCTAGTTATAGTAACTATTTATATTTCATTATTTTTACATTAGTGACTAACACAAAAGCCAATATGTTAGTAGACCTATTGGGCAAAATGGTGAATTTTAGTGTTGAATCATAGGGTACGAGATGTGTGAGAATAGGAAGAAATTGTATTAGCCAAAACGAAGCCTTGGTGAGAGAGGTGGCAGAAGCCTTGGTGAGAGAGGTGGCAGAGTGGTATGGTTTTTGGTATGAAGAGGTGGAATACTTAGAGAAGAAGGGCAAAACGAATTTGCAGTGCAAAAATAAAGAAGAATAGGACAACGAAAGGATTTAGGAAGGCAAAAAATACCCATTATATAAATCAGTTTAACATGGATTTCACTCGAAATGATAAAGGAAACAACGAGGTTTATGTAGGCTATGTGTATTTCAGTGAATAACCATAGTTATTATAATCCAAGTAACCTGTGTATTATTTATATATGTTACATGTTGTTGAGTAATGTAATGTGAATGAGGAAATGGCAAGTTCAGATGAAGTTGATATGCACAAGGATAGATACGTCAATTTTATTGATTTATGTAGCACTGAGATTAAGATAATGGAATTTTTGAGTGTTTAGGAAGGTTATAAATTTTATAATGAATATGGCAAAATTAATGGATTTAGTGTGAGGAAAAATAAACGGGGTAAAAATAAGAATGGAGATGTTGTGTGGCAGCAATTTGTTTGTTCAAGCCGAGGTTTTCGACGAGAAATGTACAGATGTAATCTCAATCAACTTCGGGAGCACAGAGCGATTACTAGGTTTGGCTGTGAGGTAGAGATGAAGATACATTTAGATGTAAATAGAGGGTGCTGGGTAGCTTATTGATTCTTTGATGATCATAATCATAATTTAGTTGATGAGAATTATTTTGAAATGTTAAAGTCACATCGTAAAATGGAGTAGATGATGATGTTGAACAGATGGGTCGAATGAGGAAAAGCAGTATTCCAACCTGCAAAATATATGACTCATTTGTTAGCCAAAGAGGAAGTTATGACATGCTTGGCTTTTGCAAAAAAGATATGTATAATCAAATTGAGAGAGATAGAAGAGGACAGGATGGGGATGTTAAGGAGGCAGAAAAATTCTTAATAAGTTTGCGCTTTAAGGATCCCAAGTTGTATTGGGGTCACAAGGTTGATTCTAATGTGAGGTTGTTGCATATATTTTAGTGTGATGGTATGAGTCAAATTAATTATGACATCTTTGGAGATGTTGTTGCCTTTGATGCTACTTATGGGAGGAATAAATACAAATGTCCTGTTGTAGTTTTTTCTAGTGTCAATCATCATAAACAGACATGTGTATTTGGGTGTGTAGTTGTGTCTGATAAAAAGGAGGATACTTATGTATAGGTCCTTCAACAGTTTATAACAGCAAAGAATAGTAAGTGTCCTAATTGTGTGATTACTGATGGTGATATATCAATGAGAAATGCCATCAGGAAAGTTTTCCCAACTGCTCATCATCGATTGTGTGGATGACATTTAATGAGGAATGTAACATGCAATGTTCGCAATGAAAGGTTTAATAAATTGTTTAAAGAATGCATGCTTAGTGACCTGGACACTCAACATTTTGAACAGAAGTGGGTTCTGTCGTTGAGGAGTGTCATTTGAGAGGTAATGTTTGGGTTGAAGAATTATATAATAAGAAAGAGATGTGGTGTATAACTTACATTAAGGTTAAGTTTTTTGCTGGGTTAAAGACAACCTCAAGATGTGAGGGTTTACATTCTCAAATTGGTAAGTACATTAAGTCAAGAAATAACTTAAGAGAATTTATGGAGAATTTTAAGCAATGTCTCGATAACATTCGTAACAATGAAAAGGAAAAGAATTTTAAGTCAAGTTATGGTCATGTAGTGCCTGTAAGTCATGCAGTTGAGTTGGAGAAATTTGCAGCAATGGTATATACTAGGAATGTTTTTAAAGTTTTTCAGAAAATATTATTGAAGTCAGTATCTTTAATAGTGGTTGATGTTATTTAATATTTTTCATCAATGACTTATATTGTTATGAAGTGTGGTCATAGACCAAAAGAATAGAAAGTTTGTTTAGAACCAACAAAATTGGAGATATGTTGTTCCTGTCTTGCAATGGAGTCTTTTGGTTTACTATGTCCTCACATTGTTGCAGTCTTTTGGTTTGGACTATTATATGAGAGTGGAAGATCGATGTTCCAATTGGTTTGTCAAAGTTAACATGAGGTTTGTAATGTTAGAGAAATTATGACAAAAGAAATGCAACGAGTGAAAAGAAAGTATGGACATGAAGAAATTGATTTTGCTGATTATATCATCAGTGATAGTAGTGGAATTGATGCAGACTACCCCCATTGCAAAAATAAATAATACGGTGGGTACATGCAGTGGTTTTGTTGGAAGGAAACACAACTGTGTGACACGGTGTGGTTGCTGTAAACTTGTTAGTCATACTCGGCGTACCTGTCAACATGCCATTAATATAAGTCAATCATTGATGATGACAAATGATTGTAATTCTTCATCAAGAAGTGTGTGTTTTGAAGAATATTTGTAGAGATTAAAACCTGGTAATAATATTTTATGAAATATGGTTATTGTTTTCAATTACTTCATGTGAATACAATGGGAAAGAATAGTAATAATAATATGGTTATATATGTTTTGCAGGAGTCTTTTTATTGTCCAAACACGATACAAGAACGACAATCTTGTTAAAGGAGAAGAAAGTTGATCAAATCAAAGTGTATTATTGTGTGACTGTTGTTAATTGATATAACTGTGTTGTTTATTTACGTTGGATTGTAAACCTATTTTGTTCTATTTAACAGTGGTGGTGTTTATATGTTATTTATAATAAGTCAATATGAGCTTTCATAATATGAAAATTTATGACATAGTGGGTGTAATATGACAGACATGTTATTTATAAAATTGACATTATAATAGTTAAGTACCATAAGACATAAGTAACTTGTTTGACTATTTTTAGCTAATGCCTTGAGAGAGATGTTGAAATGCTTAACACTAAATGCAGTATCATGATTTTCGATTGTGGAAAGATAAAATTTTTATTTTTACTCTATGTAGGTACTATTTTGTGCATATGCCATATACGATTAACATATTGTACATATGGTGGTGTACGATGGATAAAGATATACATATGTGTGACAAATATATGATTGATGTACTGTGTAATATGAAGATGGTTATGTATATATAAATATACATACATACATACATACATACATATATATATATATATATATATATATATATAGTGGAATCAAATTTGAAGAAAAGGATTGAAAATCACTTATAAAATAACCATCACAGTTTTGATTGTTATATTTAGGTACTTACGAGTTTGGATTTGTTTAATAATTGTATTGATTGATGATACCCATATGTACAAACAAATGTTGACGTGAGTGAGTCTATTGTTTTGGAACGAAGTATGACATAAATTATGTAATATTACTAGAACTTGGTTATATATAAACATCACCAGAAATTTAACTGTGTAGATTACATAAACTATAACTAAAACGATGTCGATGTTACGCAACCCAAACTAGAATAGAGCTATAGAATTATTTCTTAAGTATGACAGGATTGACATAATCATCTTTGATATAGGTCCCACATGTGTTCAGTGTTTCTTTCCAACCAAGCTTGTATCTGATTGCAAGGATCTAATAACAGTGATAATGCTGTCTTCATCCTTACTTTGTTGTGATTCACCTATATAAAACTAATGTTACTAACCTTGAGAAATATGAGAGTAATATTTGGACAAAGATCTTATGTATGTATGTGTGTGTGTGTGTGTGTATATATATATATATTCTTACCGCTCCTAAGAGATTGGTCTGGAAGTCATAACCCATGGATTCAACGTTGGTGATTATTATATCAAAAAATTTATCACCAACATAAGTACAAGTCACAAAAAACACTCCATTAAGGCCATACATTTGCATTATCGACCTTGCATTTTTCATAAAATCAATTTTGCGTTTTTTATAGACTGTGGCATTGATTATGTTCCCCAATAGATTTTTAAGCTTTATCTTTTTCTCCACCAGTTGATTATTCCATTTCTTATAAAAATCAGCATTTATAATTATATCATCCTAGAAAAAATAAAAGATATTGCTTTTGAAATAATGAATTATGGTTTTAAAAAATATCAAATATATAAATCTAATACTGTGTCATTTCATCTAATGAATAATGAATTTAAAAAAAAAAGAATCAACAATTTCAACCATTTAAAAAACCTCATACATAAATAATTTGTATAAATTTGTACTATCTTTTATTGATATATGACTTTGTTGTAATTATATAACACAAAATGCCCAAAAAGAATAAAGTAATGGTTACCCGGTAAGGTTTTAATTGATATCGGAATGAATTGTTGTCAAGATCTGTTCCTTCTTGTATCTACACCCAATATTGCACTGTCGTCATGCCTAATGCTTGACGGATACAACAAAAATTGTTTCAAATAGGTATTTTTTGTAAATATTGTTTCACACTCTTAATCAATGCTTCATATGTTGTTAAGTTTTGGTTCTTTTAATATATTATAGGTTGCCAACTTAATGGAACATGTGTCAGTTAATACACTTCACCTAAGTCCTAATATAATATAATTATTTTACATGATGAAAAGACCTTTCTATGAAGTTAGGTTTAAATGTGGACTCTACAGTTTTCACAATATTGACGCAAAGTTGGTACGTTTTTCACTTATTTGTATATGAGACATATATTTTTTGTCTGCAATCATCATGACTTGTCAAATCAAGTGCACACATGATTGACTTTACGTGCTCCAAATAATGTCATGTCAACCTACTGAGGCCGTCAGTCGCCATATTAAAGGGAAGTTAAAATTGACATGTTACATCTTCTCCAAGTATTATATAAACATCACAATTTAATCTTTGTTTCTGTTTTTAAAATTAACATCACAATTTCTTGAAAATTTTTCCTATTTCATTCATTTAATAATTATATAAACACAAGAAATTGAATAGACTGTACATGAGGTTTTGTAATGGCCATAATGGTATGTGACTTCAATAATCTTAAATGGTGAATAGGGCATAATTGTCCAACAATAATCATAGGTATCTAAATGTTAAGATTAACAATACATTTAGATATACCTTATAAGTACTTCAAAATAATGTTAAATAAAATATGGTATTATTATTATGTTAATTATTATGGCAATGTATTATTATTAGGGTATAACATTTTTTAGTGTAATTAAAATACTACAAATGGTATTATATTTATAATTGTTGTTTGGGAGTTAATTGATTTGGAGGGGGAAGGGTTAGGAGCTTTTTCTAAATGCTCCAAAACTGTCCTAAACTAGATTTTGTGAGTTTCTCCAATTTGGGGGTTTTTTAGTCCATAACAATATTTTTCTTCACGTCTTAATTATCAAATGAATGAAACTAAACAAAAAAAATTATTTTAAACAAATATATAATTTTTGAGTGATAGTTTCAAAATAACGAAGCAGTCCTTTTATGAACATTAACATCGTATCTGTCCTTTACATGATGTTAATACGCAGACGATGTTAAAATTTAATTATACTTCATCTGCATCAGGTGGTTAGATGTCCACCAATGTTGCAATTGACGCCATGAGTAATGTCATAATAGATTGAAATAAATGACATTGGATCTTTTGGTGCACCGATGTGTAGAATCATCAAATTCATGCGTGTTTATTAATGAAATGAATCGTTAAACATATGCCCTGTTCTGTTGGCTGGTAATTTCTGAGAGCTCACAGAAGAAAAGTATAATTTAATATTATTTATATCTTATTCATTTTATATAAATAATAAATCAATAATAGTAGAATGAAGTACAAAGTGATTTTCATACATTCTACAAAAAGTAAAATATATATATATATATATATATATATATATATATATATATATATAATCAATAATAGTATAATGCAAGATTTTGTAATTGTCATACAAAAATAAAATTCCTTTTTATATATTAAACGTAGGTGTTTGAAAATCATATATGAAATTGTACGTGAATATGTTTAGTTTCATGTTCAAATACTGATGCGTGGACAAATATAAGTTAATTATATAAAGTGATGTAAAAACAATTAGGTGTAATTGTTCAAAGTTCACAAAAATAAATAAAAAATGATTTACAATAAGAAAGAACACATTGTTAAAATATATGTTCACCGGCAGCAGCAGATATGTCAGGCACGATCAATGCGGACTTAAAGTTCATCTTGGACACCGTAGTGCCAAAATGAAATTTTATCTCCTTCATTTAAATTCAGAGTTTTACAAAAATCATACCACCTTGCACCCAAGTACCTTTCAGTTCTAGTCATGTTCTTCACAACACGTACGACACAACTTTTTACCACCAAACCATGCTCTTCCTTCAAAATGATGTGGCTCTGTCCTGGGACCATCACCTCTCGAACGTATTTTATAGGAAGACACTGAAAAATTACATGAAATTGAAAATATAAAAAAAAACATTTTAAAAAATTAATTGAACTTAATAACTAGGGAGAGGTACCAGAACATTCCTTCCAGATTCTAAACTTTTAGAAACTGTACGTTGCCACATTAGAACAAATGGAATTTCATTGTTAACAGTTGAGGGTACACTATAAGGATATTCGATTTCAACATTGTTAGCGTTGCTGATTGTTATATGAAAAACTTTATCACCAACATAGGTGAATGTAACAAAATATAGACCGTTAAGTTCATACATTTCGTGTATGAACTTTGTGCCATTTCTTATGTACCCCACCACGCCTCTTTCATGTATGGCGACAGTTATTACATTTCCCAACAGATCTATCAACTTAATCTCTTTGTCATATAGATGATATCGTCATCTCTTAGAGAACTCACAATTGATAATTATATCATTCTGAAAGAACAGAAAGCTGTGTTAATCACAGTATAATCGTTTACAATATTAATGTAACATAAACATGCACAAGTGCACAACATTGTAACAGGGCATATGTCACCGAACCTTAAAACAAAAAATATTTTTAAGTATTTCACTAATGTTACAAAATGTATAATTTGGGAGTATGTTAGTTTTTGGCGTACTCGGTAAGGCTTGAGTTGATACTGGAATGCATTCTTTGTCAAATCAGATCCTTGCATGATTTACTGATAATATTACATAGTGATGATTCGTAGTATAATGCTTCACTCAAATATGTATTAGATAGATAACTCTGTAAATGAACACCTCATATCCACGACATTGTTTTATACTTGTCATATAATAGAGATAAAGAAATTTAATTAATGGACTTGACCTAATAGTATTTATTAAGTGTGTTATTGCATGATACGAAAAGACACCATATTCAAATGTTTAAATAGGCACTAAACAGGTTACATATCTTTTTGTGCCTTCTCATTATGTTATTTATGTATGATGATAAGGTTGTTTGATAACATTATACGATAAGCTCATTATTTCATAAATCCTAACGATAAGGCTATTGGCAATTTGGCATTACAAAATATTATTTCATTTTTTAATATATTAATACATTATCATTAAAAATAATATCAATATAATTATTGAACAAGCATGTTTTAATATAACATGTTTTTGAAAACATAAAATATGACCTACACAAAATAAACTAAATATACAACAATAATTATAATATAATAAAGTAATACAAAAATATTAATATTTATTATTTATAATATCAAAATATTTAAAGTTAATACTAAAATAATATTTTAATATTAATTTGAATATTTATATATTTAATTAGATATGTCATTTCTTTACACAGGTCGGGCATAAAAAACGATGTAAAAGGCATTAATTGACAAATTTATATACTGCGCTTGCAACATTCAAATACTTCAAAATCCATTATGATCTACAACCCATGTCAAACGAGGCCTCTTTCAAATAAATCAAAATTGGTTATGATTTACAACCCATGTCAAACGGGTCCGCTTTCAAATATTTTCAAAATCGTTTATGACCTAAAACTCATGTCAAATGCATCTTTTTCTTATAATGCAAATTTCGGTTAGAACCTACAAACCTTACCACGACATTGTAAAACTGCAACCATCTTTGTTTTCATTTTTGACACGAGTTATATCATATAGTATAACTTAATTTTTGTATCATGCTCAAAATATTGATATTTCTTGTTATACAATTCAATTTAAAGGCGTTATCAACCATTCTGTTTATTCGTACTAATTTAAAAAATCTTACAATTTTGAAAGGCTTGTTAAAATAATTAATATATATTACTATAACCTTTTCAAAATACATCTAATTTAATACAACATTGATGCAATTTCAATATAATAAAAAATAATTTTATAAAAGTATTGAAAATAATTTGTTTATTAGGATTATTTTAAATGTATATTTAAGATAGATTTAAGTTAAAGGTACATTTAAAACTATCTTAACATAAACTATTGGATCTAAAACCGGTTTCAACTACAATTATGGTTTAAAGCATTATTAAACTAAATATAAATTTTAAACCACTTATATTAAAGCATCATATTTGCAAAACTATTTTATATTAATAAACAAAACAAAATCCTTAGATTGCAATGTTATAAGTGATCATAAACTGCAAAAAAAATAATTGTTTAATCACACACACATATTGCATACGAGTTCAATTCAATATGTCCAAAGAAAACCATAAAGCAAGTCACCAAAAAAAAATTTGAAAAGTCAAGCATTATTATTGTAACTGTTCATGATGCACGAGTTATACGAACTTCAAGTTCATTTTGCACTCCAAAGTGCCAAAATAATATTTCATCTCCTGGTATCAATTTCAGTGCTTTGCAAAAGTTGTACCACCCTGCACCCAAATCCCTTGGGGTCGCCTTCTTCCCATATAATATTTGACAAGATGAAGTGATAAGTCCATCCTTCTCTTTCAAAATCACGTGTGTCTGTCTTGCTAACATCACCTCACGAACATAATTAACAGGAAGAGACTGTACTTACAAATATACCAATAAAGTTGTTAAAATAAATAAAATCAACCATTCATTTAAATGACCAGTGAATTTTTATTTTATATTTATACATACCAATACATTATTCCCAGATGCGAACGATTTTGACACTTGTCGTTGCTACATCTTCACATATTGTAGTTTAATCTTAACGAAGGTTTTGGTTGCAGCATGTGGGTCAGTATGACGATATTCAATGTCTTCATCTTCAGCGTTAATGATTCTTATTTCAAAAATGTTATCACCATTGTACTTAAAGGTGACAAAATATACACCATCAAGTTGATAAAATTGTCTTATCAGTCTTGATGCATTTCTAAAATAGCCTACTATTGCATTTCTATTTTTATATATTGTCACATTAATAACATTACGCAAGGATCTTTCAGGTGGAAATGTTTTTCCATAATATTAAAATGCCATTTTCTATAAAAGCTAACATTGATAGTTATATCATTCTGCATCAATACAAAACAATAGAAGATATATATATATATATATATATATATATAATATTCCTTTACAAATTGAAAAACATAATAAATGAATAATGACAATTTCATCACCCAATAATTACAAAAATACAATACGTTCAATATCCAATAAATTGATGAAAAGGTTATGTACCCGATCACATTTCAGTTGACATCGGAATTCATTACTGTGAAGATTATTTATTGCCTTGCTGGATGTAAGAATAAAATTCCATGGTTGTTTATAATCAAGCGATGACTACCTCCAATATGATACTAAATCATAGGAATCGTAAACTTTGTACTGCCCATGAAGAGAAGAGCTGAAGAGGTTTAGTCACAAATATAAGTTGTTGTACTTGTAAATTTTAATGCATTAAATTTTATTTGACTTGTGGATATTTAAAGAGACAGCTCCTTTTAATTCTTAATGTGGACTGACACTGTTAGAGTCTATCAGGCGTGTATAGAACCCGAACAAACTAGTCCTTTCATCAATGATAATGGAGTTGGTGATCCACATGACATGTCACATTGTTCATAACTTCCTTTTACTGTCTAAAAAACATGATTGTAACACATAGAAGATGCTTCTGCTCTTCAGTCACCTATTCTCCTTCACCTTGCAATTTTTTTTCAAAATTCATAGGTATATATATTAATGCTTAAAGGCCCATTAAGCCCATGCTTCTGTTCATAATGTTCAGAGGGCAAGTGTACCCATCGAAAATTAATAAAGGGTTCTTAAATTAAGTTTATGAAATATCGTCCCACAAGAATTTATTTCTAATTACTAAGAATTTTCTAATTCAATTGTTTAAGCTTCAAAGATTCGAGATTAATTAAAAATAAGAATTTATAAAATCAATTATAAAATTACGAGTAAGGAATACAATGTACGTCTTGGTTAAACTTATCAGAGAGGAACCTAGGGCATATGGATTTTCTCATTCAATCCTTTATGTTATTCTTCTGTTTAACTCTAAATTTGATTTCCTTATAATTACCAATCATTCATACGAATACTAGTAATATCCAATGGTCATGCAAGACATTAATTTAAGAAAGCTTTAGGAGCCTACGAACTTGTTAATTTAATAACGATTAGAAGAGAAAGATTGGTTTGGTCCACCTAATCCTTTGTCTCGTTTTACCCTATAGATTTATTAATTAACTGAGGTACGGTCGCCTGACGATATAATTAATTAGGATTAAGAAATAAGCACAATAGGATAAAATCTAATTACAAAACAGAAATCAAATTTAGATTCAAGCATCAAAATTCCATAAATTCATGAACAATAGTTCCCATAGCCCTAGCTATGGACTTAGTTACTTATGCTAAAGAAAAGAACTAAAATAATTATAAACAAAGCCATAATAAAAAGAAATAGCAAACTAGAATATGAAATGTGTTCCTAGTCTTCAAGTACGATCGCTTGAAGCTCCAAGTCTTGCCAAACATGTGCCAAGGATCCCGTGTAAGAGAGACGAGATCAGATGTATTCTAGAGCCAAAGCCAAGATATAAAAATGGTGTTCTTCTTACGATGTCTAAGATCTCCTTTTAATAGGGTTTGAAAACCCTAAAAACTCTTGATAATTGGGCTTCTTGCAGATGAGCACGGTCGTGCAAGGCCTTAAGCACGACCGCGTATGGGCTTGAAGCACCTCGTGCTTGTTGAAAGGGTTTGGGCATGCTGACTGCTGCGAAGCTCTAATCTTCCATCAATTTGAGCCTAAAATGCACCCAACATCCACTTGCGGCCTCTTTATACCAAATTGCACAATTAATATATAAATTAGTGTAAAACTCAAGTAAAATAAAGGTCAAATATGAATATATGGACTATAAAATAGTGCCTAATTACAGACTTATCACATAACATGTCATTTCACGTCATGGTTTCATGTATATATTGCTCATTTTCACAACACAAATGCTCAACATTTCCTTGTTAAGGGAAATATTTAAACATTGGTTCTTTTATAATTGGGTTATGGTACAAACTGATGTATAAGTTTAACTTACTGTAATATTACCTACAAATACAAATATTAAGTTATTTAATGAGTTCCATCATTTCATGTGTGCAATTTGTCTCTTAAAGGTTGATACAACACAAAATATATCTGCATTGCACCACAAACCGCTGTATATCATCAAATATTACGTTTTTTTTTATTTTTGGTTTTAAAAATTTTAAATAGTGTAACATTATATTTTTATCATGCTCAAAATATTGTTATTTCTTTTTATAGACTTTATATTAAACTTTTGTCATACATTTTGTTTACTGATACTAAGTTAAAAAAAAAATTTAAAGCCTTCTATAAAGTATAAAGTAATTAATTAATAATACTATAATGTTTATGAAAATATACAAATTTAATACAACAATGATGTAGTCAAATAAATTAACTTCACATTAAAAATTAATTTTTTATGAATGCATTAAAATTAATTTTTTTTCTATTATTTTAAATTTAGATTTAAAATTCATTTTACTTAACACTAAAATTTAGAATTAAGTTAACATAAAACATTGAATCTAAAACCCATTATGGGTTTAAAGCATTATTATACCAAAATATAAAGTTACAAAGCTGTTATAAACTAGTTTAAATTAAAATAAATTTATCTATTCTAATATTTAATAAGTATAATTACTTTGTGTAGTGAATTAAAAATGCAAAGTAAAAATATTTCAATTTTATTTTAATACAATATGAATGTAAAATATGCACATAATTTAATTTTTTTAAATTAAATATATACAGATATATTTTTATATTAATTATATCAAATTTAAATTTTTAAATTTATAATATATCAATAATAGTATAATGGACTACAGTTTTTTTTTCATTATATCAAATAAAAATTGAGGATAATAAATTATATTTGATATGATTTGAATTGAATACAAGATTAATGCACATAGCAAATCGATTCTATCATACAAAATAATTTAATATAATATATGATAATGAGACAATGACATTCGTGAACTAGTTATATAGATGTATAATACACACCTACCGTCTTGAGGCTAATATTTCAAAATTCAAAATCGCCTTTGTAGCCCAACTGCTGTAAAAGAGCTCATCTATAAGTAACTTCTACATCGGTTAAATTGGATGACCGAATCAATAATCCTTTACAAAGTATATTTTTAAAAAAATAAAATGTTAGTTCTACATAGGTTCTCTCAGATAACAGATATAAAAAGTAGCGACATAAACTCAACATAACCGATGCAAATACAGTCCATGCGAAAAATGCATAAAGTGGTTGCCTAATGACATCAGACTTGCCACAAAATCAATGCAAATTGAGTTCATTTGCAAATATAAAAGGTGTTCACCTAATGATATTGCTTTTATAACACAACCGATGCAAAGGTAAAGGCCCATTAAGCCTCTGCTTCCATTCATAACAACATGTCATTTCACGTATATAGTGTATTTTCACAACAAAAATGATCAACAGATGTTTGTTAAGGAAAATTATACATGAGTTCTTCTATATGTGGGTTATGGCACAAACCGATGTTCAAGTTTAACTTACTGTAATATTGCCTACAAATACAAATTTAATTATTTTATTAGTTTCATCATTCAATGTACAATCTGTCTCTTAAAAGTTGATATAGTACAAAATGTGTCTGCGTTGTACCACAAACAGCTATACACCATCAAATATTATATATGTCTTTGCAGATGAAAGATAAAAGTACAACTAAAATAAAACATATCACTGTTAAATGTAAGCCTGAAGAGAGGATTCTGATACAGTTCCACGTTTCCTAGGAAACCAATTGGAACATAATGGGACCCAGTTCAAGACTTATGTTGCAACACGGAAGATTAAAAGAATAAGATGACCAACAAGAAGAAGAGGTAGAAAATACGAAGAATGAATAGAAATATGAAATTACCAATGTATCCTTTCATAAATGTAACTTGAATAACCAATATCCTATAATTCATTCTTAACCATTCGATTAAAATTAACGGTCTATAATATATGATTACTTTTACAAAAGTTTTCTTTTCTTTACTTTTTACAAAAGAAAGGAGGATATTAGAATCTGCCATCCTGATTGTTTACTTCCTCTTTGATATTGTTGACTTGATCCCATTATGTATAGAACATTATTTGGTGTTTGAAGAGACTAGTTAAAAATTGAAAAAAAAAAAAAAAAACTTCACTTCATGCACGATGTCTCTCTAAAACATAAATGAGAAGCCAGTGGTTGTTTATAGTCGTAACATACACAAAAAATATGAGCAAATACTCAATCCAATCTTGAAAAAATGACCTAACCTAATTGGTCCTTGTAACTTTTACTGGACACGCTAGTCCTTCTAACAATTTAACGTCGTTTATTTACAAAAGTGCTTAAATGATATGTTAATTGACTAAAATGATACCTTACAATTCTCATTTTTAAAACATTCTTTAAAAGTCTGAATAAAAAAATCAATTTGGTTGGTTAAAATAAAAATTTATAGCATAATTGCATGTGGTTTATTAAACAACTTCGGCAACTTCATGCTTGAAGATGGAAATCGCGATTCTCTTTGTACTGGAAAGGTTTGTGGATTGTCTAAAGGAGTTCCTATTTTTATGACGTAAAGAATTCATTTCTCACTGTATGATTTCAGAATTTCAGTTTAGAATCCTTAGACTCATTTTTACCATCATACATAGTTAATTTTAATATAATCTAAAAAAAAAATTGTAAGAATAGTTATCTAAAAGAATAAAAGGGATAACATAAATTTATTCGCTTAACATATAAATTTTATGAAAAAAATTAACAAAGACGTGTGTGATTTTTAAAAGTTAATAGATTAAGAAAACTAAGTCAGCAGTATTACGAGGATACACTACAGTTTAATGAGTAAATATAAACCTTTTTCAAAATATATAATATTTTTTATTCTTATATCAGGAACGTTTTCAAAATCTTTTTAGGGGATTTCTTGCGTAGAATGTGTCAAATGAAATGCTCAAAGGCTCAAACAAAAATAATAGAATTTCTGGTCGCTAAAAAGTTGGCCAGATACAAGACCCCTTTCATTTTTTCCATTTTGGAATCAAAATGCTGACCGAGAGTCGCAGCAAATCCACTGTTTGTTTGACTCTGAATCTCCAGAAGAGTATTTTTTCAGGTGCACTTGTCCTATAAACGTGTCAGAAGTCAAACGGTCAACTCAAAATCCCAGGTCAAAGTTTAAAAAAACAAAAAACTTGGGACTAAAAACTAATATAATATCTAATAAATAATTAACAATTGATAGTTGTAGTACTATTTGGCAGCCACCAAGCAATTTTGGCTTAGAATAATATACTTCAATTCAACCTAAAACTAAAAGTGCAGATCCTCCTAAATCCAACGAGAGATGAATTTGATCTCAAATCTCTTTATATAATAATCTTTACTTGCACTCTCTTAACCGAATTAGCCAAACCAAATCATATTATTTCAATTCCAACCAGAGCTACCTCTCTCTCGAATAGAAAATCCAAACAACTATTTAGTAGATTGTTAATTTGTAAATGGAGAGTGTTGACATGATTAGAAGCTTATCAGAAACATATGCAAGTGAAGAAGAGATGTCAATAACGAAAGGTCCATGGACCGAGGAAGAGGATTCTGTTCTCTTCAACTACATCACTGTCCACGGCGAAGGTCACTGGAACTCCGTTGCTCGCTCCACAGGCATGCATTCATGTGTTTTCATGCACTTGTAATTCTACAAAATCAAAGTCTTACCTAAACTAAATAATCCTTGTTTCTCACCATTAATATACATTTTATATACATAATACATATCCACCTGTGTCGTTAAATTCTTATGATTAATGGTTCAATAACAGGTCTAAAGAGAACGGGTAAAAGCTGCAGATTAAGATGGTTGAACTACTTGCGTCCTAGCGTTCGACGTGGGAACATAACCCTCCAAGAACAGCTCTTGATTCTTGATCTCCATTCCCGCTGGGGCAACCGGTATTACTATTATTATTATTATTATGAACTACATTAATAACAATTTTAGATAATTTCTTAATTAAGTTTGAGGATACTGGTCATCACGAAGAGTCTTATTATCTGTTTGTGATGGAAATTGTTAATTGAACTGATTTGTGTGTTATTTGTTGAAATTGAAGATGGTCGAAAATAGCTGAACATCTACCAGGCAGAACAGACAACGAGATAAAAAATTATTGGAGAACGAGAGTGGTGAAGCAGGCTAAGCAACTCAAATGTGATGTAAACAGCAAACAGTTCAGAGATACCATGCGTTTTGTGTGGATGCCACGTATGCTAGAGAGGATCCAGGCTCAGGCCTCGTCGGGCCAGGCCCAGCCCACCTCAATTTGCAACACTCAAGCCCACAGCGACCCTTGTGGAGTCAACGCCAGTTTGTTGTCAGAAGTCAACGCCCCTTCTCTCTCTGACTCTGGTGCATCTTATAATAATAGGGAAGAGGAAGGTGGCACCCTATCCCTATGGCAGAAGAGAAACTATTCAGACATATCATGCAATGGTTTCGGTGGTTCAGACTTATGGACGGATGAAAATATTTGCTTTTTGCAACAACAGCTAGCTGATGACTTGTAATCGTGTTTTCTTATTTCATGCATGCACGATTTAACATGTTCCAAAATAATGTTAAGTTTAATCACTTCACATTGCTATGTTTAAATCGCAATATACAGCTCCTCATGATTGATTAATTGTAATGGGCATGCTCCTACTCTTTATATTTCTTGCTTCTTCAGGGTTTGGATTGATTACGTATATGCACTGTTATGGGCGTTCAATTTCAATTTAAATCATTTTGAATTGATAAACCAATCTCAAATGATAAAAAATTGATAAATCTGTTAAAAAAATACTTCTGTTATCTTTCCTGTCAAGAATTTTGATAGTTGTCAGTAATTTTTTTCGAGGAGTTGTAATGTATTCATAATTTTATTATTTTGGTCTTTAAATTATGAAAAGAATGATATGGTATAATTGCGTATTATTGAATTGCTAGAAGTACTGGTGCATTGTTGTCAGGGTGAGTATTACTATTAAGTAATGTCTTGCATCCCACACAACCCAAATAATTTATTAGTAGTAGTCAAATTAAAATAATTTTGAAGTTGTATAGTATATAAGAATAAGAATACAATTAGCATTGGTATGTTAATATGATAATTTAAGTAGTATTAGCATAATAAAGATATTAAAAATTGAATCTTTTAATCTAATCTAAATTATTTTTAGTCAGATTGGATTGAAATTATGATATTCTATTTATCAAATCAAATTGCAATTTAATTTTATGTTCGGATCATGTAGTTTTATATTTATTAATTAATCTAAATCAAGCTGCGACCAATAGTATCATTTTAAACCCATTTTTGTTGATTTCGAGAGACGAATAGTTGGGTCTGATATTACTGGGAACAAGTTTAAAATCAATTTGAAAACTCAGAGTAGTTTGCAAGTGCCGTCTTCTACATTCGTTTTGTGTGATATCTAGAAGAAGACAATGAAAGCGTGATTAAGGTTTGACATTGATAAATTAAGTTTAAGGGTAGGATCAGTATTCAGTATGATATGGTTTAATTCAACGTGTCGTTGGAGCTGAGGCACTAATGGCCGCAACCTTTGAAATCCAAACATTTTCATTCTTCCTCGTTGGGTTGTTCACACGTAACTAGACAGTCAACTTTATTTCCTTTTCTTATTATTATTATTTAATTTTAATTAAATCAAAATTTATTATATATGTGTTTGTGTATGTGTGTTTTCTCCACTTTAAACCCAGCTAGGTAAGTTCGTTTTGTCACCCTGTAGAATGTGAAATGAGGCTTGGGACAGCGACAGAGTTATCATCGCAACAATGAAATTATAATTTTTAAATACGAAGTGTTTTAGAATCATATAGTTTGTCGTCTAATATAGATATGGTGAATCAAGATTAAATTGTTCTTTTCATATATATAATATGTTACTAGTTATGTGATTGTCACTTTCTTTATACTTCGGAGGGATTAATTGAATTAATCATGAAAGAGATGATGGAAAGGCAATAGATGTTTCATCTTTGAAGCAAAGCAAATTAAGGCTCCTATAGAACATTGAATAGTCAAAACTTATCTTTTACTGTAGTTCCATCTAAGAGTTCATTTACAAAAATATTGAAAATTTAAATTTTTAATTATCTTATTTAAAAATAACTATAAACAAATAAGATAAAAACTCAAACTTTAAATATAATTTTATACTAAAAAATTAAAATATACTTCACAACTAAATTAGAATTAATTAAACTTAAGGAAAGTATTATATATATAATAAAAACTATATATTAGTAAGTTTGTAGTAAAATAAATATTATATAAATAAAAAATGATGAATCTAAATTATTTAAAATATTTTCAATAAATAAATCACTTAAAATTAAAATTTATTCTTCTCTGATCTTAAATCGAGTAAAATGACAAGTTGTAGAATGCCACGTAGGGAAGGAGATTCAGCGTAAAAAGTTATTCATGCATATCACAAATATGTATAAAGTTTGCATTAGGTTTTTATGTCCAAAATACAGTCAAGACTTTGAATTTTTTACACTTAAATTTGTATATATTCTAAAGTTGAAATGATGCATTTCTTAAATAGTGAATAAATAGCCCACGTATGCAAAATAAAAAAGCAAACTTAAAGTTCAAGGATGAAATACTAAAGTTAAATTTATATAGGCTAACGTTGTTACTATTTTATAAATAAAATTGCATGCAAGATAAATTTATACAACTTTCTTTCAATTCTAAAAGTTGTTTACTTTATTTTTTTGTATGTAAGAAATTACGAAATTTAAACATGAAATGAGAACTCAGATATTTAAACCGTAATAATTAAATTTCTCAACTCTCCTGTTATGGGTTTCATAATAACGTTAAGCTTACCTACGTAATGGCTTATTAAACTTAATTTAACCGCCCAATTAGACTTATTCAATTAAATATTAATTTACATCGCAAATTTCTTTTCAAGCTTATAATTTTATTGACCCATTTTGTGAAAATCAACGTAAGGTCGGTGAATTATAATTGGATAAATATTTTTTTAACAAATTGAAGTATATTATTGTGAGTAAGTGGGTGTACTGGCGATGATGACTCTATACAAGCGTGACTCACTCATATGAATTTGAATTTTCAAATAGTTCTTAACGAGCAGTGAATTAATAATTAGTAGCTATTCTTCTATGCTTTTATCGGCTAGTAACCATTATCTAACACCCGAACGACCTTAATTTTAGAAGGAATATTTTATGATCTTTCGATCAATGATATGTTTTTAATAATTGCACAATTCGTTACATTTATTTCCTAAAAAAATAATCTTCTCCATGGAACCATAAATTGCAATTGATATTCGAATGAACTCAGTGGATCTGGAAAATTTGAAGATAGTATGATTGTAATGTCGGCTTTCTATTGGAAATTTTAAAGTGGGATGTCTTGACTTGGACTTCGAAAAACATGTCAAGCTTACTCAAATTTAAGGGAGTGGGAGAAATAATTGCATGACCGAAAAGCATTAGCACTTAAATAACGTTTGGCCATGACTCCATATTTACATGTTTGGTGGGGTCGGAGGAGAGAAGGAATTAAAACAGGGAAAAGAAGAAGAACAAGAAGACAAAAAACGTAAAAGAATTTGAAGTTAGTAATTAATTATTTTACTTTAAGAATGTTTGTATTTTTTTCCCCCTTTCCCACGTTAGAGTTTTCTGTGTCTTTTGGCTGATGATTGTCATAAGTACTGTTTGAATCTCTTAAATTAAGCAAAATCTCGTTTGCAGCCTCAGTTATAGTGACTGGTTAAGGCAAAAATATCAAACATTTAAATGAAAGGGTATGTGAATAATATTAAAACATTACACTAAATAATAAAGATAAACATGTAAATTTGACATTTATAATGCGCAGATTAAAATGTAAATTTTTTAAATGTTTATAAAATCTTGTTTGCAGTAATGTAATGTTTTGCATTGGAAATTTAAAGCAAAAGTCAAATGAAGCTAGTGTAAATAAATCCTCTAACGTGAGCTCTTAAAAAGAATATGAAAATATTCCAAAACGAAAAGGACTTACAAATAATAAATAATCCAAATCTAACTAGTCCATACTCTGACTAAAATTATGCAGGGCTAGAATATATATATATATATATATATATGAACATTGAATATGTTGTTTTTGGTGAATCAACATTGAATATGTGAAGCAGAGGCAGCTACAAGATGGGTATCTTGTTGGGCCTTGAAGAGGTCAAGACGAGAATCTCCGAGCCGTAGAGAGTATGCTGCTTGCTTGTACTGGGCCCATGTGAAGGGCCTATACAGACTTGGATTTTGTGGTGGCGACACCATCTTCGGCAGCGGTGTTATCCACCAATTAAGTGGTGGTGCTGCAAAGTACATCACCGACATCCTTGCCTTCATTGTGTTCGTTAATGCTCTGTGCCTCACGCTTATAAACCTTCCATTCGTCAAAACCTTCGCCGTTGTCAAAATAAAAGGCAAAACATTAGTAAATTTCTCCGTCTATGTTATGCAAACCATGATTAAAAATGTGAATCTGTGGTGCATGTAAATTCAGTCATATATCAAGTTAATCCATAAAATTATGAATATCAGCCAATTTTGGCTATTGAAATTACAAAAATATTATTTTAGTCTTAAAAAATCATATATGTGATGTATCTTAGGCTATGGTAGATATTTTAACAAACTCCATTTATGTTGAAGATATATGCGAGTGAAATTTGCGACATAAAAAATTTGTGAAAGATCTAATATTTAAACTAGATAGATTTTTATGTAAGAAAATTAAACTAAGAGGAAGATTATTCAAACCTTATAAAAAGTATTCAAATCATATCTTTAATTAACATGAGACATATTAATTAAATTTAATTATTTTATAAACAAAATTTTAAATCAATAACAAATCAGCTCCTACTTTCTCACTTTATATATTTTTCTACTTTAGCATACGAAATTATGATAAAAAGATAGAAAAGCTTTTATTTGATAAGTTAACATACCAAAATGATATTTTAAAGCATATAAGAAGGGATTTGTGATATAAAATTGTAGCTGGGAAAAGGTTGATTGTAGAGATGATATATAACTGGAGTTGATAAAGGGAGGAACCTGGAGGACATCACCAACCATGACGAAGAATTGATTGGGGTCAGGGGGGACAGGTATCCACAAGCCGTCGGTGGTGGAAATTTGAAGGCCTCCAACGTTGTTGGACCACATGATGGTCAATATCTGAGGGTCAGAATGCGCCCCAAAGCCAATGCTATTCTTGTTGCCCTGCAACCTGAGCTTCAATGGAGGGTAGTGATTTATCCTAAGAACTGAATCACTATGCACATCCCTTATCATCCTGCTAAGTGAGAACTTGTCTGGGACCCCTAACCCCTCAACCACCATATCCACAATCTCACACGCTACTTCTTTTACTGCTTCAATATAATCATTCACTACACAACTGCAATCAACGTACCAAAAACCATGAGAGCCGAGAGGGTTCAGATCACGACTCCCCAACATTATACTACAAAAGTAACAACATCTAATTTGGTGAACCATTGTTAGGCCAATCAAACCTTTTTATTGTTTTTCCATTTTTGTTCTTTGGACCATGTCAGTTACTGACTTTAGTCATCTAATATATATTTGCTCTGTTTTTTGGAAACAACATGACGATATCGTTACTGGTGCTCGTACCTCCACTCGCGATTGTACGAAGAGAAACCTATGCCAGCACAAACAACCTAAATTTGTTGTCGTTTCTAACGAACCCCATCCTAAGGTTCATGAACCGTCACACTATGGGTTCCCTTTTCAATGCCCAACATAAATACTTATTATCCAGAATACGAGAATGGCCTTTTAATATACTTATTAGTAAATCATTTCCAGATTTTAAGTAAAAACGTTACGAGTAATGCTATATTTTAATATATTTTTAATACTTAATGAATATAGTAAAATAATAATTTAAAAATGAAAATATTAAATATCTTTAGTCGATAATTAACGATAATTAATAGGAGGATTTGAAATTATTGAAAAGTTTTTTTAATTAAGCTTTGTCTAGCTGTCATGGTTTTCTTTTAAAATTACTTTTAAGCACTTAGATACGCGAGTGGATCCCGATGCTACAGCCAGTGTCGGCTTATAGTAAAACCAAGGTGTAACATGGTTCTCGTACAATTACTTTGCTTTTTGTGTTGGGCCCAGCCTTAATAGGAAAGTAAGCCCCATATATTCAAAACAATCATAGAAAAAAATCCAAACAATTATCTCATAATATGAACAAAAATAACCAAAACAATTATCTTATAACATATATGTGCACGACTGTGAACATGGGTTAAGCCGCCAAGCCACCTTATGTATCTTAATGCGACTAACTTGTTTTAATAATAATTTAAATTGTTACAGAATTTGTCAAACTAATTCTTTTGGACTTTAGATTGTGAATTGATTAAATTTTAATTCATATTTGAAAATTTTTAAATGTAAAACTGTTTCACACCTACAAAATTAAATTTAGAAATTCAGATTAAAAAAAGGGAGTGCCAATATATTATATTCGGCCTGAGGCTTACAAGATTATATTAGGCTAATAACTAAAATCATAGCATGTAATTAAATTATCCCCGACAAGGCCTTGTATATTTGTTTTATCAACTCACAATGAATCCATTTACCCTAATTTGATAGGCCTATACATATTGCAAATGTTAAGTGTGTATTTGTTCTCACTTTATCATCTTCTCTTAACACCTCTATACATTCAATCTTAATAATTACACTTTTTTTCTTTCATTAAGAGATAAAATATTATTTGTTACACCTAATAACAACAACAATAATATATCACTTTCGCAAAACTGGCTGAAGCCATCTACTTAGATAAAATAATTATGGCAATATTTAAGAAGAAAAGGTTGGATTACAGCCAGCTAAAATATTACACATTATCTGGTTCCAATAATACATATTTAAAATTAAGTTAAACAAACGAATGAATTTTACTAGATTAGGGGAATTTTTTTTATTAAATTATAATATAAGTAAATGTATAGAAATTAAATTATAATTTGCACAATACTTTTATTGCATCGCTTTTTATTATTTTTAAAATGATAAAGGTCAATAAACAAGTTTTTTAATATATATATATATATATATTAATAAGTAAATGTTTAAAAATATATATATCTTGGGGGGGGGGGGGGGGCGGCGGCATTACAATTATTCCCTTGTATTAAAATTGGAAACCACTGCCACAAGGTTGTTTGGAGTAGCTCGTGTGTTTGGCAGTGGACATGTTGCTATGTACCTTTTTAACTCGAATATTATAAATTGAATAGATATTTGATAAAGAAAGTCAGCTCGATCAATTGTAGAAGGAATGCAAATATATAACATAAATATTTAATGTAATGCAAATTTTAAAAAGTAATTGAAAATATCCAGAGATAGTATTCTGCCAAATCCCCTCCCCCTTGTCTCAATGTAAAGTACATGGCCAATAAAACTGTAATCCAAATAGAAGAATACACCATGACGATGATCATGGACGGATCCGGTAGAAGAAAACCCTGATCCAACTAATTCAAAGGTGCACAAGTCTTAATCATGTAGACGAAACATGCAAACGCATGAAAACAACCATTTTGATTCATAAATAATAACTAGCATACTTGATTTCAAAATATAAAGGGAAGATGTCCTTGACTAGGATTCCAAGCACGAACTACACGATCTTTTGGTAAAGAAACTTCTTTCACAAAATCGTAAGAAAGATATCACATATATGTTAAACACATGACTGTCAAAGACCAGACGTCGTTAGTCTCCTGGACACTTACTTAAGAAATAGAGACAAAGGCCTTTTTCCTTAACTTCCTCTTTACGTTCATTTGTATATCAACATAATTAATTACTTGTAACTTTTCTCAAACTCGGCCAGAATCAACCAAATATTTATATATCAAAAGATAAATTTATTTGAAAACAAAGCGATAGTTATATGCAATAATTGGATTAAAAGAGAGTTTAAAATTAGTTCATGTCAATATTTGATAAACAGTAAAAAACAAAAAAATTGAACTCCAACGAATATACACTAATTAACCTAATAGATAAGTATGTGTGCGTGTGTGTATGTCAAAAAATGCACTCAATAATGTCGTTTTCAATAATTGATGAAAGAAATAAAACCTAGTATTAGCACAAGGAAATTTTTAGCGAGAAAAGTTATATAGGAGTGGTACCTGAACTTGGAAGAGTCATTAGCGATGGTTTTGGATCTCTCAGATATGGAAAGCGGATTAGCATGAAGTAAGAGATACTCAAGGTCACCCATATCACCATTGGGGCCAATATTGCTGAAGCCATAACCAAAAGGAGTGGCTGGGCCAGCTTGGCGTTTTTCTTGGGTGGGTTTGGCAAAAAACTCAGTTCCCTCTTCTTCCAATCTTGAAATGACCTCTTTTGGCACACTGTGGTTGACCACTTTGAAGAAACCATATTCTTCACAGGCTCTTACCACTAGTGCTGACAACTCTGACCTTTCCATGGATAGGTCAATCGTTGGAATTCCCATTGCCTTTGTTTTCTTGCAACTTCTCATCATGGAAGTTGGAGAAGGCACAACCATTGCTATATATATATATATATATATATGTGTGTGAATGATCTATTAAAGTGTTCGGCTCGATACAAATAGAGTCTGAACAACTATATGGAGGAGTATAACTATAAAGTATGTTTTGTTTAGAGAAAGGTGGTATCAATATCGTGTATATATATATATAAGGGATGGAAGAGGAAAGAATGAGGAGAAAGGAGAGAGGGAGTTTTAATTTATATATGATTAAAATTAATTAAATTATAATTTGTAAGACCAAGATGGGGTACGATGAACAATTACATATTACCTAGGAAATCGATTGATTTTTTTAGTATATTTATTTAAGGAGGCATGGACTTTGTAAAGTACAAGATAGAAAGGACCTCAAAGGAGGAAGGAGTTGAAATCTTTGGTGTGCATGGAGCCTCCGCAGTTCTCACCAAATAAGTGCAATCGAGTCTCAGAAGATAATATATTATTAAATTAACTAACTAACTGATTATAAGATTTATTTATCAACTCATGGAAGGTGTCGGATCTCATCTTCAATGCTCGTGTATGCTCAAACATTTTATATATCATGTCATGTGCTGTCATATTATAAACACAAGCCAACTCTTTAATTAAAATTTTAATTTTGTTTGATAAAAATTATATTTATATATATTTTTAAATTTAGATCATAGGTACCTTTGGATGAAAACAATTTTATTTAAGTCAAATAAAATCACTGTAAAATAATAACAAAAATTCAAATATTTTTGCACTTAACAGCTCAAAAACACTAATTAAGTTATAATTACTTTATGTTAATTAATTTACACAAACGCATTTGATGGTATTACATTGTATATATTAATACAACTAATCCCAGTGCATATTTTTAGCTGTTCAATTTAATAGTTGAAAATATTACCTTTTTGAATTTATATTTTAAAAAATAGAAGAAGAAAAAACAAAAACAGAAGTGCCTACATATCCCAGCATAATAAGGGAAAACTAGTTTACACCTCTATTTTTCGTTTGTTAAAGATATACTACTGGTTTTTACCTTCTAAAATCAGTATATTAATTAGCTAAACAGTGTTTCAAAAATAATTAATTTATAATAAACAAATTATAAGAAAGCAAATCATAATTAAATTACGATAGTTACCATAAATTGGTATAGAATAGGTGATGCGCAAGAGACATTTTCGACCCACTATATAAAGCAATATTCATATTGATGTGAATAAATCAACAACTTTTTTTTTTCTTAATTGAGTCCCGGTTATATGCATCTCTAAGATCGAATCTCCTCTCGTCTAAAAACTATATACCTATTTCATTTTGATTTTCATATAACAAAATGGCAGCGTTATGTGTACGTTTGAAATTTCAATTTACTTATCAATGTATGAATTGTATTAGAAGAAAGAACGAGAGAGAGAGAGAGAGAGAGAGAGAGAGCAAGAACAAAAGAAAAATAAAGCCAGCGGAACAAATTAAATAAATTGCAGAAGAACTAGCGTAGGGTATGCAAACAAGCAGTTGCTTTTGCATTATTGGGAATAAAGACGGATTTGAAATGGAAATGCTGATAAATATATGGAGACGGAAAGCAAAACTAATAAAGGTACGGTCTGGTTTTGTTTTTGATAGACATGGTGAATTTTTGGTTATATATTAGAAAATAATTAAGGATACAGCTTTAACATCACTGGGCAAATATATGGTTCACATAGTACTGAATCCCCATTGGTGGAAGATGATATGATGAGTTGTTCAAATTTAATTTGCTCAAGTGTACTTGGTAAAATAAAATGAAAATAATAGAGTGCGTGAACTGGAAACATTGAATACGATCAATATCCCTCGTTTCGTGGTGATCAAACATAGGTAAAAAGGTGGAGATTATGAGGACCATCTTAGATTCAAACATTCGCTGAAAAAGAAAAGAAAAAGAAGGGCTAGTGTCATCATGGAGAGTACTAGTTTATTGAAGAGAATCTCCTCACTAATTACAGATATCGTGCTTTCAGACAATAGTCATTTCCTATATTTTAGGTTTGCTTTCTCGTATGTAGGTCCTACACTTTGATGGGCAGGTCCCACCTAGATCCAATGGAGAATTATATATATATATATATATATATATATATATATATATATATATATCCATACAAGGTCATTGTTATTTATATTATTGTTGAATTAATTATAAATATATATTTTTAGTTATTTGTATTGATTTTTGTAAAAATAAAATATTTATAAAATAAAAGTAAAAAATATGTTTATATATTTTAAAGATATATATTATATTAATTTTGATTTGCATAGATGAAGTATAAAACAATTTTATGTTAATTTAAAATTTTATGGATATAATTAAAATATATAAAGGTATCAACTTATTATAATCTGAGTTACACTAATTAATATTTTTTATTGAGCAATTTTATTTTAAAATTAATTATTAAATTAAAATATTATTATATCATTTATATTTTATAAAGTTTTAGATTAATTAAATTTTTTAACACTTATTTGTGTACACACAAAAAATATAACATATACTTCTAAAATATAGAAAAATAAGAACCATTTAATTTTTTTATGATTTAACAAAAATTTAAGTAATATATTGTTGTAATTTAACAATTAGATAAATGAATATTAAACTTTATTCCTAAACATTACTTGTAATTTTTTAATTGTTAGTTGCTTATATGTTGACAAGTTTATTATAAATTGAAATAAAATTTATTAATAAAGTATAAAATATTTTTAGATTATATAAAACCTTATAAAATTAATCTATTTAATAAGGATATTTAAACTAATAATTAATTTAATAAAATTGAATGTCTATAAAATTTTATCAACCCAGTACTTATATTAGAAGAGTGTGTGTGAACAAAAATTGATTAGAGATTTAGTGAAAGGGAAAGAAAAGAGGGATGAGTCTTCCTTTATACAAGATTAACCTCCTATAATCTCAACCATGGCACCATAATTCTTTCAATCTCTATAGAACTCCTTCAAATTAACTCAACCATACACATCGTTGAATCTTCCTTCAAGCATGACAAGTTGAGCTAGCCCCCTATCCAAATTGTTATCATCTACAATTTCCTCAGCCTAAACCTATAAAACATAGTGAATACAGTCACCTTACAAAGCAGCCAAGAGATCAACTACGTTCTCCTACATAAGAGTTTTCATGACTAACAACCGTCGAAATGCCACCACACATAAATTGTTGTGTGACTGTCATCAACCTCCTCACCTCACTGTGATTCAAACTAAAGCTAAATAAGCCAAGTTTCCTCACCAACAAGACCGTGTGCTCAACCTAACTCATGTGCATACCATCACTACAAGAATTAACTTTTTCATGTTATTAAGTAACATGACATGATCACGTTGAAAATAATGAAAAAAATCTAAATTTAACTTCTGTTAATAAAATTGTCTTTTTCTACCTAGCATAGTTATATCACTTCATTAAAAAAAATAATCTAAATCTAACTTCCATTAATACCTAATAAAATGGCGTTTTGCTTAAACTGGTGAGTTTCTGCAATGATATTCCACATTTGCCATGGCCCATGTGGCACCCTTGGAAACAAATTTCCCGACCTCCCTTTCCCCACGAGTCCCATAAAGAAAAACTCTGATCAATTAATCTTCTTTTCTGCAGAACAGCTGAATCATATTCATAATTTGGTTTCATGGACTGGTCCCCTGATATTTCCTTACAGGTTTTGGATTCATAACTTTTTATGGTGCTGTTAAACTCAAAATTTTTTATATTTGCTCGAATAGTACCAGAAATGGTGTTACTTTACGTCTCCTTCATTTATTTATTATTATTTTAATTAACGTTGGTGTCATCACTATTTAGCTATGATTATATTCTTTAATTCATTGTCGTCGCCCTTTAATTGTCGTTTAGTAAAAGTGGGGACACGAGAGACCTAAAAGTTGTTTATTGATTATAAGTCAAGTCTTCAACATAATAGTTTTGTCCTATTGATTAATAATAGAGTTAATTAAATCAGATTATATATGTATGCATAAAGTCAGATTATATACATGCAAACCCGGATCAATGTTTTGTTCAATTTGATTAGATACCTGGAGGGGGAGGGGTGAAAACTGCATTTTAGCTAGGATCGATCAACAGATAACAAAGTTTTGCCACGCCAAGTTGCTAATTTTATAAATAAATGGAAATTCAGCATATTTAATCCTGGTTTGCAGTAAGAAGGGGTTTAATCATGGGTCCGTTGACCTTTCCCATTTTAAAAATATGTTTGGTAAAAGTAATTAATAAATTAATTGAAAGCTAAAATAAATTAATGTTCGAGTGTTATTAATCAGTGTCTTTGATATTAATTAAGGAATCAAAATATATATATTGAAAAATATAGTAAGAGTAAATTAATAATATTTTTAATAAAAACTTTTATTTTTATTTTATTTTTTTAAATAGTTGGGAACTGTTAAACTATTTTATTGAGCTGATAAATTGATAAATTACGACAGTTTAATGGCCTCTAGTCTTCTATTTTTTACAATTTAATTGTCTCATGCTTTAAAAGTTAATTTAAGCACAATACTTCATTCATTCAAAAACAATTTCTTTTTTTGACTATTGTTGATTGGTACAATTTTTTAGACAAAACTAATGTATAGATGACATGGGTGATTTCTGTTTTATTCCTTAATTACAGTTTTATTCTTTAATTTATTGTTGGACTCGTAAAATAGTTACTAGCTTGAATTCGTATTAATTCACAAGTAAAATTTGTGCATTTTATAACATTGCTCGTGTTTTTTATATTTATTTTTGTATATATATATATATATATATATATATATATATATATATTGAACTGGCTAAAAAATCACAAACAACTTAAAAAATAAATAGGATACCCAAATATAGTAAAGAGGCTAAACAATTTAATATTTAAGGCAATTAGTTTAAGATCAATTATTAGATATAACGTATGATTAACTTTTTACTCTCTTAGGCTTAAAGTTGACTCATAAATCTAATCTATTTTTCATATATCAAAATTTTAAAATTATTTTAATTTAAATGAAATTGTTGACAATTATAATTTTATCTATTTTTATTTTTAAATTTGATTTACTTATCACCGTGATCTAAGGCATGACAGGAGGAATAAAAAATAAAATATTAAACGTATAAAAAATACATAACTTAATGAAAAAATGGAATAATTATTTAAATTATCTGAAATTCATATTTATATTATAAAAAATGAAAAAACTGACCACTGAATGAACTATTCATTTGAGAGTGAGCAGGAAAGTGGTACGACGTCGTTGTACAGTGCCCATTCTAATACGAGTGGAGAAAGTGAGAGGAAAAACTTGAAAAGGGGCCTAATTGATAATTCCCCAAATCCATAGTTGTTTTGCGTTTGCGAGCTGTGTAATGGAGAAATTGATCCAGAAACCCTAAATAGCCCTCAACGGTATATGATTGTGAATGGACGCGAAGGATATATTGGGATTACCCAAAAACTCATTCCCACCCCTCGAGAAGAAGTCTCGACCTCCCAAAGAGTCTAAGAGAAAACCAGATGGCATTTCGCGCGAGGTAGCATTTCTGAATTTTTTTATCAATTACTGTAATAATGCAATACTCAGTTCTCTGTTTCTGGTTACTTAATTTTTCTAGGTTTATGCGCTTACTGGTGGCATGCCACCTCTTATGCCTGCTATTGAACCATCTCAATTGAAAAAAAAGCCTCCTTCTCTTGAAAAGGTTTGGTTTATTTTATTTCTTTCTTTATTTGTGTTTTCGAAATGCTCAATTAATCTGGTGATTTAACTTATTAAGGAATTTCACTTTTTCTTCCTCTGTTCAGATCACTTGGCAATGGCTTCCTTTCACCAGTTCTGCTCGTAAAGATAATCTTCAGCTTTACCATTGGGTTAGACACAGTCCTTGTAATCTTGTATCTTATGTGTGACTATGAGCATGCAAGTTATTGTTGTTTCTCTCTTCTAATTCAGGTTCGAGTTGTCAATGGTATTCCTCCTACGGGGAACTATTCTTTTGCCAAGTATAATAAGGTAAATGCAAGTGTACTCTTTGCCTTTGTGCATGTTCTGCAATGCTTTGTTTTTGAATTTAGCTTTAGTGAACGTCTTCTGTTTGCATCATTGAATGTTCGTTTATATGGTGTGCTGCAGTCAGTTGACGTTATCAAGTACACAGACGAGGAGTATGACAAGTATTTGACTGATCCGGTGAGTATCATGTCTAATTGTACAATTCTATGGAACTTGATGAATGGTTTGCTTAAACTGATGTTGCTATTTTTTATGCCACCCAAACTGAATTTTATTCACTATATCAACTTGTGATTGTGGGTTCTCCATTGACTTCTATTGCAAGAGGACAATTGAAAGGTATTTTTGTGTATACACCATTAGAAGTGTTAAATTGCTTGTTACTTGTGATGGAGCTTATAAATCATTACATTGGAAAGGCCTTTTTTATTTTTGGAAATTGTGTTTTTTCTGTGTGGGCTAATGACAAGAAGTTATACCATTATATCCAAGAGGTGTTTTGTTTAGTCATTAATTTAACAGATTTTGTGTAAAATAATTGATGGACTGATAGAGACCTATTACTAGTGAGCCAAGCAAATGGGCCTAGGACCTTGAGGGTTTACACTAGGAGAAAAAAGAAAGAAAGAAAAAAATATGACACATGTAAGCTGGTTTATTATGTTTTCTGCTTTGCCTCTTGTAATATACCAATAGTGAGTGATAGTTATATAGGAGGAGTAAGTTGCATGGATTCATGGATTCCTTTTTCTGTTATTATTTTTGGCTTCTGGCTTTGGGCAGCGATTGTTTTCTCTGTGGAGCACTTGCTCTGTTGGGGGAGGTTGTAGTTCTCTTATTTTGTTTCTCTATTCAAGAATATTACACATCTCTGCTCCTTGGTTTCCATTATAAATCCTTGACCTTGAGTTTAGTGTGAAGTTGGATTAATATACTTTTATGAGTGATGACATTATGCTATATATATGTAGATGTGGACCAAGGAGGAGACAAATCAACTATTTGACTTGTGTGAAAGATTTGATCTTCGATTGGTTATAATAGCTGATAGGTTCCCATCATCTCGAACTGTAGAGGAATTAAAGGATCGATATTATAGTGGTATGTCTTTGCTTAATAAATTATTGTGTGTTGCAAATTTTCTTTTGTTCATACTTTAAGTTTGATTTGATGGAGAATGTGTAAGCAAAAATGTGATATTTGAACATTTTTCTAATTTCATGCCCTGTCAGTATCCCGAGCGATATTAATTGTCAGGGCTCCATCTTCTGGGGATGTTGCAGCACATCCTCTTGTAAAGGTGCAGTAAAAACAAACTGGTAGCTGCCTTATGATATTGCCATGTGGTCATAGTAGTAACTTGTCTTTCCTCCCCATTGTAGGAACCGTATAATGTTTCACAAGAAATGGAGCGAAAACGAGCACTATCCATGGTCCTCTCTCAAACAAGGCAACAAGAACGAAGAGATGAAGAGGTTTTGACCTTTCTATAAAAAAGTTAAAAATTAGTAGTTTACATGTTTCTCTATGAGCATACTTTCACAGCAAATCAAATATAGCTACCTCCTTCTGTTATTTTATGCAGGTTCTTGTCGAAGCAAAAAGAATAGCTGAATCACGCATTCCTCCTAAGGTAATTTTTTAAAGATTTATTTTTTCTATAATACAGGTGTAGGGGAGGAATCATTATAAAAAATCAATGTTAAAGTTTTAGATTATCAAATTTGGATTTCTTGATTGATCATGATTCTAAATTCCTACACATGAACTTAAACTATTTGGTGAGGTTTCTTATGTATTTCTGCATCATACAAAATTATCCTGGTATTTACCTTTTCATTTGAATTGTGGCAACAAATTAATGGAATATATAAAATATATTCACTTAAGCTGTACAAGCATCTGTGTGTCTGTCACTGTGATGTCATGCTGTTCTCCCCAAGTCATATGGACCAACCTAGCTGCTACCTTAGGTTGAGTATCGATTGTGTGGACCAAGCTCCACCTCTGGCTGTGCCCTTTGACCAAACTATTTGTAGGTCATCAGATTTTTAATTGTTGCTGGCTTGCTGCTAAAGGGAAGGAACCAAAAACATCATCACCCATGTGTAGGTCATGGGATATATATTGCATAGGGGGCATAGGGTAGACCTTACTTTTTCTTTTACATTATTGTGTACTAGAAACTGATTAAGGTCTTCGCCTGGGGCCAAGATTGGAGCTTTGTGTGTATTGAGATAACACATGCTTGATTTTATGCATTTTAGGTTGCTGAAGAGTCTCAGTTGGTTGCTTCTAATGCTGGTGCGGAAGTTACAAAGAGGACTGTCCCGGTTGAGACTGTATCTCCGTCCAATATGCAACTTCCATCAATGGTTGTGCCTTCTACATTATCAGATAACACATCTACTTTAGCTTCTCTTCGCATGGTAAGTTATACAGAAGGTTTATGGTGATGCATCCTCTGTTCACTGACACATCTTTTTAGCACCTCCTAAATCTCATTCCCTGCTCTGCCCATAGGAAAGGTTAACATGGACACTGATGTTAAAAAAATTGATCATGTATTAATCATAATATTTCAATAATAGTTTTTTATGAGAGGCCATTTCAGCAATTTTTTTTATCCTTATACATTTGAACATAGTCTGACAGCGAAACATTTCAGCTTCATGTATATTTGAGAACATATGCTCTTGAGCAAATGGTACAAGCTGCAAACTCTTCTGCTGGACTTCGAACTATCAAGCGGGTTGAACAAACTTTGCAAGATCTTGGGGTTTGTTTTTACACCTTTGTTATGCAGTTATGATATTTCATTTTTTTTTGTCCCTGGTGCAGTCATGTGGTATTCACTGATCTGTATTTGTTACAGTATATAAAGACAAATGTTAATGAGTGCCTTGATGCAGTTGTTAAGGATTCGAAAATGGAAAATGTTAAATAAAAAATAAAGTTTTTAAGTTTCCAATTTATTAATTGTTGTACTTCTATTAAATACTTTTCTATGTTTTTATTCTCTATCTAGTACCCTCTCAGGGTACTCATTAGTATTACTACTTAGTAGGCTAGGGCCCATTTATAAAGCCCTTATGTTCTTCATTTTTGGAGGGCTGATGATTTTAAATGCCTGTTTTAACTACTAAATTGGTATTTGGTTTTGTGTGTATGGCTGCAAATGAGCTATATACTTTCAGTTTCAGAGATCTATCTATATACTTTCAGTTTCATAGATCTATCTAGGCTTGGCTTGTGTCAGCTTAACTAGCCTCATTATATTATATTATAACATAAAAATATACTTGAGCTTATTTAAGCTTAAAACCAGCTTTATTACATGAGACTGAGAGGAATAATTTTGAATCATATAACTATACATGGATGGTCAAGATTAAAAGATTTGGGAAATCACATGATCACTTAAAAAGTCACGTGACTTTAAATAACTCACATGACTTGTATGTTCTAATCTTGATTATTCATGATAAGATCCTTTTCATTTGATACATCACACACGCATACATATAATCTGAGCAACAATGTGTTGTTGTGTGTATCAAATTTGAGCATATCATTGGATTCATGAGTTATTATACCTTTGTATATTATACCCAATCACTTAAGAAGAATAGTGATTCTATTCCTAATGCATTTCCCTTTTAATTTGGTTCTACTGGTATTGCAGGTCAATTTGAAACCAAGGGTTCCCACGAAAGCCGTTTGTGCAGAGCATCTTGAACTAAGAAAAGAAATACTAACTTGGCTGAATCTCCAGAAACAGGTATACAAGAGTTGCAATAGATATATTTGCTACTGGGAGCATTATTTATTGTGTATTCTTGAGTAGATTTTGAGGATCTCACTAGTTAGAATGTCCATAGGGCTGCCTTTCTAATGTTTATTATTTTATAGGAGTAGCAATGTTAGTATTTGCTTGCTTTTCCCAATTTCTTTAATTTAATCACAGTAATGGTATTTGTTTCAGGTGCAATATAAAGAAGCAGAAGGCTCATCTTTCCGTGATGGGTCATATGGTGAAACACCAGGCACGCCAAAGGTTAGAAACCTGATTTTGGTTTTGGTCTTTCCCCCCTTATTACTTTCATTGTTTTAGGCCTGTGATTGTCCGAGCATTCCATTCTTTTACCCGAACAAGAGTTTGTGATTTAGAAACTAATGACAGCTTTTGCATCGTAGTGGGGATCAGGATCGGGCATTTATCTCCATATCATAATCTTGATGCAGCTGAGTCCTCCCCGTTCATTCATCTCCCTACACATATTTCTCCGTGACAATGAGGACGTTCCTAATCCTAGGCGGAGAAGGTGACATTGAGAATATCTGGAAACTTGTCTTTGATAGCAGCTTTGATTCTTGATCCAATGGACTCAGGCCCAACATACTTCACAAGACACTCCCCACCTTCAACGGACAACACTTCCACACTCCCTCCATAATTCTTAATGGCCGGTCTCAATATCTCAACATGATTATTCACCGCCTATAAATAATTTCAATTTTCACCTCAGACAATCATATAATCACTTTTTATTATAAACAATTTCAATAATTCAAATATGTAAACAAAAGCTAACCTCAACTGTTGTCTCTCTCGTTTCTTTGCCGTAGATTTGCCGTATATCCTTCACGGCGTCGCCAAATTTTTCCTTGAGAACGCGCTCGATCCCCATTTTCATTGTTGTGGTGGAGCTAGGGCAACTCTCGCATGCTCCTTAGAGACGTAGGGATATAACGCCGTCTTCCACGGAGACGACGTCCACGTTGCCGCCGTTGGCGATGAGGTAAGGGCGAACGTCGTGAAGAACGAGGTCAACATTTGATGCGGTGAGGTCAAATTTCGTGGCAGAGTATAATCCGGGAGAAGACTGAAGATTCTGGTTGTGATTAGAGGCAGAGACCAATCGGATTGTATTGTTTTGCTTTTGAGGTGTGAAACTGAAAACCGATGATTTGAATTCATGGTCATGGTTGAGTACTGAATCTAATTGTGGAACAAATAAGGGTTATTGCCGTCATAGGAGCCACTAATCACAGACTCACGAACACTACGAATGTGAAAGATATTTTGTTTGAAATAATTTTTCGTAAGAGGCAAGTGTCAATGGTAACTAACCCACTGGGCTTGGGAAATGGGCCTCTCACGTGTTTGGGCTGTCGTCATTTGTTATTGGAACTCTCGTTTGTACTAAAAGCCTGTTTTATATAAATGAAATTAAAAGTAACTGTTTAACAAAAATTATTTCACTTCCCTCTTGATAGCTTAATATTATGTTAGAGCGAAATAAAATGTAATTTTTTTTTTAATTTTGATTAAAATTTGAAGTAAAAATATTTAATAAATTATATTTAAGTTATATCGATTAATTATTAGAGAGCACTTTGATTGAACTTTGTAGATATAGCATCTCGTAAATTTAAAATATAACTATATTAGGAGCTCTACATTGTATTACCACAATAACATAGTATCAAAGTTTTGCAAGTATGATAACAATGCTCTCTCACTCATCGGCTGTAATCTCATAGTTCTGAAACCTTATCTTTCATTTAAGATAATAATACGGCATTAATCAAAGAAAAAAAAAATATAAGTTACATCATTTTATGGTCAAAGTAATACTTGAACTTAACATTATTGTATAAAATTTACTATCAAAAGTTCACTAGTATTAATGTTGAATTTTTTATTTTTTTTTTGTTAACTTATTAAGACATTTGAACCGACCTCTAAAAAATTTATACGTATTCAATTGAATATTGAATATTTGGTAAAAAAAAAAAAATCATACGGTGAATACACATACATACTTCAATATATATATATATATATATAAAAGATTTTTTTACATTAGTGTAAGTCTAAAAATTTTTACACTCAATTTGAACTTTTTATTTAATTTAAATTTAACGGCCAGTAAAATAATAAATTATAACCTATTAAATTTAAGTTATGAAAGATTCAGATTGGGTATAAAAAATTTTAGACCTATACCAATATAAAAAAAATCTTTTTAATATATATAAGTGATTTGAATCTTATTCAATTTTCTACCTAAAGACGAATATTTTGGAAGCTGACAATGATTGGTTGGTTTGGTTGGTCGCAGTGTTGGGTAACTGACTAACTGGTAGTTATATTATGTGGAAATTTTGGGAATTGAGGTCCACCACAGTTATACTGCTGCGCAGATTAATTTCTTTCTTTCTTTATTTACAGGCAAATTTGGTAGATTTTCATACTTAATTTCTTAATATTTTTTTATTGTTTTATAAAATAAGTATTAAATATTTATAGTATAAAAATTATTTTATTACCTTAAAACTATCTCGTTATTATGAAAATAATTTCTTTAACTAAAAATGTTAACACAGTAAATTTTAATTAGATCCTTAAGTGAAATGGAAAAGTCTCCGAGAGTGAAATCAGTGGGCAGTCGTTGTTATTGCAACTTTCATTTGATCAACGCCGTAAATACTGGTCACACTCGAAAGGTGATCCAAATTCTCATTTGTGAATTGCGTTTAGAGAGAGAATCAGGGTTATCTATGCTTCAAATAAAGCCAAAGGAATCCCAACATTAAAAGAATATTTATACGAAACAATAAAACAAAACATGATATAAGAAATTATAAGATATTGGATGCAAATTGCACAACCGTGATTAATTATTTTATAAGATGTTAAATAATATAATAAAACATGATATAATCTCATTCATTATTTTTTTTCCCTCTCCATCTTTTACATTTTCCTCGAGCTCCGTACTAATTATAATATGAATATATCTTTAAAATAATATACTTTTATACATAATCATGATTATAATTATATTTTTGTAACAATATAACAACCTAGTATTATGAAATAATAAATTTAAAATATACATAAAAAAATAAACTTACGTATATTTTTATTAGATGTAAAGTCAGTTTTAAAGTTTCTACTAGCACTGCACACACAAAAAAGCATCTACGAGCATGATTGTTATTATATTCTATGACTCCATTTTCAGGTAAGTTAACTTAATAAATTTTTAAAGTCAGAGAAAACTAATTGCTAGCAGTGGATTTTTAAGTTGGTGGACAGATGTTAAGTAAAACCAACATATTTTAAGTCCTAGTGTCATTTCACGAATGAAGATATAAAATAAAGATGAATTTTACGTGAAAAAAATTTGAAGGAAACTAGTTATAGGAAGACCAACTAGAAAGAGAAAAGAGAAGAGTTTGTTGATCATCCATGCCAAAGTTGGGTCGACAAGGCGAAGGCATGGACACATGAACGTAATAAATGGAATTCAATATGCAAATGGGTATCGTGCTTCTGTTTCAACTACCCCATTGCTCTAATTTTTTTTCCCTATAAAGACTCGTACTTGTTCATCGTCTTCATTCCAACTGCATGTCACACTAAGTCACTTCATAGTAGCACCCTCATCCCGTGTTGCTTCTCTCTCTCAACACTGTACAGTTTCACACACAAACACACAGGTGACAACCTTGGACGAGGTACACCCGTTATCCAGAAAGTCACTTTCACAATCCTTTTTGTGTCTGTTAGTGCGCATATGATACGATGTTTTTTATGCCATCATATTGTATGTCCTATAAATGATCAAAGAAAATATCTTCTTTCTCTTTTAAAACTTCCACACTCACCCCTTTTGGATTTTCAGTGGGCTTTACTTTTAATGCATCCTCTGGTTAAATTTTTAAGCTTTATAATAATTAAGGTCGTCGATTCCAACTTGACTCGGTTTTGGGTAATACTAAAAAACCTCCAGCATTATCCTTTGCTTTCCTGGGTGCTAGGAACCCGGTTTCCACATTCCACTACTTGTTTTTAATATAACATGTTCCTGGGTAATACCACATCATGCTTTCTCTCTGTCACTTTCATTTTCTGAAAATTTAAATAGAAACAAAAGGTTACCTTTTTCTAGAATCACCACTCGTTGATTTAATTAAATATGGACTGGGTTGATGAATATATATTGAAGCGAGTTAGTGTTCTTTTGTTTTGCACTAGTGCTTGCTGGCTTATGCGTTTCGTTCAGGTTTCATACAGTAATAATCAACACGAATGAAGAGTTTTGCTTCTAAGGTTAAGGAAGGAAGAGAAGGTACAAATGGCGAACTATCTGTTGGTCCTATATATCGCAACCTTCTCTCCAAAAATGAATTTCCTCCTCCGGATCCTGATTTGAGTACCGCTTGGGATATCTTCAGGTATTTTCATAATCATGTGTAGTTTGAGAGTGAAACTGAAAGCTAATAAATTCTATTTTATCAAATAAAATATGAAGATAATTGGAAACTTAGTGGTTGGTTACTGAATGATAATTTTCTCAATGAGTTATTAGGAGACTTAAATTGACCCTTTCTTTGATGATTAATTGCAGCGTGGCTGTCAAAAAGTATCTTCAAAACCGCATGTTGGGATGGCGTGAATTTGTTGATGGAAAGGTATTATATTTCAATTCATTTTATTATGTGTACATATTCATAAGATAAGGGAGTTTGTTGTTGTTTGTCTATAGATAGGACCTTATGTTTGGAAGACATATAAAGAAGTTTATGATGAAGTTCTGCATATTGGTTCTGCTTTACGAGCATCTGGTGCTGAACCTGTAAGTGCTTGCAAAAGGACTCGTCTTAATGTCTATTGTAATAATGAAGTCTTTGAAGGGTTTTTCTTAATGTCTATTGTGATAACACTGTGTCACAGGGCTCTCGTATTGGAGTTTATGGGTCTAACTGCCCTCAATGGATCGTGGCAATGGAGGTTTAGCTGTTCCCGAAGTTTTCACTATTGTTCCTTCTAGAATCCTATAATAATTCATGAACGTGTTTGTATTGATGCAGGCTTGTTGCGCGCACAGCTTGATTTGTGTGCCTCTCTATGACACTCTTGGTAATTTTTATTCTCAATTTTATTTATCCTCTATGTTTTCTCTTTTTTGTGTACAATTATGAGCTTTGACTAAAACTGATCTAAGTCAGAGCTATGCTTTGGATTTTCTTCTTCTTTACATCTCACAGTACACTAGTAGTTCTAAATTAGTGTTAATTTATTTCAGTAGTGATAATAAAAGTAAAATTTACATTCTAAGCTTCATTTTTCACTAACTTGTTTATCTGCTTTGTCATTCTTCATATATTTATTAACTTAAAGAAATTAAAACACCAAATGCAGGGCCAGATGCTGTAAATTTTATCATAGATCATGGAGAATTAGACTTTGTATTTGTTCAAGATAAGAAGGTTATACAAGTAAGAATCACTTTCTTGAGACATATCATTTTCCTTTCCAGTTTGGATTTAGATATCAGACATTTCAGAGGCAAATAGAGGTTCCGAATTCTGATTGGGTACGTTATGCTATTTTCAGCTTTTGAATCCTGATTGTAAATCTGCCCGACGACTGAAAGGTAAATGTGACTAGTTTAATGTTGTGGTGCTGCATTTAACAGAAGGCATTTGACCTAGTTTGGTTGTGGATACAGCTATGGTTTGCTTCACTTCATTAACAAAGGAAGAGAAAGATAAGGCCATAAGCATTGGGATCAAGCCATATTCATGGGAAGAGTTCTTGCACATGGTTGGTTTGTAAGAATGTAAAATTTTATCACAATTTTTGGGATGTGAGGTTTGGTAATCTTATGCAAAATGGTGTTCTCTATAGGCCAACTAATGTGATTACACATGCTTAGCTCTAGGCGGGTCAATCTGAACAGCTTACTGTCTTACAGGGAAAAGAAAACCCCTCAAACATTTTACCACCTCAGCCTTATAATATCTGCACAATAATGTATACGAGTGGAACCAGTGGAGACCCTAAGGGTGTTGTTTTGACACATGAAAACATAACGGCTTTCGTTAGAGGAATGGATCTTTTCATGGAACAATTTGAAGATAAGGTAAATCTTTTATGTTACCATTCTTCCGTGACTTTCAACTGCATAGAATGACAATTACAACAATAATTTCTCAACTCTTGTAAATTTAATGGGATGTACAGAATACGTTCTGTGCATATGAAGTTTTCTGTCTCGAGTATGTTGAATCAACAATAAAATTATGTTGTGCGATAGTTTTTTTTTTTCTTACCAACCACAACTATGTAATTTGTTGCGTTCAACAGTATAATATTAATGTATCAAAGTTTACAGTACTTTATTTGTATGGGGAATACACGTATAGTATTTAGGAATGAATTTTTTCCATTTACGATATACGAATATATATTTCAATAATACTTTGACTTCAGATTCTAACACATTCCTCCTTTCTAGCTTTTTTGACATGAGTATAATATTTTGCATAGATGACAACAGAAGATGTGTATTTATCCTTCCTCCCTTTGGCTCATATTCTTGATCGCACAATTGAGGAGTATTTTTTCCATAAGGGAGCATCTGTTGGCTACTACCACGGGGTACGTTCTTGCAGGAATACTTTTGTTGATTTGAATTCATTCGATAATTTTTGATATGAATATGAGTAGAAAAGACACTAGGAATATGTATGCTAATAAAATGGTCATAGAAGTTCCGTTTTCCGAGAGACTTTTTTACTTTTCTTCATATTTGGACTAACAGAAGATGTAGGAGATCTAAATAATAAATAGAGTAATGCTATGAGGATTATACATTATACATACCATGAATAACAGTAATAGAATTGTTGTTGTTAAGTGACAATGGTATTTATAGAAAAGGAATTGTTCCAATGAGAGATGATTACCTAGCTTAAACATAAAAAAATTGCTGACATTTTTCTCTGCTCAGTTTCATCTGTCTAGATAAGTACATAATCTTCCAGCAATATATTTCCCCATATGTTTTTCCATTTGTTTCAAAAACCAATATTGAATTCAATTTCCTTTTCGTAAAGGATCTAAATGCGTTGAGGGATGACTTAATGGAATTGAAGCCAACGTTGTTTGCTGGGGTCCCCCGAGTATTTGAAAAAGTCCATGAAGGCATGTTCAAGCATCAGCAGAAAATTTATACTTTATTTGAATTCAGTATAAAAATTACCAAAGATTATCTGTTTCAGGAATAAAAAAGGCAGTGGAAGAACTCAATCCAGTGAGGAGAAGAGTTTTTGGCATGCTCTACAAATAGTAAGTTGGTATTCTATAAATATATAATTTTGAATATTTTGTTAAAGGTGGACTTTGTTTATTGGATGATGATATGCATTTTGAAATGACATGGTTTTTGCTTTTCATGCCTATATTGGTACAGCAAACTTGCTTGGATGAACAAAGGATATAAACACTGTAAAGCATCACCTTTTGCAGATCTGCTAGCCTTCAGAAAGGTTGTATCTAATATTTGCTACTTAACTGCATTTTAAAACTATTTTCCATATTGTAACCCAAGCTGCTTCTACAAAAAAAGGCTAATGCTAATTCATGCCTTTCATATTTGTGAAAAATTGACTTCTTTTACTTATGGTAAACTTCAAATTTTCACCCTTCTCCTCTCCCTCACACGGGTGAGTCAGGTCAAAGCTCGGCTAGGTGGGCGTGTTAGACTGATAATATCTGGAGGTGCACCCTTGAGCTCAGGGGTAGAAGAATTCTTGCGTGTTACTTCTTGTGCCTTTCTATGCCAGGGCTATGGTAAGGAACTCTCTTGTTTTATGTTTATAAGAATTTTGTTAATTTCAGCTATTAGAGCTAAGTTTAAACATTTAAAAATAGAAAAAAAAAACATATTTTTATATTAAAATTATAAAAATATAATATATACTTTAGAAAAAAAGTACTATTAATTGTTTGAATTCAGCCTTAAGGACTTCATAATATAAATAAGATAACACAATACTGTTAGAACTAAAAATATATACAATACATTGAAACACTGACATTATGAATCTATGATGGTTAATCCAGGTTTGACCGAAACTTGTGGGTCTGCTACTCTTGCCTATCCTGATGAAATGTGCATGCTTGGTACCGTTGGTCCTGTATCTGTATATAATGAACTGCGGTTGGAGGAGGTTCCAGAGATGGGCTACAACCCTCTTGGAAGTCCTCCATGTGGTGAGATATGTCTGAGAGGGAAAACTGTTTTTACTGGTTACTACAAAGACCCTGAGTTAACAAGGGAAGCCATAAGAGATGGATGGTTTCACACAGGTTCAAATGTCATTTTCAGTCTCAAACTGAAACTTTTTGTTTTGAATGTTTACATGATTTGATCTGACTGTGCCATTGCTGGTATCCTCAGGTGACATAGGAGAACTGCAACCTAATGGTTCTGTAAAGATCATTGACAGGAAGAAGAATCTTATTAAACTTTCTCAAGGAGAATATGTTGCACTAGAGCATTTGGAAAATATTTATGGAATCACTGCAATAGCAGAAGATGTAAGCATCTTCATTAATTCAGTACTGTTAATGTGTACAATTTTCAATGCTAACTCTTGATGGGTATGTAAACATTTTTTTGTTTTTCTATAAGGTCTGGGTTTATGGGAATAGTTTCAAGTCAGTGCTAGTAGCAGTAGTAGTTCCCAACCAAGAAAATACCAAGAAGTGGGCTTATTCAAATGGTTTCATGGCTCCTTTCTCAGAACTATGTTCTCTTGACCAATTGAAGAAATATGTGCTCTCTGAACTCAAGATGACTGCTGAGAGAAACAAGGTAACATCTATGTTTAGTGAAATAATATTATAAACGGACCATGTGACTATTCTTCACGACTATGTTCTATGTTAAGCTTTTGGTGCTTGGAGACTTTTTTTCTCCTTTTTATTTTTTCTCTTTCAATGTACTAGCTGAAGGGTTTTGAATATATCAAAGGGGTCATATTAGACCCGCAACGATTCGACATGGAAAGAGATTTGGTGACTGCAACAATTAAGAAGAAAAGAAATAATATGCTCAAGTATTATCAGGTAATTCAAAATAAAAGAACAATAAAAAGATCTCTCAATTTAGATGTAAAAGAACATTTTCTTATATATTATTAGTCCTCACTCCACGAATTGGTGACATTATAACAGGTTGAAATAGATGAAGTATACCGAAGTTTGACCACAGATAAGCATAAAATTTGAGGTTCCATTGCCAGATGAAGCTGTTCATGATAACAATACCATTTCTTCTTTTTCAAGTCCCACCAATGTTCAACCTTGTGGCCATTGCTATGGTTCGTTCTATTCAGCTCAAATCATGTCCTAATTGTCAAGTGTAATTTTGGAACAAGCAACGCGTATTCATTTGGCAATACACCATTATAAATACAACGCGAATTCAACTGTCCAGGACCTAATTGTTAAGTAATGCATCTCAGTTTTAAGAAAATTTAGTTATATTTAGCTAAAGTTTCGGTTTCATGTTTTATTTAAATAAAAAAAATCATTAGACCTTAACCTTAGGCCTATCTTCTAAAATTGAGTTCATAAAGCCTGACTACCAGACCAAAAACATGCAGTTCAACAATTAATTTTATAATATTAACAAAAATAAATTAATTAAAAAACATTATAAACATAAAAACAACATTTTCTTATATGTAAAGTTGGAGCAAGTGTAAATCTGTAGCCAGTCAGACATGAATACAAACGCATTTGTGGATAATAACTTGATTCAATCATGTTGAGAAAGAAAAGCGAAAAAAGAAATGCGTGGCGTGAATAGATTGGTGTTGCGGACACCGTGTTCCCACTCTCGCAACATGTGTACGTTCACATCGACAAAGCTGAACTACATGATCGACACTTACATACACGACAACAACATAAACCAAGCTCGTAAACTGTTCGATGAAAACCCCTCGTCCCGCAACCTTGTTTCCTGGAACATGATGATGACAGCATACGTTCAACGCCATCAAATCGAACATGCCCACGACCTGTTCGATCAAATGCTCCTTAAAGACGCCGTTTCCTGGAACATCATGCTTTCTGGTTTTCACAGAACCAGAAATTCTGATGGGTTGTACCACTGTTTCTTGCAAATGGGTAGAGCTGGTGTAGCCCCCAATGACTATACCATATCCACATTGCTCAGAGCAGTTATAGGTACTGTGTTGGATTTTCTGGTCCACCAGGTTCATGCTCAAGCACTGCACTTGGGACTTAACTTGAATGTGTTTGTTGGGTCTTCGTTGATTAGAGCTTATGCAAGTTTAAGAGAGGAGGATGCTTTAAAGCGAGTGTTTGATGATATATTGGCGAAAGATGTTACATCTTGGAATGCTTTGGTTTCGGGGTATATGGAAGTGGGAAATATGGTTGATGCTCAAACAACATTTGATGTGATGCCCCAGAGAAACATAATTTCCTGGACTAGTTTGGTGAATGGTTATATCAGGAACAAGAGAATAAACAAATCAAGGTCTGTTTTTAACAAAATGAGTGAGAAGAATGTGGTGTCTTGGACTGTAATGATTAGTGGGTATGTGCAAAATAGGAGATTCATGGATGCATTGAAGCTTTTTCTTCTGATGTTTAAGTCAGGAACTCGTCCCAATCATTTCACGTTTTCAAGTGTGTTGGACGCATGTGCTGGATGTTCCTCTCTTCTGATGGGAATGCAGGTTCATATGTGTGTTATCAAGTCTGGCATACCAGATGATGTTATCTCATTGACCTCGCTTGTGGATATGTATGCAAAATGTGGGGATATGCATGCAGCATTTTGTGTTTTTGAGTCCATTTTGAATAAGAATTTGGTGTCATGGAATTCGATAATTGGCGGTTATGCTAGGCACGGGCTAGCTACTCGGGCGCTGGAGGAGTTTGATAGGATGAAAAAAGCTGGCATTACACCTGATGAAGTTACATTTGTGAATGTGTTGTCAGCATGTGTGCATGCTGGTCTTGTTGAACAAGGTGAAAAGCACTTCGCAGCTATGCTAACCAAGTATGGAATTCAAGCAGAGATGGAGCACTATACTTGCATGGTGGACCTCTATGGAAGAGCAGGGAAATTTGATCAGGCAGAAAAGTTGATCAAGAATATGCCATTTGAGCCTGACGTGGTGTTATGGGGTGCATTACTTGCAGCTTGTGGCCTGCATTCAAATTTAGAACTTGGAGAGTATGCGGCAGAGAGGATCCGCAAACTGCAAAGCGATCATCCCGTATCTTATTGGATGCTTTCAAAGATCCAAGGTGAGAAAGGAATATGGAGCAGTGTAAATGAGTTGAGGGACATGATGGAAGAGAGACAAATCAAAAAGCAGAAGGCAGTTAGCTGGGTTGAGTGATAAAGATAATGTGCAATTTATGAGAAAATATGTTGCCAAAGTCTCATTCTTTTCTGGCTCTTTCTATTTTTTGTCAAAGTCTTTCTTTTTTGGCTCTTTCTACTGCAATGAATTCCTGAGGTATATATAATACAGCCCAATTAATGTGGGAATCTTTGTTATGAAGATCCTCAAGCCATCGGCAAGGTAATATGACAGGTGCACTACTAAATACGTTTTCCCTGCCTGGCTTCTCATATGTAAATCAAACGCCTATTTCTTGAGGATTTCTGAAGTCTGAATTGCTCTTAGCTGTTGAAACAAATTGATAATGATTAAAATGTCTGAACGAATTTTTCTAAAAACAGGTTTCCCAAATACTCACATAATTACAACAGGAGGCCAATAAAAACATTGCCAATATTGAAATTGTATATCATGTTCACTCAAAAATATTGAAATTCTTTGGAGATATGTGAGGACGGGTTATTGGGGGCGTGGACTAGTGGATACCAGATATGAAGTGGAAGTTGTATATCTACATTCTTTTAATCTAATCATAATTTCTTATATTTTACAGGTATGAGCATCAGTTATATTTGGGTAGGTAGAAAATGGAAAAACGAAATTTGGAGAATGACAAGTGTAATGGTTAGCTTATGATGATTTTCGTTCACTGTTACGCAGCAAATAGTTGTTTTCTTACACGAATTACCAAATGCATGAGTTGCGCTTAACTATTGATATCCTACATTTCATTATAACCATGCAAGTACCAAGTTATTTACAAATATTCCTTCTGAACTTTTTACATCCCTAAATATTGTACTGTTAGAATTGTCAATTAGTGGCAATAGATAACTGCGAATGACAACACTGTCGGCTTAGTATATATCATACTATCAGTCAAATAATGAAATCCAGCATCCCCACATTCAAGATGGGAATCTATCCTTGGCCGACACTAACATCCAGAACCAAATTTGGACTACAAGGTACTAGAGAACATGGAGGGCAATGGTACAAGATCTTCCTTCATTTTTAACTAAACTACCGATAATCAGTATTACATTTAATGTCTCAGCTCCAAGAGATGAAACATCAATCCAAATCCAAAGGAAAAAAAGTAGTGTGGATGGCGACGACTTCATTTGCGGCTCCTCGCTTCCACCTTTTCCTTCTCTCGCTTCTTGTAAAGTCTCTCAATAACATGCTTTGCCTCACATTGTGGAAAATTAGACAAATCATAGTAATGCGGTGCTATATCAACCAACCTGGTTAGAGTAAATTTCATAACCAAACAATCAGAACTATGAAAACTAGATAACCCAAAATCAAAGAAATTTGATAACACTGTGCTTGAAAATCTAACTATGTTCCAACACTTCTCCCCACCATAATCTAACACCATAGTTCAATGTTGTGATTGCATCTGTCTGAGCGCTTAATCGTATTCAAAACTTTATCATCAGGTTTTCACTTAATATCAATAATCCATAAAGAAAAAATCTCACCATTCCCCGCGTATGTCTGTAACAGTACGAATAAAATTCCGACTGGTAAGAACATATTCATTATAAATGACCCATTCAGGCTTGTGGTCTAGACAATTTGATGGATGCAAATGCACCACCTACAAAGAGGACATAATTCATTATAAACTTAAAAAATACAATATAGAACACTACAGCTGACAATCTAGCTCTTCTAGTAGCACAAATGAAAGAGAGAAGAGACACACAAAAGGAGCTCATCTAAACAAACCTGGTTATCCTTCACTGTCAAGTAGTGTCCTGTACGTTCCAGATGAGCAACCTGCATGAAATACCCAGCTAGCATAGCTTTTCTAATGTTGACATAATAGTCACGGCTGTTGAAGTCAGTGCTGCACAACTTCAGATTAAACCGGGCCATGATACGCACTAATTGTTGTCTAACATTATCAGCTGCTTTCAAAGCCCTATGATTAATGAAGTTATCATAACACCAAGATGGATCCTCATCTGAAAAAACATTTACAAATAACAAACTTATAGCATAAAAAAAAAATCAATAAGTTGTAAACCTTTGAAACAAAAGCTAGCAGAGATAACCACTTACTATTTTGCTTGTATGCATGGTAAACATTCAAGAGCGTGAGATGATCTCCATCAATGTGCCCGAACCTAGCTTTTGCCTCATCCGCAGCTTTTTGTGCCTCCCTAGGCCGTATAAAGCAATTGGGTACTAAAGAAAGAAATTGATTATCACAGAGGAGGTCCACGGTAGGTCAGCAGATGCATAGAGGCGAGACCACACCATTTGCTTCATGAGAGAATACTGAGAAACTGCAACTAACTACATCAGCACTTACTTAGAATCCTATGGTGCCTGCCAACCGGGGGCATGGAACCCAGAGAAGACAGTTGCTGATGACAACCTAACAGGACACACTACTGACCACATTCATGTGCAACTAAGCACACATGTAAGCAGTCAAACATACTCCAATATATTCACAAGATTATCACTGTGCACATGCACAATGGCAGGGAATCCATTTCAAAATGGAGCCCAACAGAACTATATTGCCTTAACATTGTGGTGGGATACGGGACTGACACAAGCAACAAAATAAAAGAATAATACCTGAAAGCATGGCAGAAATTGACAGAATCTCATTTGAACAGTTGAATTCAGGACTGACAACAAGCATCTTTGACATCTGTGGGTCCAAGGGTAACTCACTCATAATTTCACCCAGTTTGGTTAAGTTACCATCATCATCCAGTGCTCCCAAGTAATTCAACACTTCCAATGCACGCATTAAGGTCTCAGGGGCAGGAGGGTCCATGAAATCAAAATGCACTAAATCATCTATACCCAGTTTCTTCAAAGTAAGAACTGTGTTGGCAAGATTTGATCTCAAAATTTCAGGATAGGTCTGTGGCTGAAGATCATTATTGAAACTTTTCTCAGTGTAAAGTCTAAAACATTTCCCTGGTTGAGTTCTTCCAGCACGCCCTGATCTCTGATGTGCACTGGCTTTAGATATTGGTGACACTAACAGAGATTCCACACGAACGCGGGGATTATAAACTGTCTGCTTGGCAAACCCTGGGTCAATGACATAGACAATACCATCAATTGTCAAGGAAGTTTCTGCTATGTTAGTTGATACCACAATCTTCCTTCCAGGAGGCCCATCCTCCTTCAGTGGAGGTGGAGGTGGCTCAAAAATCTTCTGCTGCATGGCTGGAGGAAGAGTAGAATATAGGGGTACCGCTTTGACAGGCCCCACCTGGTCTCCCATATTAGAAACTTCTTTTGATATTTTGCGACATGCATCTTCTATCTCTTCCTCTCCAGTCAGAAATACAAGTATATCTCCCGGAGGTTCACACATGTGTATCTGTACCACTGTCCTAATGGCAGCCTCCAAGTAATCCCTTTCAGGTTCCTGTGTATAGAAAATTTCCACAGGATGTAGCCTTCCTGGAACTTTCATAAGAGGGGCACCAAAAAAATAGCCCTGGAACTTTTCAGCTTCAAGAGTTGCACTCATAACAACCAACTTTAAGTCAGATCTATTTTTAAGGACCTCCTTCAGAAGGCCAAATAGCACATCTGTAGCTAAAGTCCTCTCATGTGCCTCATCAAGAATAATAACTTTATATCGTTCCAAAAGTGGATCTGCCATTGCTTCTCTTAAGAGCATACCATCTGTAAGATACCTGCAAACAAAGCATTCCACTTGAGACTAGATGAAAAAACGAAAAAAGAACAGAATGAAAACAACATAGATAACGCATAACAAGCTCATAATTAATATCAGAAGCAATTTAAAGCAATTAAACATACTTCAAAACTGTCCTTGCACTACTGCAGTCTTCAAATCTGATACTGTAACCAACCTCTTCCCCAATAGTTACATCCATCTCTTCAGCCACACGACGAGAAACAGACATTGCAGCCACTCTCCGCGGCTGAGTACATGCAATCATCATCTTCCTACGTTTATCCGGGGTTTCTAAATCGACAGCATCCAACACAAACTGAGGGATCTGTCACCCCAAAAAATAATTTTAAAAATGTTAAATTAGAGACACCCACTCACACACAGAAAACCTAATGCATCTACCACCGCAACATTAGTGTATACAAATGAAAACAAAAATAAATAAATAGATATAATAACAATAACACTAAAACACACTACAAAACAACACGACACAGCATAAAGCCAAACACTTCGTTAAATAACATTCTCCACAATTATAATTCATAACTTCTAAATACAAACGTAAAAAACACGAAGTACATAACTTGAACTAAAAAAACAGGGATAATGAAGTTAAAAACCGAAAACCCATGACCAATCTTAACATCCCAGAAGCTGAAACGAAGAAAACAAACCTGGGTGGTTTTGCCACTACCAGTCTCGCCGACGAGAATCAAAGTCTGGTTATCCTTCAAAGTCTGGAAAAACTCGTCTTTCTGGTGCCAAACAGGGAGCGTCTTTCTCTTCTCCAAAATCTCAAAGTACCTTTGGGAGTAAGGCTTCGCTGTCCAGCGATTGATGAGACTGTTAGCGACGCTGTTATTGACGCCACCGTTGGATTTCGTCATCTTAGCCACAGAATCGTCTACCACATCGAACAAGCTCACCTTCCTCTTTCGTTCCGTACCCATCAATTCCGAAACCCTAATTCCCCCCTAATTCTAATCCAAAAAAATGGTTCTCGGAGTGACTAGGGTTAGGTTTTGGTGCAATTATAAAACGACCAGACTCAAGGATGAGAAGATGAAGTCTCCATAATTACGATTGCGCCCACTATTTTTCACTGTTTCTCTTTTTCTTTTTTCTCAGATTTCTTTTTTTCTTTTTGGTTCATATATTAAAATCCAGCAGCTACACAAGGCCCAAACCTACCCCTTATTAAATCTTATTATTTGGACCATCTTTTCTGGGTCACGTATCTTGTTCCTTTCGACATCCTCTATAAAACCACAAGCAGACCCAAAAGTAGTTGACAGAAAAAAAAAACACAAAGATACCCAAAAACAGTGGCCTAATCCAGAAGAATGACTCATGACCAAAAAATATGAATCCTTTCCTGTGATATGTCAATGGAAAGAACTAATAGAACAAATTATATTATGTCCAGGATGGAATTTGGTCTTCTTTTTCCTTTTTTTTTGTCAAATGCGAATTTTGTGTCTAAAAACACAATATATGATAACATTTTACCCTATTGCAAAACTCATGCTCTAAGCACTTGATATTTTGACTGTGTTTTAACTTTAAATTTTAAGTTCTCTCGATGTATGAGTGGAATAGTATATAACTGCTTAATTGATCGATAGTATTAGTTTAAGTGGCACATGATTAGTTGATTTAAGTAATATTTTTAAATTTAAATATTGTGTGTGAACAAAAAATAATGTGATAGTTACTTAATGGGTCTCCAAAATCAAAGTACATGATCACTGCTTTATAGTCACTACAGTCACACTTTTAATTTTTAAAATTACTACCCCTAATAGGCAACGATTGTTATATATTATATAATTTTTACTTAATAACAAAAATAATGTTAAAAATTGTGTTAAGGAAAGTATAGCGCATATAAAAATTAAATCAAAGATCTTCCATTAGAAGATTAAGTAACAAATTATATTTCAATTGAAGTCCTTCTGTTGTAATGTTATATACTTACTTTATTTGCATTTTATTATTTTTTACAAAATTAATTTATATGACACTTTATATGTTTATCCTTTTTTTTGCAATTTTCTAATAATTATTTATATTTTCAGAAAAATAAATTATTTATATTATGTTATTTATTAAAATAAAACTTAAAAATTAATATAATAATATTCATTTGATAAATCCGTACATTGTGTTTCCTTTCATCCAAAACCAGGTCCATTACGGGGAATATGACTCTAAAGAATAATAAACGAAGGATAAAAAAATGCAAATAATTTGAAATAAGAGATTATTCTTTTTTCGTGAGGGACGAGACCACATCACATTTATAATGATATATCATTATAATCTGTAAGAGCATTACACATAATGGATTTTTTTTTTTTGTGAGGAATGAAAAGACCACATACACTAAGGAATATCTTGTGCTCTGCCAGATTTTCACTGTAATATATATGAAAGCAAATGGACCAATTTATCATATAAAAATAACAATATACTTTGTACGAAGATGACATTAATTAATAAAATAGTAATTTTTAGAAAATTATTATTTTTATATATTTACAAGTCTAAAATAATGTTAATTTTTAGTTCTGTTTTTATTTTTATCTAATTCTCAAATATTTTATATACCTGTTATAAATAAGAGAAAAATAACAATAGAGATCATGTTAAAAAGTTAGTGTTTTTAATATAATTAAGAAGATTAATCACATTTCTTAATTTGAGCATTATCTTTCAAAGTAGATAAACAAATGAAAGAAGTATGATCACTTGATAATGAACATTTTCTATCATTTGTTAATGGGCATGCGATTTAAAAACATTAAACATGGTTTTTTTAAAAGTAATTTTAATGACATAAAAATAATAATTTAAATAACTGTGTTTTTAACCTACTAAATGACTTTTTTTATATTTTTTTCTTGCGTATCAATGAATACATCATATATAACCAACACGTTTAAAAAATTTTGGGCACATATCAAGGGTGCATCGTTCACAGAAAAAATGTAATTTGTCATACAACACTTTTAAATTTTTTACTATATTATTCATCTTATGTTTCATTTCTTACTTAATAATAATAATAATAAAAATAACACTTTTGTTTTTCTCTTTTGATTTTGCCTTTTAATTACAAATACAACTATACAAAAGTGTTGTATAATTATATTTTCTCTTATAGATGCACTATGATGCATTAAATACCAAAAGTCGTACTCTCCCTAAAAAAAGGTTATACCAGAAAAACGAAAAGACAAAATCTAAATAGAGTTTTATAAATAATTTTAGCGTTATTTTTAATTAAAATTAAGTTTTATACCTTGATAATTAACTTCAATTTTTAATGTCTATCTATATAAACACAAATTATTAAAATAAAACTTTAATTTTAAATAAAAATATTCCAAAAATATTTTTAAAAAATTGCACTATGTAAGTTTTATCTAAAAAGAAAAGCTAGAAATGTGGCTATTTAATTGTAGTAGCAGAATGTTGAAGAGAGTCGTGGGCTGGCAAAACTAGACATGTTCCCTACCTGTGAGATTACAAAAGTTCATGGCTCCACTTGAGTCTGATTTATGACCATCTTTCAGGTTCTGTACTGCATCAATATCGATGATGAATCATCCTTTGGTTCATTTTATTAAATGCTAATTTTATTTTTAAAAATTAAATTTAATTAAGACATATAAATATTGTTGATATTTAAGACTGCATTATAAGCTGATAACCTGCACTTTCCCATTTCCTTCAGGATGTACTGGAATCTCTTTAATGGAGTATGACAATGGTGTAGTGCAACTTTTCAACACTCTTTACTACGTGGTCTTCTTCCTTCTATGTTACCCTGCAAAAGAAATACGCGTAGAGCCCACATATATTTAAATTGTTATTATTAGGCTGTCAGCGTATATAAACTAGTCAACTGCTTTGTTTACACTTAGTTATTAGTTAAAAAATATGTCAATGTTTAGCTAATAGCTTCTACCATGTTATCTTCGGAGAGTATTTTTAATTCCTAAAAAAAGTATGAAATTTGGTTTAGGGTACAGTTTAGATAAATTTTTGAACATATATTTATAAAAGTAAAAAAAATTCAATGTAAAATAAAGTAAATTCTTCTTATGAATTAAAATTAATTTATCTTCTGTATTGTTTTAAAATATTTTTATGTAACTTCTTAAAAATTTATAAGTTATAAATACTCATCTAAACATTGTATTCAACAATATCAATGTGATATTCTATAGGCTACTACCAGCGGTTTGTTTACTTAGAGTGTGTTTAAGTGAATGTTGTGAAAATTGATTCTTAAATTTTAAAATTTTATAAGATTAATTTTAGTTATATTTGAATTTATCAGAGTGGAGTTTTTTTTTTCTTCTTCAAATATTTGTATCAATGAGTCTATCATAAAGGTTAATATAAAAATCTTTAAAACAAAGATTATATCTTTTCCTTTTTGAAGTATTTTTAAGGATGAAATCCTGCATAGTCGAAAGTAGTATATTTTTTGTGGCAAACTCACGGTTTCATTAAAGTAGAGTTGCTTGTTTTATAAATTGATAAGCACAATCGCGATTTTGTTGAAATGGAAGTACTTCTTCTCCGTTTTCACAAAATGCGATTAAAATGGCCCTCCATATATGTACAGAGGCATGATTATTTGGATTAAAATTCTGAGCGATGGTTGATAGAATGGAAAAAAAAAACAAAAAACACATTTTTAATTTTAAATGGCCCGCAACTAAAATCACATTTTTAATTTGTATTACCCCGCGACAACTAATACGAGTACACAAACAATTGCCAAAAGTCTCTGTTCTAAAAATTCGATCATATCCCCTTACATGTAGTTTAAGTTTAAACTTTGCAATCAAATCAAAAGTGCTGGAAAAACAATGACGAATTCGATAGATTAGCTGGCATGCAGACTTAGTTAGTTTACATGGCATATCACCCACGACGAAATAACATAAGCGTTTGGAAAGTGGATAAACTTCATTAATTATTGTAATATAATTACTATAGATGAAATTAATATGAAGATATGAAACAATATTGTTTTATATTACAAGGTAGAAATGAAGACAAATGGCAAAAAGATAACATTCAAAGGGGAAGATATAGAAATACATTTTCCCCGTAGTTTTCTTGTCTATCTTTTCCATCACAACAAGGTCGTTGTTTAACTATAGGTGATTTAAACTGACCATTAACATTAACATCAAAACTATATAGTATTTATTATTTACCAGTGACTATACCTTCATTACCGGCCAAAGTCAAGTACTTGTCTTTTCTACTAAGTTTAGTGCATTGAAATCCGAGGGCATTCGCAATCTGCGTTTGTACATGATTCGCCACTACAAATTTGGAGTCCTCATTATCACACGTGGCAACTGAAGGTGACACGTGCTCCAGCAATTGAACAAAGTAATCTGGGAATGGATTCATCATAAAGAAAATTGGGTCCAAGCACTTAAGACCCCCTGCGGTTGTGCCGTGGAACATATTCACGTGGCTATCAATAGCAACAGGTTCAATTTCATCGCACAGTTCCGAAAACAAAGGGCTGAACCTTAATAAATATGGCTCTCTGCATGTGGTCCCTTCAGGACACACAACTAGGTCTCCTTTTTTCAGCATTTGCTTCATCGTTTTTGCATCCTCGTTGCGGTTCCTCGTTAAACGAACGGTCTTAATTGGTGCTAGTATCTCTGATATTCTACTTAAGCTATATGTCACGGCCACTAAGTCTCTTTTCAACATGAACGAGATGTATAGAGGGTCTAGTAATGTTCTATGGTTGCATACATAAAGATTGCCATTGGGATTTTCTTCTTTTTGTTTGTGGGTGTTGTGGGTTTTGGGCCTTGAAGTTGTGAGACGAAGCCCAGATAAGGTTAGGAAGGGTGTTGCAATGTTATAGGGAAGTGAGACTCCTGCTATGATCCTAATCAAGGAGAGGATGGAAGCAAAAGGAACCCACATTAAGACGGATAGAGCATTGAGTGGTGTGGGTCTTAGTGCTAATCTTCCATCATGGAAGATTAGTGCTTTGGGGTATTTGTCCTTTGCTAGCTTTTGCCAGCTTTTCTTATCAGCTTCTGTCACCATGAAGACTTCCTAATTATTGTTCAAAAAAGAAAATTCAAACCACAGTCAACAAATGAGTTTCAAGATTCCAAACTCGAGCATATGCTGAAGTGAAAATGCAGAGTAAATGAAGTAAAATACTATTACTTTTTTTCTTTGCACTTTAATAATTTTGTTTCATTCACTTCTTATTTTTATTTTATAAAATTTAATGAATAATTAATATTTTTATAATTAAAATTCATTTGATAGACAATAATAAATAAATAAGATAATTAATATAATAAATAAAATTTATAATAAACAATTAAATGATAATAATTTTTTCTTACTTTCAAAATTAAGAATAAAATTATTGAAAATAAACATATTATTCCTAAAATATTTTAAAAATAAGCAGATATATTTTATTAAATTTCCTAAGAATCCTGTCCTAAAAGTAAGTCGCCGAAAATAATTTAATTGGGAAATGAAAGATTTCATCAATCAAAATGCAATTGAAAATTATCAATATGCAAGAGAGAAGTAAGAAATAACACAAATAATAACATAATGAAAAGATAGAAAAATAAGTTGTCAAAAAAATGATAAAAATAAAATAATATAACTCAACGAAATTATTTTAAAATGCAGCGAATAATTTAAAAGACAAACCTTGCATGGAGAAAAGAAGGAATGGTCAAGATCCTTATGAAATCTTGAAATTCCAATGATATCGGAACAGTATCCTTTCCCTTCAAGAACTAGCTCCAACTCATGCATGGTTTTTCGCTCCTCCATGAACCCTACAAAGAAACCCTTGAACACTTTCAACTTTCTTCCCACAACATCATCTATCTCCAAATAATCTTTCAAGAAGCTTTCCACCATCACTAGAGGCAACTTGCTTAACCCCACTTTCTTGCCACCTCTATTCACCACCTCAAACATTTCTGCTCCAACATCCTCCAACAACAACTTGGGCAAAACAGCACTTCCAACCCTGAAGCTCTCTGCTTTGATCCCAAAGAAGCATATCATAACCATAATCTTCAACCCCATTTCATCCCCAACTAAACAAACAAAAGGGTATAGCAAAAGCAAAACAATGGCTCTTAAGATCCCTCCTGCTTCAAAGGCAACGAGCATGAAGTATGGGAACACTGAAGATGATTTCAACAACGAGCCTTCTACATCAAAGATGATAGTGTGTTCATTGAGGTCTGAACGATGAAGCAAAGAGGGGTATCTCTGGTATTTAAATTGGGTTGCTAATGTGATATTGCTAGTACTTTTGCGGAGACCCTTGATTGGCCTGAAGAAAAAACGGTACCAAAACGTGAAAAGAGATTTGAAGAAAAACGCACTCTTCACCATTCTAGCCATCACTCAACGTATGATTTTGATACGTACGTACAATTGTTGGTTGCAAATTTTCAATACCTTCGTACTGTGTCAATGGAACCTAGGGTATTTATACTCGTACAAATACATCAATACCCTTAATTTTTGCTATTATTACGAAGCACCATCTTGACCTGGATTGCATGCCCACCTCGCGTTGACTAATCAATTGTTTGGTGATTATGAACGGATTCAATTTTTTCTTCCTTTTTGGAGAAGAGATAGTTATGGCCGCTCTCATTGACTTGAATGGAGAATCATTAAATTACGGTTTCACGGGGCCGAGTTTACTGAATAGTTGTATTATTCATCAGCTGATGGAATTGACTTATGAAACATTAATCATGCATTATGTATAGCATGGGATTAATACAACTGTCAAGTTGTATAATAACTGCTGTCTTAACACAAGTAAACGATCGACTAGCTTATATATATTTTTGGTTATATCTTCTTACAAGCTTTTTTTAATAATTCTCTTACTACCTCATAAAGTATGTATTGAATAAAAAAAATTGCATGCATTCATTATTTCAAAATATAAAAATATTTAATCTTTTTCATTTAATAATTAAGATAATTTTTAGAATAAAAGATAAGGCAATTTAGAATTATTCTATTTTTTCATGGGTTTCTTACGACATAAGTTAATAAATCAAGAACACTAACTTTTATGTTTAAGATTGAGTTTAATAAATAATGATAGTACGATTTTATAAAAATACAAAAATGTAACAATTTTTTTAAATAAAGTTAACAAATCTGTTAGACAAATCAAAGCTCTTGATATCTAATGCTTTAAGAACACTGACCATATAATTTAAAGTGAAATATTTTTACTAAAAATTAAATCAAAATATATTTGAAATTTATGAGAGGTAATGCATTAATAGAATTTTATTTCTTTAATCAGTATTTTATTAATTAAGATAGATTACAAAAGTAAATGTTACGTTAATTCATTAGCCTACATGTTAAGGCACACGTTACCAACATACATTTTACGAGTCAGGATACATTATGAGAAGATATTTAGTGTATATTTAAATTAAACTCAACTTCACCAATAATGACATGTACTTAATTAGTAAAAATAAAAGTATTTAATTTGGAATATGATTGATATTTATGTTTTAAAACAATTGAAAATATTTAATAAAATATATTGAATTATACATTTTGAATGGTAATCCTTGAAATAATTTTTTTTAAATTATTGGTTTTACGATTATAATGTTTTTAAAAAAGAATAGATAAACACAGACAAGGCATTTAAGAGGTTGTACAAAGGGAATTAACTTCCAGTGTTCCACTTTTGGCGATAATCTTTTCTCACACATTAACTCTAACCATGTGGAAGATGAAAGGTGCCAACCGATAATTGTTCTCAGCTTATTTAGATATAGAAATATATAATACTTTTTTCTGTTTCAAAATTATTATTATTTTGTCTCATTTTACTTTTCATTTAAAAGTAACTGGATAATTATTATTATGGATTTCATTACTTTTCTTTTTTGCTTTTTGTTGAGACCTTTATGCACCGATAAAGTGAAGAACATGTCAAATATAAATATCGTTGGCGCACAAAATGATGTTCCTACGAGTAATGTGGAGGCTTGCTAGCAAGACCAAATCAAATTATTTCTTCAACAGCAGAACCGTGTCATCAACTACATTCATGCATCTTTAACACTCCTCTATAAGCCTTTTGTGATTTTTTATTTTTTTTAAATAATATATTTGTTTCTAAAAGTTATACAAGAATGACATTATTTTTTATTTTAAAGCATTAAAATTTTCAAAGGAAATGTTGAGAATAATTAAACCTTATGTGTTTATATTTATTTTTAAAACATCTTCAAAATAAGAAATAACATAAAAATACTTTTTTATTTTTTAATTATAAAAAATATCATTGATAACGCGAATACAAAATTAAAACCAAAATTACTTAATTTTAAAATTAAACTACATGTATAATATTTATAAAAATACATAAATAAATTAGCACATTTCATAATGATTTTTTTTTATTGACAGTATTCATTTGCAATAAAAAGAATCTACTTCGTCTTCATTTTCTTATGAAATCATATGTCTCGAACATTTCTTTTAAAAAAAATTAACTTTTTGATACTTTAATCTTATTTTTTTTATTGTGGTTAGATTTATAATTTTAAATTATGTTTTGTCCTTTATTTTTTTGTTTAATTTTAATTTTTTCTTATTTATTAATTATACACGGCAGTGAAATCTGTCATATTTAACCAAAAAAAATCACAATTTATGAATAAAAGTGGCAACTGTTGACAAATTTGATTAAATTAAAACTAAATAAAAATATAAAATAATTTTAAAAATAAAATATTAAAAGATTAAAATACTATCTAAATTATTATTATTAAGTTCATTTTTTTATGCCAAGTAAATTAACGTGCGTATATTCTCATTCTCGTTTTTGAATTCCACCAACAAACATAATCAAACGCCTTTAGCCATGAAAGAGAATTAATGTATAGCTAAAGAAAAAAAAAAGGGAAAAAATTAATGCATGGCTATCTTTCGTTATCAATTATTATGCGATAAAGAAACAAATTTCATAGAAAAAAAAAATACTCGTCCTATCACAGAATATTCCTTTCAAATTCATGCTTTGTTTTAGCTTTTAATTATTTTTATTATTTAAAAATAAAACTATTACTATTATACAATTATAGTTATTTGTTGTTTTTTATTTTTTTTAATACACATGCATTATAAAAAAAAATATATGCTTTAAAATCAGAGACAGATTTTTTTTAATACACATGCATGTAAAAGGAACGAGGAGAAAACATGTAGATTAATTATATTTTTATCATTTATATTTTAATTTATGTGAAATTTTATTCTTTCTATTTTAGTTACTTAGTTGCGATTTGTTTTAAAAAAATGAATAATAAGAATGAAAAGTTGACTACAAGAAATGAATTTTCAAAAAAAGAATATTGTTCTTCTCTTCAAATGAAATGTTAAGTTGTTTTCTCTTTACTTAAATAAACAAAGGGCTAGTCCTTCTAATTTTTCAATTAATAAAATTAAGTTTGTTATCTCATATTTCATTCAATAATTAATAAAAATATACATGCTATTAATATATGTACATTAAAAAAATTTATTATTATTAACAAAAAATTTAAATATTTAAATAAAAAAGACTTTTGTTACATTTTACAGTTTTTTTATTTTTATTTAAATATATTACAATTTTTTCTACTCTATACAAATTAATGTCATGTTTTCTTATAATTTTCATTAATTATAAAATAAAATATGGGACAAGTGACTAAATTTTAATAATTGAAAGTTATGAAGGCTAAATATAAATAATTAAAATTAAAATTATTATAATCACACAATTAAAATAAACAGAATTGGCACTAAAATATTTTAACTTTTCTTTTTTATTTCATTCGATCTTTTAATTTTTAAACGCATTTTAAATAAATTATTTTCTTTAAATCATATTAACTTTACACACACACACACACATATATATATATATATATATATATATATGTATGTATGTATATGCAAGTTATATCATTTTAGGCACCACCGTCATTAAGCTATATTCATCCTTTTTCGTCAAACAGTACTCATTGTCTCGTGCTATGTTATATTATCACCACCACCGGCGGCCACCATGCTAAGCTCCATTGCCTTACTTATTGTTTTACAATCATCCTCTCCATCGATCACTTCAATTTACAGATATTAGACCCAACACTAGATCGACCTTCCTGGAAGACTCTAGGTTGCCACATCTTAGCTGCAAGTGAAAGAGAAAAAAGAGGAGGAATATATGATGCAGAGGAACAATGGCATGAAGGCACATAAATAATAACAACAACAAAAAGTTGATATAATTAATATAGAGAATGACTTATTTAATTAAAGAACTAAAATAAAATTAAAAAAAAAAAGAAAACAACTGAAAAAAAACAGATAACCAAATTATTGATTTTATCATTGAGACTAAAAATATAATTAAATCATTTCTTATTCATAACAAAAAAATTAAAATTGAGAATATACTTAATTTAATCCAACTAGTTTTTTGGCGACTCACACATCAGTATGACACGGGCCTTTCATGGCTGACATGCACCCACTGAATGCAACTATACTCGGCCCTTGAATCAAGGATTGCTACTTGTGCCTCTCCTTTATCGAAATCAAATAATAAATTAGATTAATGGAGGTAGTAAATACGTGATTCTAGTACAATGAGAAGTTCACTTCCTTGCACTCATCTTATCGAAAACTCCTCACAACCATAGAGGCCAACCATCGATCAGAAATACAAAATCGACATGCAAATCATTTGTGTGCAGATAATGTCCCACACAAATACTATCATTATCTATGCTATAATTAAGCCCATAAACATTACATCATTATAAGTACTAAAGATATTAATTATTTTGATTAAAAGCAACTATAGTTTGAGTTTGGCAACAGTTACAACAAAATTAAATTCTTCTTTTCTTTTCCTCCCATCTTTCACAGCATGTTTTGGCTTCACTATTATAATGAATTGAATATAGTACAGCATCTACCGTGGTTCACGAGTGATAATAAAAACAAAGTGCATTTGCGATCATCACATTTAAAAAAGATGGGTGAGAATGTTAACAAAATAAGTGTGCGAGTGAACTAAGCTACTTGCCGAGGACGCTGGCAACTGAATGGAGTCTAAGGAAAATCGGGTGGAAAACGTTTGAAATGCTCCGTATGAATAAAATATGGATGCTGAGTTCGGTTGCTCTATAATGAAACGTGTAGTATTTAATCGTACACTCTACACAACACTAAATCTGAGAATTGTGTTGTTTTTTATATAGTAAAGTAATTTAAAAAAGAAAATCGGATTTGCAGTAAAATATTGTACATCTTTATTGCTGAAGAACTAAACTGATGGATACTTCAGCTAATTATGATTGTCGATTGTGTAGAGAAAAAAAAAAGAAATCAATACCAAGGATATATTACTGGTAACTTGATCAATAGGTAAGGTAAATTTATAAAAATTTAGATTGCTAATCAATTCCTGAATGGATTCCGTTTCTGAGAAAAAAGAGCAAAGAAAGTTGAGAACCTTCCTCCTAGTAACATTTCTAGAATAGCCGCCTCAACAGCACTCTTACTATACTAAACCTGCTTTTTAATTGGGTTAACATGGCTTGTAAGATTAACTAAATGTGTATATATAAAACATTTTTATGTCTTATATCCTCTTTGAACTACGTTGTACCCTTAAATTTAAGATAAAAACATAAAAAAAATTATATTTTTGACAATAATTACAGATTAATTCACAGACTTACAAATCAATCTCATTTAATTCGAAAATTTCACAAATGAACTTACTTAAACATGCAACTAAATAGATCAAAATTTCTTTAGTCTAAACTCGCATAAACGGTAAGTCGTGTAGATCAATTGCGAACTAACACATAAAGAACAGACAAGGTGGAAAAGACGTAAGCATGGCCAAGGAGTAGTATTCACAAGCAGGGGAAAGGCAAAACAACTGGACAATGTCCAAAAAGCAATAAAAAAAAAATTTGTTAACGATGTGAATCGTAATGTTCAATTTTAAACAAGTTAAATTAATAATTTTTTATTAAAAAATTATTTTTAATGAAACTTTATTATCTGTAGTTACTTAAAATTAATTCTAAGATTAATACCAACATTTTAAAAAAATTAAGGATAAGTAGGATTTTGAGATTACAGAATTTGAATTGTGATTATATAATAATATGTCCCCAATTTTATACTTTTGCTTAGGCGAGCAAAATATTTTTTATCAAGCGAAAGTGAAAAAAATAACTAATTACATGTCACGGAAGATAATCCTAGTCTATTTGTTTACGGAAGATAACTAATTTAGGGTTGTGCGACATTTTAATACCAGTAGTTCAATAATGAAAGGTAATAGAAATAGAAATATCAAAATACATGCGCTAAATAGAATAATTTTTTTTAACATGTTTTAAATCCTGATATAACAAATATTTTAGACCCTAAATTTAATTATATTGACTCAGTTACACCTATAGTTCTTTTAAATTCGTCAATGTGCAATTTTGCTCTATTAAATATTTTCAATCTAATTAAATTTATTTATAAAATTATGCAAATTTAGTCCTTTTATCATTTTTTTCTAATTAATATTCTCAGATTATTTTTTATTTAAATATTTGTGGAGTTATGATAAATTTGAGATATACAAAAAGATTTAAAATTTTTAGACGTTTAGTGAAAACTTGACACAATTTGAAAGATTTTATAAGATGTAAGATTGGGATTTGAAAAGAAGAGTTTTAAATTTTTTAAGTAGAAGATAATTTAATTTGTAAAAATTTTGGATAAAAATAAAAAAATTTAAAGATTTTGGACAAAAGAAAATTAATAAGATTAAACTTGATTATAAAAATAAAGGACTCAATTTACTAAAAAAACTTAGAAAAAATCACATGTGGTCCAAATTAAAAAGACAAAATTGCAATTAATCTAAAATTATTTATTTATTGTAGTTTTATTTAATAAATTTAAAAGTAGGTACTTTTTAATTTTTTTTAAGAACTAAAAATCGATAAATTTTATATAAAAGTTGTTCTCATCAACAAAACCTAACACACTTAGAAGATAATCGTGCCCATGAAACATGTTAAAAAAAGTTCAATTCTGTGGACGAAAATGAAAGTTTATTTTTTAATTATGTGAATAGAAAAGACTGTTTTGAAAGAAAGAGAAAAAAAAACTCGTTAGTGATGCTATCGATTAAAAGATATTCTTAGTAAATAAAACACAATAACAAAGTCTGTGATATATTTTCACAGACTATATGCATATTTCACCCATTTCGAAAATAGAGACAAAGTTTAGGAGGAAAAAACTATGAATCATACAATAATAATCCTTTGAATATTAAAAATGCTAATTACAACACTTAGCTCCCACAATTCTTTTCAGTTAGTTTAAAACCACGAATACATTTACAACATTTACTTAATTCTGGATTTAACAAGATAACACTACTATGAAAGATAATAATTTCTCTTCAAAATTTTAATACAAAGCCCCTTTTTCAAAGGTCTAAACAACGGCAAATTAAATAACTTAATTCCTGATTAAGTTTAAACAAGTTGATTTATGACTTTTGCACTCAATATTTATCTTCCGTAGTTCTCTCACTATATCGACGCCTTTAATGTCGTTGCAGATTCTTAATTGATAATGTATTCAAAATGTTTCAATAGAGTTAAATTTACGACACATCTTTTTTCTAAATGAATTATAAATCATACGATTCTTAATCGCCTTATGCTAATGAATTAATTTCTCGCCAGTTTGAAATGATATACAATTGCCAATGTTCCTTGAACAATTAAATGTCTTACATATTCTTTTTAAATACTTCCTTTAATTTGTAATGACAAATCAATAGCGTCATGTCAAACTTGCAACTAAAAAAGAGTTTTTAAGATAGAAAATAAACATCTAATAATAAAATTTAATTGAAACATTTATTCTACTTCTATAGCTTTAATATAATAAATATTTGCCTTTTTCAAAAAACAAACCTATTTATAAATGCTTAAAAGAGCTGATGTTAACAAAATCTTTTGAAAAAAATTACATCTTGATTTGCTATCATAAAACCATTTAGATGTAATGTAATCATTCGATGCGTGACACGGAAAAGTGTTAATAATACGAACCAACGAGACCACCTGCTCGAATAAATTATTGCAAGAATGAACATGCGCCAACCTAAAGAATGAACAAGCACCAACCGTTTTCAACTACGCGGTGACATCAGTACCAACCTCAATAAACCATAAGAACCCTTACGCGTAACAAAGCGTAAATTTCATTCTACTAAAATCAATCAGACCAAGCTGCAGTACCATGTTACCAGTTAAGATAATAACCCAATAATGCATCGCAATTTACAGCAAAGTTCTTAACAAGGCAGAGCAACTATATTTCAAAAGGGGACCAGATCAGTCAATTGAAATGCATGTCTTTCGCAAACCTAGGATTAACCATCATACTTACCTAACTTATGGGCTCCCGGGGCGTTAAACTGCCTACTCGATCAATCTGGACCCTGAAAATTTTTTCGAGCAAAATTAAAGCTAATGGCTGAAACAAAACACAATCTGCAAAATCCAGCGCAACAAACTGCAATGACATCCTTGGTCAACTAAAATCTACAGATCTATGAACCTTACAATATTAGACCCTTCTATGAGACAACATGAACAATATATACTACTAAATGAATTTAGAAAGAATGGCAATCAAATGCTGGGCCAAGATCCATAGCTGATGAGTGATGTTTACCAAAATGAGACAAGTTCACCAACTGTACAGTTGAGGAGAGGAAAGATCTAAACTAAATATTAAACTCCTTTTTTGAGTAGGTTTGACAGGCTAAGTAGAATAACTCACCCCTTGATTGACATAGAATTTTAATATCTGTTGTAAGCTTTTGCAAAATCTCCATGCCTGCGAAATTCACCAAAATTATCATGAGGCCTAGTAGGATAAGTTTCCATGTTGTCTGAGAACCTGTTCCTCGATTCCAAGGGTAAATTAGTCCCACCATATGGGGGATTAACATTGGACCCATCATATTCAGGAAAACTCTGCTGTTTAAAACCTCGATAACCAGATGACATTTGTTGGATTGCCTGCTGTTGACGCCTCTGCCCATCAAGCTGGAGAAATTCTTCCCACTGTTTTGCATGTGCAGCCCTCACCAAAGCAACTCTGCTCACGTGCTTCTCCCTCAAATCTCTAATAGTCTTCCATAGTAATAAACAAAATATTAGAAATCATGAAGTAGCACAGTAAACAAACAAAGAGTAGTATCTTGTGAGATTTAAAACCACTTCCAATGTTACTTTCCTCACTTACAAATCCAATGTCTAAAGATCAGCAAAACTTCTTATACAAGCTAAGTTGCAGGAAAACAGAAACAAAGTTCAAGTTAATTTTAACCAGCAGCCCTTCACTAGTGCACAACCAAAGGATAAACATTGGCATCAGCAATGCAAGCTGATACTAAAGTGTAAGATTTGACAAAAATAACAGAAATAAGAAAATCATCACAGAGAAAATAATTCTACTTTAGCAATTTGGTTATAACTTTATTCCTGATTATAACAAAGATTTTAATATAATACTACATTCTTTTTTTAGCAAGATGGCACAGGCAAGAATAAAGGATTGTTAATTATGACTTGAGAGATTTCAGAAAAACATGTATCACCCTTGATCATACCTCACGATGCTTGAAATTTTCTTCATCTTCTTCTCTGTCACGAATTTTCATTAGCTCCATTGCCTCGTTCTTATGCTCCAACTCTAATTCTTCTAAAGTCTTAGGGCTGGCATTGTAATCAAACTGATGACCAGGCTGGATACCAGATTCTCTACCATGAGAATCCCACCCATCATTCCTATAAGTACCCATGTTTTGATTACGGCCATCAAAAGAATTATATGAGTTCCCTGTATAAGGGGCCTGTCTTGGAGATCTTGACTGGCTTGAACGACCTCTAGCTCCACTATTTCCATAAGCTTCATGAAATGAAGAGTATGTTAAGCACTTGATTCAGGATGCCAACATAGATGATTTGCTTTAATTCAACAAATTGCACTTGATTCAAGATGCTAACATAGCTTTAATTCAAAAACTATCTTTATATTCGCATACTGAAACCATGGGAGCCAATCCTTTCAGTAAATATGTTCGTAATGGAGGCAACCCTTCAGGACCGAGATAATGCTTGAAGGCTAAGAACTTACCTCTTGCTGCAAGTAAATGACAAGTAAGATCAATATTGTTACAATGCAGGTCATTTGAGGATAAATTTTACTCAAAAATAATAGTATTAGTATGCAGAATCCTATCAGACTACGAAAATGAGATTACCAGTTCTCTATGGATGCTGTAAACATATCCTATGCTGTCCCTACCTTGTGGAGAACCTCTTGCAAACTTTTGAATGTCCTCCCGGACACGCTCTTCAACAGCCCTCTCTTGCCTACCAAACCTATGTTGAAACTGAGATGTGTTTCGTGGTCCAGAATGAGACTTTTGAGGCTCAGACCTTTGAAATCGAGAATTAACCGGACTCCTCTCAGGTGATCTTGAACGGGTCATTTGAGAACTAGAAGATCCCCTTTGATCACCATCCTCTCGAATCTTGTGCACAGCATCAACACCTTTTGCCAAAATTAACCTGTCCTTACCACTGACTATAATAAATTTCTCATCCATCTTAATTTTGCATCCAATATCCCTTTCAATCTTGTTTATAACTTTCTCCGTGAAAAGTGCCCGTACTTGTTTGTCTCTAGCAGGTATCCTTTCAAAGAAATCTTGAGACTTGCGATTTGCTCCAAGTGTAGATGGACAACCCTACATTCTCAAGTAGAATATCATTCAACTAAAATAATGACAACAATTATAATAATTTTAATCAACTACCACCTTATATCATAAATCACATTCACAATACCATAAGGCCCCAAAATGATAAAGAAAATCAATCATCCCAAAACAAGTAGAGACAACTCAACTCCCCGCCTCTTCTCCTCCAAAACAATAAGGAGTCAGCATGTGTGATTTAGTTCATAGTTCCAATGCATACTAAATGAAACCGCAAGTGCAGATACTAGTGCCAACCAAAAATTAAAGACATTTTTTTTATTGAAGGACTGAAGAAGTGGGAGGTTAAAAAATAGAGAGAACTAAATTATCTCATTGCCCCCTTTTCTCTATTGAAGTCAGATGTAACAATCTATCAAAACCTAAAATTTAACCACATAAGCACTGGGCAGGCTTGAACACTACATGCCAATGCTTACATAGCAGAAATGTTTGCAAAGGGGTAGAACTGATAATGAAGCAGTGGAGGAACCTGTCATACCTGAGTGAAATGCCCTGATTCTCCACAAAGTTTGCATATCATTTCCTCCTCCTTCCTTTTCTTCCAGTTCCTTTCAGTAGCCTTCGACTTAGCCTCCCAAACCTTAGCTTCTCGGCTGGTGAAATCAGTTGGGACAGCATTAGGGTCCCGGGCTTCTTCCTCCTCGTCAGAACCTGCATTAGACCTTTTATTTGGTTTTGCCCTCTCTTGCGTATTCGTAGTAGCAGATCCTGGGGGGCCAGTGTACTCCTTATAGAGCTCATTAAAATCGTCGTCAATGTCAGGATCCGGTCTGTTTGCCATTAAACAAAAATAGCCAACCTAGATTGAACTCCTGCATTCCCACAAATGAAGCAGCAATACTGAAATCCACTAAAATCAAAAATAAATAAATTAAAAAGATGCGCTATCAAGGAACATGCCATGAATACATTTTACCATTAATTTCAATGAATTATACATTGCTTATGATTAATTTCAACTAAATTCGAATTTAATAGACGCATACTCGTTTGGAAAAATGCTGTTCATAAATCAGCATACACGATTAGTGCAGAACTTATCAACATAGATTACGGTAAATGAATAGGTTTGATAAATGAGCCGCGACAAGTAGACAGTTTACAACGAAGTGTTTATACTAGTGGGTCTTAGTCCCTCGATAAATTAATCGTTTGAAAACACGCTCAAGTGAGGAATATAAACAACAATATTCGAGAACGAAGCGTTGAAAACAACGGAAACGAAAGAGATTGCGAAGCTCGAATTGAAATGAAAGGCGTAAAACGAGAGAAACTAAGATGTTATGTTAATCTCATGAAATGAAAGTGTTAGGGCATTGGATTTGGGGAGAGAGGAGACTTACGGTGAGAGATGAAGACGACGATCCTCCACACTGCGAAGTGTCGATTACGTTTCCACAAATAATTAAACAACACACAACCTATCTACATTTTCTACTTAGGGTTACCTCCTTGCTCGCCCGACCCGACCTCGTTTTCCCAATAATAATAATAAAAAAAAGGGGTTAAAAATAGATATTTCATCTATAATGGAATTAAGAAAATTAAATGTATCAATAAGAACGAGAGAATTAAATGTATATTTAAGGAAAAAGCATAAACACCTTAACTAATTATATATAATTCCGTACCAGCAGTTAAAAAATTGTAATAATATAACTAAAAATAATTTATTTATAATTATTTATTTAATTCAAATGCTTCATTTTTCTGTCAAAAAGAAAAATTATTATAAATAAAAATCACTTATTTTAAGAATAAATTACACTATTTAATAATTTTGTATATTATCAAATTTTATTAATTAAAATTTTTATTTATATAATATTACATTAATAATTATACGATTAAGAAAATACAATGTTATAGTTTATATTTATTTATTTATTTATATTTTAAGAAACTTATTACATTCTAAAATAAATTTATTTAATAAGATTTTCAATAGTTTCATGTTAAAAATTTTAAACTTTATCAATTTTAATAAATTTTATACATTTATTTAAAGCTCTTAAACTAATTATTAAATTAACAAAATTTTATATTTATAAAATTATTAAATAAAATAAATTAATTAATATTTACTTTTTAGAGCAAGTAAAACCGTTTTTATTACATTACAATTTATTGCTCTAAGATTTATAATAATAATAATAATGATAAATTACAAAATTTTATATATATTTTTAAATTTTTAAATTTTAAAAAATTAAAAAAATAATTTGTTTTTAACATATAAAAAAATGGTTTTATTTTATTATTTTTAGTTTTATAAATATTTATTAAAAAATTATCTAAATTTAACTTGACTACAATTAACTGTATACTTTTAAATTAGTTAATTATTAACAAAGAAAATAGATAAATGTGCAATTATTTTTTATATATTATAGTAAATGTAACTCATTGAGATTAATCTAAACTTTAGTATTTTATCATAAAATAAAATAAACTTTTAACATTATATATAAAAAAATGATACACATAAGAAAAAGTATTTCGTAAATGTATTTTTTTATAAAGTATTAATTAATTGAATGGATAATTTATATTTTTGTTTTGAATAAATAGTGGTAAATTTAAATTAAATTATCATTCAAATATCAAATATTTTAGTATATAACTATTTTTAATTATAGTTTAGTTGAGTATTTTACTTTTGATTATTTTAATTTTTTTAATAAAAGTTCATCAAAAACTAGAGATCCAGATAGAAACTATATCTGCATCTGCAGTGCATTTTTGTTTAAGCAAAACAAAATTCGCTTAAGCGAATTTAGCAATAAGTGATTTTAGCTTAAACCTAATTTTTGTTTAAACAAAACAAAATTCGCTTAAGCGATTTTAGCAATAAGTGATATTAGCTTAAACTTAAAAAATTTGCTTAAGTCAAAGAGTAATTTTTGCTTAAACAAAAATAGAAAATTTCGCTTAAACTAAAAATAGGGGTAAAAAAATCATAGAAAAAAAAAAAGGAAAAGAAGTCCAAGAGACAGATGGAAGTGAGAGTGAAAGAGAGAATGAGGGTGAGGGAAAGTGGAAGAAGGAGAAAAAATAATAAGGAGAGAATGTGTGGTGGTGAATGGAAGGAGAACTATATGAAGAGAGAGGAAAAAAGAGACTAGGTGAGACTGAAAGAAGAAGAGATAAGAAAATAGAGGGAGATTGGGTGAGAATAAAAGGGATGAAATGGGGGTGGAGTGAGGAGGAGAAGATGAAAAAATAGTGAAGAAGAAGAAGGGGCTGAGATGAAAAAAAAACGAATCTAAATTCACTTAAGCAAAAATAAAAATGTGAAGTGCAGTTTCCTAAACTGCAAGGAATTTTTTTCCATAAACTAGTAAACAAAAGTTAGTAATGATAACAAATTTAAGGTTCATAAATATTTAAGTTTCATAAATTTTAAAATACATTTATATTATAAATTATAATAATAATTGAAATTTTAATGGCTAAAAAAATTATTAAGCAAGATAAGTATTTAAGAGTTAGTTTTAAAATAAAAAATTAATTGTCAGTAAATATTAAATAGTTAAAACATGAAATTTTATCTTGGTTGTCTTTCTTATTATAAAATAATAAAACTTTATATTTATACCAGTGCTGATTCTGTTATCAGAACATTTTTTTAAAAATACAAAAAAAAGAATACTAAACCTCACAGGCACTGCAAATTGTCTGAGAATTGTTTAGGAAGCAGAGCAGAAGAGCAACGGAGGCCTGTTACGTCGGTGATTCTTCTTCAGTTATCTTATCTACGGCTAACGTCAAAGTAAGTGTAATCGAGAGTTGACGAAGCTGGAGAATCAGAAGGAGCACGCAGAACAAAGGGTCAATTTCAACGGAAACCCTACAAACCCTTATCCCCACGACAATGCCAACGCCTTTAATCACTTCCACCCCATACCTCCCGTTGTTGATTCTCCATACGCTCTTAACCATTCCGTGCCTCGCCCTCCCCGCAAACGCCCCTGGCAAGGAACTTCTCCAGGCACTACCGTTTTTCCTTCACTCTTTTATTATTATTAAATTTAATTTAACTGAAGTTGTGTCTCCATATACTATATGAGTGTATTATGCATTTGTTTTGCAAGTTTTGTCTGAATTGTTAGGCTCTCCTTTTTGCAGATCAAGTGGACGGTGGATGTCACGTAAAAGTTTATGTTGCGCCAGTTCCAAGAACCGCAACAGAGGCTGATGTATGTCTCTTTCACACTTTCACGTTAATTTGTTAATATAAATGTTACATAGGAATGATCATGATGTCCCTGTCTTTATTGCATTAGAATGGTGGAAAGCACTTGCGAATTCAATTGTATGCCTTGATTTGCTGAGCCTTGAATCGCCTTATTTATCTTCAGTTTGTTACAGTTGTTATCCATTCCGTGTCCTGAGCATAATAGTAATTGAAATCAGACAAATGTGATTTCATTTTTCTTTCGTAACCAAACACTAGAGTAGAAATTATCATTCCATTCCATCTCTATGCTCAATCCCATTTTGATTCCTTGAAATTCCATTATCTGTGCCAAATGTGCTCTATTTGTAAGGGTTTCAATTGGTAAGAGATGCCGTCCCTTCCCGTGGAAGAATTTTAAGGCCCCCCCTATAATGTACAGGTGAAGAGTGTTTGATTGTGATGTTCAAACCACTTTTTTTTTTCTCTCTTCATTGTCAAAAGGGATACTTTTATTTATTATGTTTTCACAATCAAGCGTGCATTTTTTTCAGCTAAATGGTTGGTGCAATACTTGTTTATTATTTTCTTCTTTGCTTTCTTTATTTTTATTATAGTGCTTACTCTTCTATCTCTTTTCATTTTTGTAATTTTATATCAGATTCGCCCTGTGTTTGAAGGACATGGAACTATTGTTGAGGTTGTTCTTTTAAAAGATAGGAGAACTGGCATACGGCAAGGTATCTGTATTTTAGTTTATGCAATTTGGTTTTCCAAGCTTTACAAGGAGCAATGACTTTCACTTGATGCTCGCGTGCATATATGCTGTATGCCATATCTACAGGTATTAAAACTAGTGTAAATTTCTTTTTACTTACACAGGAAGCTGTTTTGTGAAATATGCAACATTAGATGAAGCTGACAGGGCTATTAAGGCTTTAAGCAATCAATTTACATTTCCTGGGGTAAGAACAATTTTACCTATTATGGTTGACTTAAACCATTTCTTCTTGCTATTTGTTTCATTATTTTAAACACATCTTTATTGTTTGACACATTTACATTTCCTAGGAATCATGTCCTGTTGTTGTAAGATTTGCTGATCGAGAACTTGAACGTCTGGGTAATTGTTTAATTTTAATGTCCTTTTGAACCTATAAATTTAATACTGTATTGCCATGTCTTAGCCAGGTTCCACTTAGCTAATTAATTGAAATTATTTTCTCAATCCAGATTGGTTATTTATTGAAATATATCTGTTTGCATACCTTATTCAACTTTCTAATAAAAAAATTAATGATGAGAACAGGTTTCACAGTTTATTATGGACTCCAGATGTATGTCCTGATATAGCTGTTAACTCCCAGTCTTGTGAAGATTATTTGAATAATAATAAAATTATTAAAATCTGCTCAGTTTCATTCAGTGTACCATTTTGCTCTTGGCATTATAAATTTTCCTTATTGAGTTATAAAAAGTGTTGTTAAGCTGCAGTATTTTCTGCTGCTGATATGCTCTTTTTAATGGGGAATTGATTATTGTTTTCATGCTTATGCTGTGTCACTTCCTTTCAAAGAGTAAAGTTGGAAAGGGAGAAATGAACATTTTGAATTCCAGAATACAGAGTATTCTTGTTCTTTATCTTCCAAAGACTTTACTATATATGCTCAAACTTTCCCTGACAATGTTCTGTTTTGGAGCAGTTTCTGTAGGTTTTTGAAATAGAGGGGAGTTTTGTCAAATAAAGACAAATTTCAAGGGAGTTGAGAATAAAATTCTCTCTCTCTGTACAAAATGAACCTTTCTTATCTTTTGGTTTAAGAAAGAAAAATCTTTTTCTAGCCTTTATTTTTTGTGTTGAGAGTAAACTATGTTGTCACTTGTTATAGTGTTAGCAGCTTTGAAGACGAGAGATTTAGTTATTATGTAGAAATTAATTTTAGAAGTTTTTGAGACAAAAACATTTCTTATAGTATGTTAATATTAAGTTTAAATTTAGGTTTAAATGATATTTTCGTCCTTATACTTTATTTTCATTCATAAGTTAATCCGTACATGTAAAAAATTTGTATATTAGTCTCTATACATACATTTGTTTTTTATTTGGTCTTTACCATTATATTGAAACTAAACGATGTTTGTTTCATCTACCTCCTCCATTCTTAATCACCTATTTGTTGGGATTGTTTAAAAGAATTACCCTTTATACTAAAAATCATCTTTCACTTCTGCACTCTACGTGTGATGATGATGATCCTGTTGAGCTTGATGACACACCTGACAGTCCCAAGTTGTGCTTCTCTTTTGTCCCTATTCCACCAAATGCACAAGCAAGTTTCCATTCGGCTTTGCAAGTCACAAAACATGCCTCTTGTCCTTGCCATCTATCCTTCATTCTTTAACTTGCAGCTCCTCATCACTGTTACATTCTCCACCAATACAAACACCTTATATCATGTGCCCCTCATCCAGTAGAGCTTATCTTTCTGTGAAACTAACCCACAAATGAGCAGTTGACTTGGTCTTAGTTGCTAGTCCCAATGGACCACACCTAAGACTTCTCAAACAAGCAATGGCTCTTGTGTTTCTCCCTCGAACACATCGATCACTTGGCCATTGTTACATACTCCTCAGCTGCAACCTGCAACCTGTGTTTTTCCTTTAAGACACATGACTTCTTATGGAAAACACACAGTCCTTCAAGTCGTCTACCGTTTGTTTTACACGGGACAAGCTGATCTAGTTGAAGGGTTGAAGAAAGGAATCAAGATACTTGAAGACTGGGTGCACAAGAACCTGGAGTCCTGCTTATCAGATAATCCTACAAGACCATGCTATGCTATAAGCATAGAACTAACATCAACACCAATTCATAGATTTTATGTGGGATTTGGCTTTGGCAGTTCAAGTGGGTTTGTCATACAAGAGTTTGAGGAGTTCTTGGCCAAGATTTTGGGAGGCATTGTTAGGGAAATCCAACTTGGAATATGTGGTGTTGGTGAGGAAGTTGGCAGTGGCAGAGTCATAAGAATTGGATAGATAAGGGGGGAAGAAAGGAGTATTCTGTTAGACCTTGGTGATTGCACTCATGTGTATGTAGAATATAGCTACATTGAAGGTGAGATTGATTAGTGTGTTATAAGAAGAGCGGAAATTGTTTTAGGTGTTGGAGAAGCAATGCAAATAGCTGATTAAGAATGGAGGAAGATGAAGCAAACGTCATTTAGTTTAAATGTAATAGCAGGGACAAAATTTGAAACAAATGTACATATAAATATTGATATACAAACTTTTTATATAAAAGGACTAACTTACAAATGTGATTCAAGTATAAATATAAAAATACCATTTAAACCTTAAATTTAATACTTCTAAGAGTTTATACTACTGTTTTTCTATTGTAAGTTTTGTTGATGAAAACATGCTATAGAACACGGTTTACTTTTTCTCGCAAGTAATGAGTAATTTAAAGCAGAATACTCGTGTTTTTTTATGTGATTCTTTTTTATTCTTTTTGTAGGGGTTCGAGGGTTCTGCCGTAACTTGGAAAAGAAAGATCCTTTAGAAGGCATACTTCTCTTCCTTTTCCTAGGATAGCGATGTCCTTAGAATTTGAATATATAACTGGCCAAACTAATATTTTATTCTTTACTGCTGTTTCTTTTATCTATTTTCAAACAGTCACTTCCTATTTTATTTTTAATTTGTTTCTATATTTTTTCAGAGGTGGCAGATAAAGTTTTTGTTAGTTACATCAACAAAGAAGCTTCAAAAAAGGAAATTGAAGAAGTATGTTTCACCATTCACATTCATCCATATGTATTTTTCCATCACCTGAAAACAAGTTAGTTTAGCATTTTTTCATTCCAATGACTATATCCATGGTTTTGTATTTAGCTGGAGGGTATGCTAATTGTAGAAATGTACCCACATCCTAGTTCAGATGGATGGAAATGTTGCCCAATTGGCTCATTTTAAATGGAATAGATATAGATATTAGATACAAAGGTAATAGTTCCCATGTGGGCACTTGTCATGGTGTTATTATGGGCTTATGGCTAGCAAAAAATTTGTTATTCACATCTACATATCTGTAACTATTGGTGGTTCTCTATTTTGCTTTGATACAAGATATTGTGGAATATTCTTTATAATCTGCAGGATGTGATTTTCATTGTGTTTCTGAGTTTTGTATGCATATTCTCTGCAGATATTTTCCCCTTATGGGCATGTAGAAGATGTCTTCATTGCACACACTCGTGGTTGGTCCTTGATCTTTCCATGCAATGTTTTTGATACAATATCTGCGGCTTTGAAGAATGGACATATAATTGATTCTGTCCTTTATTTCTTACCCTACATTTCTACATATAAACTGTGAGAGATAGAGCAAGAGGCAGTGTCCAGATAGATTTAGAAAATTCTCTCTTTCTTTCAAATCTCATTTAGCCAAGTTTTTCTTCAAGAATGATTCTTTGTAAGAAAAAAATATGAGTAACATGTTAGGACTTAGGAGACCCCAACCATTGGTTAGTTAGAGCAAGCTCATTGGACAGAAAGGAATAACAGAATATAAAAACTAGGAGGGAAAGCAGAGAAGGAGTGATTGATTTTGGAGTGGAAATTGGCAGGGAGAGTCTAGGTTTCTTGAATACCTGAGACACGTGAATAGGAAGGGAATAAGGGAATCATACTTTTGTTTCTTCCTTGATAAGTGTTTTGTACCTCCTTGATACTGAAGAGAGGCTATCTGTTGCAATGAATATTATTTATTTTTATTTCTGGTCCACTTCTACTTCTATCATAAAATTACTATATATTTGGTACATGCATATAGAGACAGGACCATGCCCCATCCATGTTGTAGTTTTTTTGCTGTGCTAGATTTTAGCACTAAGTCTTGTATTTAATTTATGTCATCAATTTATTATTCATGGTTTTCTTTTCACCTAACCAGTTATGTGGCATTTCTTCATTTTCAAGGATATGCTTTTGTCAAATTTTCTAATAGAGAAATGGCATTGGCTGCAATCAAAGGGCTGAATAAAGCCTTCACAATGAGAGTAAGTCTATTTTATTGATTGATACATATTATTCTGTCCACTTTTGAATGCTAGCTAAAATCTTATTTTTATTTACATAGGGTTGTGATCATCCATTAATTGTTCGTTTTGCGGATCCTAAGAAACCTAAGACTGGGGAATCAAGGTTTTGCTTTCTCACCCCGTTATTTGTCATTAGCTCTGTTTTTCATAGTCTTTGATTGGCCAACCAATCATTAAAGCTTATTTTGATATAGTTGATCTGTGTCTGGGAATGATATTTTAAAAGTTAATTTAAAAAATTGTTCTTGTTTGGATAGTATTAAGTAAATCACTTTAAAGCATAAAATACTTATAAAATTTACTTATTCTCAATGCTAGTGCAAATATTTTTAAACTCATTGCTATTAATAATAAAAGAGTGAAGGAAAATAATAAAAAATGAATGAAGGTGGTTGGAATGGATTTTGTCTGCCACAAAAACTGAAAAAGGTGGCTGATGATGGAATATGTTTTATAAAACCATAATCTTTCTTTCATCCAGTGTGAAAACGTTACCAAATAGACATTTTGCAGTTGAATTAGGGTTTGTTAAATGCAAAAGGGAGTTTTGGTCACTTAAAATCTGGAAAAAAAAAAAAAACACTAAGTGGTATTAAAGACTCAAAGTGTTATACTTTGAATATATATTTGTCATATTTACTTAGAAAATAAATCCTTTACAGAAAAACTTCCAACTGAATTGTAATTCAACCCCAATCGGATCATTCAACGATGAATTGAGTTCCCCTACTCTATCAACAACCAATATGGTTTTCCAAACACTTGAATATTTTGTTTGCTATTTTATTAAAGGAGATAAATTTACGATTTGTATTAGTGATCTCTTTAGGGGCAACTATTTATCTGGGAATGCAAATTTTGGTCCCTGTTCTCAAGAACCTCCAATTTGGTTTGTTTCGCTTCTTCATCTTCTTCTTCTCACATTCTTTGCTAATTGCAACATGCATATGACTTGCTAATAAATTTCTATTTAATCTCGTCATAGGCCATTGCCAAATTTTGGTGATTCCAATTTTGGAGGGAGTATTATGCCTATTGGCCCGCATCATTCCACAATTGCACACCCACAAGTTGCTTCTCATATGCAGAACTGGGAACCTGGTACTGCTGTCATACAGCAACCATTTGCTCCCCAACAAGCACATTCACATTTGGCTACAATGCCTTTACGGTCTATTCAACCTTCAAACCTGCCTTCTCAGCCATTTTTTCCTGAGGTGCAGAGACCATTAAATCCAGCAGATTCATCAGTTCAGAATATCGAGCAGCAACTAAGTTCACAGGTTAGTGGCTAACAGGTAATACTGCAATTGATCATTAGAAGTCTTTCAGGGAAATTTTGGTTTTGGTATAAATAAATTTCTGTTATTGAAGAGGTGGACTGACGTTGTTGAATTGATATTAGAAAAGTTCTAGGAACACATTATCTAACACATTTTTTTAACATACTTCTAGTCATTGACTAAAATATATTAAAAACTACAAAATTATGAGAAAATAAAATCATTAAATTAAGAATGAGATCTACATAATATTTGTAATCTATAGGCTTTGTTTGAGAATTTGGAGGGAGAAGGAAGAGAAGAATTTGAAGGGTAAGAGAGGAAAGGAGAAGGGATGGGTGATAAAAAATCTTTCAAGATGGGAGAACTTAAAATCATGGACTTTGGAGGGTTTATAAAAATTCTCCCTCTTATCTAAAAACTCCCAAATAATGATTATCATCAAATTAGCCTTCCCCTTCCCTCCTTCTCTCCCCCAAAAACTAACTCCCAAACAAAAGACTTAATAAATTTTAGCTAATAATTAGAAGTATGTTAGAGAGTGTATTCCTAACACTAGTTTCAATTCACATCAATCCACACCTAATATTGTCATCTATTGTATTCCTGGGTATATGTTTGTTGTTAGCTATGACAGCCTTTAATCTTCAAGTCATTTTTATTCTCCTGAAATTTATGCAATTTTATTCCTTTATAAATAGAACAACTTCGAGCATTTATGAATGTCTTAGGTGCCACACTGTCATGTTCAAAGCTGTTTAACTTACTTCAATAGTCATTTATGAAGTCATTTGTTTTTTTTTTTTTTTTCCTTTCTTTCTTTCTTTTTCTAAATTATGCATTGTTACAATTGAGTAATGGTATTAAAAGAGTCATTATTGATCTGTTATAAGTAATGGTGAACTACTAAGCATTCCATTCTTTTTTAATGTTGGACTAAATCTCTGCATCTGTGGTCATGAACTACTTTGCACGTTTAAATGGGTTATCTAATTTGACATAGTACTGGTTAAGCACCTTAATTTGGCAGACCACAATAATTTTCTTAGTTTAATGTTCTTCCCAGCTGCCTACTGAGACTGGAAACAACCCTAATACTGTTGCTGGCAATAACCAGCCTGATATGCCTACTAGTCCACAAGACGAAGATCCCCCCGAGTGTGACTGGAGTGAACACTACTGTCCTGATGGTTATAAATACTACTACAACTGTGTCACTTGTGAAAGCAAAGTAATGTTTCAGCTTTTTGATCTTTTTCCTACAATCTGTTTTGGATTTCTGTTACTTTGGTGTGTAATGGTTACTCTTGGAGCAGTGGGAGAAGCCTGAGGAGTATGCATTACATGAGAAAGAGTCTCAGAAACTGCAGGAGCAGGAGGATAAAAACCGTAGTCACTTGCAATCATCATTACCTTCCTCTCAACAAGTTACTCAAATACAACAGGTGCATTTTCTGATGTATTTCTCTCATAAAAAGTTCAGCAAAACCAGAAAAATAGAATAAAAACCTTCCTTTCCCCCCTTGATTAATTGTTCGAGAAAGTACTCTCTATTTGGTTAATAGAGGGGACTTAATCTTCACTCATCTAACATTCTCGAGTTTTGCAGGAAACAAATCATGACCACAGGCAGTCAGAAACAAGTCCTGTTTTTGGATAGGCGTTATTTATTTATTTTTTCTTGGGCAATCGAAATCTAGGTTAGTACTTCTACATAGATATTTAGATTACCAAATGGCTTAATTTTTTGTTTAGAGGCAATGTAAGTTAAACTCTATCTTTTGGGGGGTAGGAAAACCTCCTCCCTAAATGAAACGTTGAGAGTTTGAAATGTTTGAATTCCAGGCGGGACTTTTGTGTTTTTTGGGGTGCTGTGGAATCTGATTTTCAGAGATTAATTTGTATTTATATTGCTCGTGATTGTGAGAGGAACGAGAAATTGATTAAAGGCTAGGGAGTTTGATAAGAAATGTGGCTCCACTACCACTGTAGGGTCTACAAATTTAAGAAGCGCTGCCCCCTAGGTGTACGTGTAAGTTTTCAACGCATACAAATAATTATTGTCTATAGGAATTGGATTTGAACTTGAATCGCTTTTCTTGCTCCAGTAGTAGTGCCATGTGATAAATGGTACCGAAATGCCCATCTCATTCACTTCGTCTTACCTTCATGGTTGTCCTGGATTCCGATTGATTAAGTTCTTGTGGATCTAGAAACTGACTTTTAAGTCAAATGGGTAACTTTGAATTGTATTTTATTTTATCTAAGTTTGATACTGTTACAATAGTCGGCAGGATCTTTTCTCCTGACATTTATTTGTGTACGAGTAAAGGAATAGAAGATAGGTAAATAGCACATTGTAGCACCAATAAAGGTAGAGCCAAAGCCTCAATTTTTGACCCAGAAAGCGTTTTTGAGGAGTATTATCACTGGGAGGCAATGGGAGATGGATTTTGTAAACATTCTTTAACTGCTAAGGAAAAGGGGAAAGAGAAGAATGCGAGAACTGGAATAGAATCTGAGTCTAAACGGCAAGCGAAGGAAAAAGAGAGACAGAGGGGCTTGACAATTCAACTGGGGAGAATTTAATGTGGGTTGGTAATTATTCCCTGCTCTATGCGGAATTGAACAATTTTAATTCAATCCAATGTATTGGGTGCTTAATAGAGAGAGGGATCATGTAATAGGGAATAGCAGGGCCCCATGGGCTCATTGATAATGCCGTATCATATGCAACCCTTAGTGCGCATTGGTCTATGCCTATCTGTTGAAACCTCTTGCGATGAGAGCCTCACCTGCCCAATAGCACCAAACTTGCGAAAGAATACGACACGAGATATTATGGTGCCTTAATATATTAAGCTAAAATGAGTCATTATCAAGATCCATTCCATCGTGGAAGCCAGATCACGCTTCAAATGCAATGCTTGTTTTAAGTTTTTACTAATTTGTTTACTTCTCTTTCTTTAATTCCCCCCTCTTTTACCTCTCCAACGAATCAAATCCATGATTGGATAACATTGCATGCAGCATTTACTTGATAAGGTTAAAGTGGATTGTCAATAGTTGAACTGCTCTTCCTATTTATTAACTTGTTACCGTATTGGCACAGTTCTTTCGCCACCGTATCCTTCAAATTAGAAGCACATTTCCCTAGAATTCGTTTTCTGTGGATTACCGGAACTAAACAAAGCAAGCAAGAAGGTTGCACCTCAGTTATTTCCGTTTGAAAACCTAAACCTAGCAATCTACTATACTGCCGTGCCAGTGAAATGAATGCACATTCCTTCAACAAAAAAGAAACAAAAACACAAGACAAACGAGGAGTCAGCATCTTCAGATTATAAAGAAGATAGAAACCTATTTGATATATTTTTTAATCATTTCCCCACAGTCCAAACCACCAACGGATATTTTGACTTGCTCTTTCATTTTTTTGTATCTATTAGAGTACAAGATATTAAATCAAAACCAGCTAGTAAGAGACATCAACGAGGAAATGATACATCTGATCATCGTGTTACACTGATATTTATGTTATGACAAGACCTATATGTGCAAAAAAGATAAAGCGGGTTTTACATATGATCATCATCAGTATCACCAGTACCACCTGTCAGTCAACATAAGAAAAACTTACATATACCAGTAATGGAGTCCTCATCTAAGTCTCCTACAAAAAAGTAATCATAATAAATCACATAATGGAGTTATCATTTACTCTTCCTTCAACATGTGAGAAGGAACAACATCTTGAAGAAGGCCATGGTCACATAACAATGCAGTCGACCCTGGATTACAAAACAGTCTCTCTTGAGGAAAAGAGACATTCTTTGAAGAAGGAGGAGGAAAACCCAAAGAAGACAATGTATTGACGTGGACTTGTTGATTGTGCTGATAATATTGGGACATGTAGTTCCCAGATCCACCCATTACTGAACCAAATTTGTCGGCACACCCAGTAGAAACTCCTGAGCGAGTTATAACTGGGCTCGGATGTGTGTGTTGGCCTTCGTAGGTTGTCACTACAATGCTTGGATCATTAAAAGATCGCTCCACACGTTTCTTCACATTACATGAAGCACTGGTGCAACGATAGTAGCTCCTACATATGCACACAGTTCAAATGTTCACAACATTTCTTATTTACTTTCGTTTTAGTGGTCAAAATTTAATCAAACCGAAAGAAAAAAGGGAAGGAATCAAAGCGTGTATAGAAGAATTAAAGTGTTACCGAGGAAAGGGGCTGTTTTTCACAGCTTTTTGACCGTACTTTCTCCATCTGTACCCATCTTCCAGATGATCGACCTCGCTTTTCGTCATGAACGCGAATCTCGGTTCTCTCTGTCTCTTCTGATTTGTCTTTTTGGCCTTCAACCTAAAACCAACAAGAACCAGATCCCAGGAACCATCAAATTTTATTAGAATGTCCCAAACATCAAACAAATTAACGTACTATAACATTATATCTCGGGAAAAAATGTAAAAAACAAAAACCAAAAGACACTCATGACCCATCTTATTCATTTCATATCCCTAATTGAATTATCAAATGCGTATTTTACACTCAACCGCCCCAAATTATGCTCCTCCAATATAGCATGAGCCATCCACCTTGAATTTTACACCAAACTTAACTTCTCCCCTACCCCAAAAAAATTAAAATAAAACACCAAATAACTTAACAAAATGAAAAAAAAGGTCCATCTTTGTCCTTCCATCACAAATTAAATTAGCTTTCAGCAAACACTAAAAAAAAGTGAGAAGAAAAAATAGAAAAAGAAACCCACTGTTCCTTTGTCTTTTGCTGTTCATGTGCTTGGTCTACAGTTTTATTCTGTTCATCATTGACTGCTTCACTGGACGCAGACGAAATGGATGAAGAATTTGGAGTGGCAGGTTGTTGTTGGTTCAACACCTCGGAACACTCTTTCCCAGTCTCAGGTTGTTCCTTAACAGCAGAGGTTAGAGGCACAGACACGTTTGCCAATAGAGGCAAATCAAGAAGAGGACTATAGTCTTGCACACCCAATAACTCCATAAACCCTAAAGTGCTTTTATCTTCAGAAAAATCAAAGAATGGAGGGCAAGGAAAGGAAGAAGATCCTACGGCATAATCCTCCATCTTCACACCCATCATCTCCTTGTTCTCCATCTCAAATGCTCAAACCAAAATCCTTCATTTCACAGACTCAAACCTCACGATATGGTTGATCTGGTTTATAGATAGCTAGGTGGAGGAAAAAGATAGAGTGGTTTTGGGGTTTACACATTACAAGAAAGTGAAAGGTGTTTGTGAAGTGAATGAATTAATGAAGTGAAACTAGTTACATTATGAACGTGGCTAAAGCCAAAAACAGTGACTCGAGACTTGACCGGCAATTGTAGGTAATGGGGTGGTACGGACAATGTTGAGCCGGTTGTATTCAATGCATGAGGATGGTGGTGTTTCTCATGGTCGACGCTTTCATACGTAGCGTTTGACGGGTTGTATTTGTGTGCCGTGTGTGAACGCTGTTACAGTTTACATCCCTTCCCTCACGGAGACATGTTCTGGATTCTAACGCCGTCATGGGAACATGCTGCTGTGATGTGAAAATCAAGTACCAAATTTGGCGTCTGCGCCTATAATCAAGATATATATTCAAGAAAGATGTTATTAACATTCTTTTAATATATTTTTAATTCTCTCTCACTTTTATAATTTTAAATTAAATATGAAAAAATTGTTCCTAATACTTTTTTGATAAAAACTATAAAACTTAGGACAATTGTTTGATATTTTTACAGTTGTTTATCAATAAAAATTAAAGTGTTTTAATAAAAAAATTAATATTATTATAAATTGTTGAGATAAATGTCTAATTTTAATTAATAAATAACATAAAAATACCTAAAGAGTTGTAATTATTTCTTGTCTTAATAAAAATTTTAAAAAAACTATTGATATATTTTTTAAAAACACTCTTTAGTATGTTTTGTATAATTAGCTTATTTTTAAGAAACGTAAAAATGTTTGACTCGCAAATTGATTAGTCTTTCAATAATAAAAAAAAAACTGTTTAAAGTGTGTTTAAAAGAATATATATATATATATATATATATATATATATTACTAATATTTTTATTAAAATCTTTTGCAAACCAGAGAGACAATGTATTTTTTAGTTCTCTTTTTCTTTTTTTTTTAAAAAAAAAATACCATTTACACGTTTATGTATGTATACTAATACGTGAAGTGATCGAACTAGGCACATCCAGATCCTCCTCTGTACTCTTTTTCTCTAGTATTATTGTTTTGCTTTACGAGCTTTTCGGTGTGTTTTTTATAGAAGAAAAAAACCCGACAACCTTTTACTGTCGGTTACTCGATAAGAAAAGATAAAGAAAACGAGGATAAAATGAGGGGAAAATAGTAAAAAAAAAAAAAACTTAATTTGACATTTAATATATAAAATAAGAAGCAAAAAGGTTAATGAATAATATATGTTATATCAATAGCATTTACGAAAACAAATTGACTAAAAAAGTTATACGAACTCGGGGGCAAATGATTCATGTATAAGAAAAGAACATTACAGTCCCATATAAATAAATGAGTGATTCGTTTTGGGTTTAACCGGGAATTTATGCCAAAGCGAGGGTTCACAAGGAAATGAGATTATACCCCATTACTGATCTAGAAGCAAGAGAATATATTGAAATATGAGACTCTGCCTTTGGAGTTTTTCTACTTTCTATTTGGCATATTAATTGGAAAGAACCGCTCCAGTACTGTTAGCTGAACGATAAAGAATAGACATATACTTTTCATGCTAAACCGACCATATCCCAGGGAGCCTACAAGGTTTTCCAAGTTTACTTTTCGGTTTCTAGAACAAGTTTTTTCCTCCCATGTAAATAAGAAAATAATCTATGATGAAATTTCATTTTTATTTTTGAAACCGTAGCAGAAACACTATTTGGATGATAATTAAAACATAGTGATGAGTCATGTGTAAAAGTATTAAAAAGTTGTTTTAAAAATAAATGAATAATTTTCAGAACCCGAAATGGATGGAACACGCTTTTTAAGAAGCTCAAAGGGTAAGCTGTGGACGCATATGATATCTAGCAAAATAGCAAAATCTAGAGTGGGTGTGGACGAGGCTGCTTTACTTTTCTATCAAATAATACACTCCAAAACCGAGAAAATAAAGATTAGAGAGATAAGTAATCACTAATCAGCGATGTGATTAAAACATAAAACAGAAAAAGGGAAAATGAAACGAAAAAGTTACGATCTGAGGAACTCTTTCCGCAATTCTCTTCTCCTTTTGTGACGGGAAAAGAATGCTAAGTTCATGCACGTGTGGTTTTTAGCGAGCCACGAGATGCATGCTGACGTTTATAGTGCCGTGTAAGTACTTTGTTTCTTCCTACTGGCTACCACCCTTCAATAATTCTGTTTCTTCCTTTCCTAATTCTTGGTAATTAATCAATCACCGTTTTTTCTTTTTAGATTATTTTTCACTCATTAAATGTTTCAAACACGTGTATAAATTTAATTAAAATTAGTAGTTTATTTAAAAAATATATAAAATATTCGACTTCAAATTTAGGGTATGATAACCATAACTCAAACATTTTAACAAATGAAAAGTCATAGCCACAGCAAACAATGTTGGAGTTATCAGCAACAAGTGGTTTCTTTAACAATTTTTATATATATTCATACTTACTTTTATGCTAAGTCTATTTTTATTTATCTTTTCCTCCAAAAAAAAGGGTGTGTGAGTGTATGATTTTCCTTTAATTACCGGCTTGGACTGCGTGGTACCGCCCTATGGATGCCCGGAAAAATAGCCACGCTCTTTGGTCCCCTGTTCTACTATTTCATTAACTTTATGGTCCCCTCTTTCACATACGTTGATGAACCCTTTATACATATACAACCATTTTATAAATTTGAAAATGACACTCACTGCAGAGAAGAGGATTAACTGTTGTGCTAATAAAGGCTTCATAAACTCTTGGTTCTGCATGGGAGGAAGCACGGTGGGGATGCCCCTTTTATTTCCAAACCCAACTATTTCTGCTCACAAATATAGTTTCTACATACATGAATAATTTAACGATATGCTTTTCTTTTCTATCTTTATTTTTGAAATCACGAAAGAAGATCCACGGCTTACGAGAAAAAGACGAAAAGGAGATCCTTTGCATGCATGTTTTCCGGTAGGATATGCCCACTGTCGCTAAGAGGAAATTCTAGTTTTAGAAATTAAAACCAATGAGGATAGAGAGTGACTATTCTGCAAAGTGGATTCGCTAATCTATATTCATTTCTTGGTGGGGTTGGGCAACTCTCGTATATAATATAATATAATATATATATTCCATTCTACCCAGTATAGCTTCACATGGTTGCATAATTATTTCTTTTTCATGTACTAATGTACTATAGAATAATTTTATTTTACACAAACAATATTTTCACCAAATGCATAACATTTTAAACATTCGGTTGACTTTTCTATGCCACACAAATCTAAACTAGTACCATAATTTTGGATAAAAATAACCAAAAAAACTATTAATAGTTGAATTTAAATACTTAAAAATAATATTTTTTATTAAATATATTTATCACATTTTTATAAATTTAATATGATAAATATTTTTTTAATGTTTAACCTCATCTTTCTTATGAATATATAACGTTTCTAAAAAGAGAAGTTTAATAGTGTATATGTATTATCTAACCATGAGTACTTAACTAGACACGTCATGTTGCAATCGAACTTAACTTCAAAACACTAATATCTGGCCAACTTGTCATTATGTGCAACTTTCTGATTCAATTATATATTGCATCAAGTTATCTAATTTGATTACTTTATGAATCTAAATTCTTTTTCATTATGAAGAGAATTAGATCATTCAATTTTAATTTGTTAAAATAAATCAAAATAAAATAACAAATGAAATACGCACCCACCACGACATTTTTCTCGATCTTCAATCGGTCCATCAACCTCTTTGCCACCGGATTCAAATCCTTGTCATCAACCTCCTTAACTTTATATGCACAAATACGTGTGTATAATTTGAAAATATTTCAATAATAATATTAATTATTAGATTATGTAAATAATTATTCTTTTTTTATATATTAAACATTGTTTGAAATGCATTATAATTAAACTGTCCTAATTTATATTTAAGAAAAAATAGCATCAGATTTTATAAAAAAATTTAATTTATAAAGTTTATTACATGTTAGTAAAAAAATTTTAAAATTTATTTTATTATAATTTACTAAATTTAAGAAAATACTAATTATTCCAAAAAAATTATAATGTCAGTTACATAAATATTACATAATTTATTTTTTATGGATAAGCTTTTTTTTTCTATTATAGTCGTGTAAATTTTATTATACATATATATATATATATATATATATATATATTTGATTTTGAGCCTATTTAGTTTTTAAATATTCAAATTTAATATTTGAATCTATTAAAATTGAATTAAAATTTTAAAAAATTAAACTAATCTAATCGATCAAATCAATCTATTTTTTATTAATTTAAATTATTGATAAATTTACTGATAGACCCGTATCCCATACACCTTAAGATACTGTTATGAACTACAAGTCAACAAAGACTCTTTACATAAATCCAAACCATGATTCATCACTTTATAAAAAAAAAAAAATTCCGTCCACTTGTATTTAGCCTTTATGTCTAACTATTTTAAGGGAGGACCAATCGATAACATTATTATCATTTCTATATTCATTGAGTGTGCCTGTTTCTCAAATAAAATACACTTTTTTATGCTCGAATGACTTAAGAAAAGGTATTGTTTGAATGAATAAAATTAATAATAAGAGAAATTTATTTCATATTTTTATAAAAACAATAGAAAATTAATGAAAATTTAAAAATTTAATATAATATTATTTAGTTGTGTACAATTTAAAAATATTTTTAATAAAATATAAAAAAACCCCGGAACTTTTTTTATAAGTCACATAAAAAATATTATCATTCATTCGTTCATAAGTCTCTCCTTAAAAATTATGACGTGTACGTTTTTAGTTTCTGCGCACATAGGATTGACGAAGCCACAAAATTGAAATATAAATAAATTATGAAATAACATGACACCACAACATCTTGCGATAGCAATGCATGCTTGTGGCGATCTAAGAATGCGAATATCAATATCCTGGTCATGTGAGAAAATCTAAGCTTCCAATTTCTACTTCATAATTCAGAAATGACATTGTAATTACATTTCGATTGAATCT